CGCCCCCGCCTGAACCCCCCCGCAACCCTCATACCCCCCCAAACCCCCTCGCCCCAATGCTCCCCCAACCCCGCTGCCCTTCACGCCCCCCGCCCCCTCCCGCCCTCCGCATTCCACTCTGCCGACGTCACCGCTCACGTCACCTCGCCGACTTTCGAACCGGCCAGTCGGAAGCGGGGCGGGGCCTCGGGGGCGGGGCCGCCGGAGAGGGCGTGGAAATTCTATACCACGCCCATCTGTTCCCGCCCACATGCAGGCCCCGCCCCCCAGTGTATATCACGGGGGGGCCCCGCCGGTCGCCCCCCGCCTCCCTCCTCGGCAGCTCCGTAACGGTTCGGGCAGTGAGCGGCCATGGTGAGGGCACCCCGCGTGGGCCGTGGGATTCCCCCCAGGGGTTGTGGGACCTCCGGGGTCTCGCGAGGGGCGGGGGGGGGATGCTGGGTAAATCCCCCTCCACGTCCAGGTCAGCACGTGGGGCTGCGGTCCCCGGGGGGTAAATGTTTCTCGCGTGTCCAGGACACCCCGTGGGACTGCTGAGAACTTAAAGGCCTTGAGGTGCGGTGGGGGGGGGTGGTGGTGGGACGGGACACGCGGGGCCTTCTGTGCACCCCGCTGGGGGGGGCCGGAGCCGTGACCCCCCCGGCCTCGGCTCGCTGCCGGGGCTGTGGGGACACAGCGAGGGGCACCGCGTGGTCCAGGCTCCCACGCAGGTGCTGGACACGTCCCCGCAGTGTGCTGTGTCCCCCCACCTCCCGGCCTACCCTGGGGCTCCCCGAGCCGGGAGAGGAACCTGCCCCGAGTGGGGTGTGGGGGTGCCGGGGTCCCTGGGGACGGGGAGCGCCTCTCGCCGGGAGCACGCGTGGGAGTGAGTCACGATGGCAGGGGCGGCCCCCACTCTCAGCCCGGCCCGGGCACGACCAGCTGCGGTAGGGAAAATTCTTCCTGGTGCCCGGAGTTTGCTCTTGCCCCGAGTGGAACCAGCTGCCGGCCGGGCGCCCATCCCCGTGGGTCCCGGCGCCCATCCCCGTGGGTCCCGGCGCCCATCCCCGTGGGTCCCGGCGCCCATCCCCGTGGGTCCCGGCGCCCATCCCCGTGGGTCCCGGCGCCCATCCCCGTGGGTCCCGGCGCCCATCCCCGTGGGTCCCGGCGCCCATCCCCGTGGGTCCCGGCGCCCATCCCCGTGGGTCCCGGCGCCCATCCCCGTGGGTCCCGGCTGGCACTGCGGGACCCGACGGCTGACAGGGAAGGAGTTGGGACAGCCCAGGGCTGGTGAGAAAAGTGTGTCTGTGGGAGGTTTTCCATTTTCCGTGGAGCCCGGGGGTGCACCCAAACGTGGAAGGGGGGGGCGCGTGGGGTGAAGTTGTCCCTGTCCCAGCACAGCCCTTGACTGGTGGGAACTGGGAATGGTGCGAACTTGGAATAACCACGTGAGGGAACCCCAACCATGGGGCAGCGGTGGGGGAGAATGGCTCCGAGCAGTGGCAGGGTGCCCCCGGCTGAGCCTGGCACCCCCCAGTTCCCCCTCCCCGCCCCCCCCACTCCCCCTCCTGGGATTAATTTGGCTTCTGAGCTGCCCCTGCGCCGCTGGGCCGGGGCTTTGTAATGGCAACAAGTCGGCTGCAGCCAGCTGAGCCGGGGCGCAACCGGTGCTGCAATGGAAGGTGGGGGGGCCACAAAGGGGGGGTCCCGGAGCTGACACGGCCGCCTGTGTGTGTCCCCCCCCTCTCCCAGCGCGAGTGCATCTCCATCCATGTGGGCCAAGCGGGCGTGCAGATCGGCAACGCCTGCTGGGAGCTGTATTGCCTGGAGCACGGCATCCAGCCCGACGGGCAGATGCCCAGCGACAAGACCATCGGCGGGGGGGACGACTCCTTCAACACCTTCTTCAGCGAGACGGGGGCCGGCAAGCACGTGCCGCGGGCCGTCTTCGTGGACCTGGAGCCCACGGTGATCGGTGAGCGCGGAGGGGTGGGCCGCGGGGGGCGGGGGGGTGCGGCTGGGGTGCCGGGGGCTAATGGGGTGCCCGTCTCTCCCCGCAGACGAGGTGCGCACAGGGACGTACCGGCAGCTCTTCCACCCTGAGCAGCTGATCACGGGCAAGGAGGATGCGGCCAACAACTATGCCCGCGGGCACTACACCATCGGGAAGGAGATCATCGACCTGGTCCTCGACCGCATCCGCAAGCTGGTGAGCACCCTGTGGTGGGGTCTCACCGGGTGGATCTGTCCCCAGGGGGTGGCTGGGGACAAAGGGAAGCAAATGGGCCTCCCTGGGGAGGTGATTAGCAGGTCCTTCTCGCCTCATCAGCACTTTGGGACAGAAGGTGGGGCTGCCCTAGGAGGGACCGGCTGCCCTGGGGTGTGGGTGACAGGTCTGGGCTGTCCCCGGTGCCCACAAGGGACACGCCTGCCCCGGGGGCAGCAGGGTCCCAGCACAGCCCCGTGCCATGGGGCGGAGGATGGAAGCCCCATGCCTGGGACAGGGGGGCTGTGCAGCCCAGGTTTGGCTGCTGGTGCAGCACTGGTTTGACTGGTGTGGCTGCCCAAGCTCTTTGAACCTGTAGTTCCCACGCTGGGGCTGGCGCCGGGGCTGGCCGGACCTGCCGTGCCACCGGTTCCGCTCCGGGAGCTCCTGGCACATCAAAGGCTGAGCTGGCTGCCTGTGGGCTTGCGTGGGACGGGTGGCTCCTGCTGCACCCAGCCTGGGGAGGACAAGGGTGCAAGGCCATGGCTGACCTGCTCCGGACCCCGCCGGGGACTTTTCCAACAGGCTGACCAGTGCACGGGGCTGCAGGGCTTCCTGGTCTTCCACAGCTTCGGGGGTGGCACCGGCTCCGGCTTCACCTCCCTGCTCATGGAGCGCCTCTCCGTCGACTATGGCAAGAAGTCCAAGCTGGAATTCTCCATCTACCCGGCCCCACAGGTCTCCACGGCCGTGGTGGAGCCCTACAACTCCATCCTCACCACCCACACCACCCTGGAACACTCCGACTGCGCCTTCATGGTGGACAACGAGGCCATCTATGACATCTGCCGCCGCAACCTGGACATTGAGAGGCCCACCTACACCAACCTCAACCGCCTCATCAGCCAGATTGTGTCGTCCATCACGGCCTCCCTGCGCTTTGATGGGGCCCTGAATGTCGACCTGACGGAGTTCCAGACCAACCTGGTACCGTACCCCCGCATCCACTTCCCGCTGGCCACCTACGCCCCCGTCATCTCGGCCGAGAAGGCATACCACGAGCAACTGACGGTGGCTGAGATCACCAACGCCTGCTTCGAGCCGGCCAACCAGATGGTGAAGTGCGACCCGCGGCACGGCAAGTACATGGCGTGCTGCCTGCTGTACCGCGGGGACGTGGTGCCCAAGGATGTCAACGCCGCCATCGCCACCATCAAGACCAAGCGCAGCATCCAGTTCGTGGACTGGTGCCCCACCGGTTTCAAGGTGGGCATCAACTACCAGCCGCCCACGGTGGTGCCCGGGGGGGACCTGGCCAAGGTGCAGCGCGCGGTCTGCATGCTGAGCAACACCACGGCCATCGCCGAGGCCTGGGCCCGCCTGGACCACAAGTTCGACCTGATGTACGCCAAGCGGGCGTTCGTGCACTGGTACGTGGGGGAGGGCATGGAGGAGGGGGAGTTCTCGGAGGCCCGGGAGGACATGGCCGCCCTGGAGAAAGATTACGAGGAGGTGGGGGCTGACAGCGTGGAGGGCGAGGAGGAAGGGGAGGAATACTAGTGCCTTGTCTCTTCTGCCGGTTACACTGTGGTGTTCTTCATTAAAATGGCTCTTTCCACTCTTGACTCATTTATTATCCCAGCACAATCTGCCTTGGTGACCTGGGGGGATGTCCTGAGGGGAGTTGGGCGGTGGAGGGGGGGTCCTGGCTGAGCTGGGCTGGCTGCCCAGTCCTGCTGCTGGCGGGGCACGGGGAGGGCTGGGGGTGCCCTTGGCTGGGTCCTGCTGGGCTGCCCACCCTGGGTGAGGGGTTCACGGTCACCCCTCTGTTGTCCTCAGGGGTCCCTGTCACAGCAGTGGGTGCCCAGGTGGGGTGAGGACCCCTGGGAACAGCCACCCCCGGGGGGGGGGAGGGGCTGGGAGTCCCCGCTGTCCTTACCTGCCCCGGGCGCATGGGCAGGATAGGGCCCTGGGCAGGGCTGGTGCAGACAGGCTGTACATGGTGTCCGGCAGCTCCTGGCACAGAGCCGGTTTCTGTGCGGTGCTCTGCAGAGCTGGGGGGGGTCCTGGGGGGGGGAGGGACCCCCCCTGCAGCTCCTGGGCAGGGCACAGACCCCTTCCCGTAAGCACCGCCCTCACTGCCTGGGAAGGGGGGTCTGGGAGGGGCTGAGCCCGTTATCCGGTGCTTTCCCCCCCCCCCCCCATGGCAGCTCCAGCAGAGCCGAGTCATGACTGTCCCTACAAAATGGGGGGCACTTAAGGTCTCCCCGCCCCCCTCCAGTGCTGGGATGGGCAGGGGCTGCCGTACCTGCTCCGTGGGGCTGAGCTCCCCAGGCAGGATGGAACCCAGCTGATGTGTGTGCTCTGCCAAGCCCTGCAGCCCCCAGCCCCTCTCTGCATCCCGGGGGGAAGGGGTCGGACTGTACCCCCCCTCTCTCCACGCTACTTCTGGGGGATTCCACCACCCCCGTTACCTCCCTGCACACCCCGGGGTTCCCCCAGTCCCTCTCCTGCACCCTGGCAGGGGGGACCCAGTCCTGCCCAGTCCCTCTACCCGGGAGGGGGGGTGTCTGCGTCCCCCGGCCCCTCTCCCCACCCCCCCCCTCCCCGGTGCTACAGGGCTCCACTGCCTGCAGCTACGAGGGGCGACCCTGCCCGCCCCGCATCCCAGTGGGGGGTGTCCCTGGCCACTCCCGACCCCGAGGGGACACCCGCAGTCCCCGGTCCTCCCCCCGGCCGGGAGACCCCTCCCTTCGCTCCCGCACCCCCGGGTCCCCCGGCGGGGCGGAGCCGCCGCCCTCTATAAACAGCCGGTACCGGCAGCCTCCGCCCTCCCGGTCCTGCCATGAGCCGCCGTGCCCCCCCCCAGCGCTGCTCCCTCGCGCCGCCGCCGCCCCTCACCGCGGCTCCGGGGCGGCTGGCGGCGGCGGCGGCGGCCCGGGGAGCGGAGCGGGAGGAGCTGGCGGCGTTGAACGATCGTTTCGCCGCTTTCCTGGAGCGGGTGCGGGCGCTGGAGCGGCAGAACGGGGCCCTACGAGCCGCCTTGGGCCGCGCCGCCGCCGCCACCGCGCCCCGCGCCACCGGGCTGGTGCAGGGGGAGCTGCGGGGGCTGCGGGAACGGCTGCAGAGCCTTGGCCGGGACCGTGACCGGCTCCAGGCCGAGCGAGACGGGCTGGCCGCCGACCTGGCGGCCCTGCGGCAGCGGTGGGTGGGCGGCGGGGCCGGGGGAGGCACCGGGATGAGGGAGGCACCGGGATGAAGGAGGCACCGGGGCGGGGACCGGGAGATGCACCGGGATGAGGGATGCACCGGGATGAGGGATGCACCGGGATGAGGGAGGCACCGGGATGAAGGATGCACCGGGATGAAGGATGCACCGGGGCGGGGACCGGGAGATGCATCGGGATGAGTGAGGCACCGGGATGAGGGATGCACCTGGGTGGGGACCGGGGGAGGCACCGGGATGAGGGAGGAACCGGAATGAGGGATGCACCGGGGTGGGGACCGGGGCAGGCACCGGGATGAGGGAGGAACCGGGGTGGGGACCGGGGGAGGCACCGGCGGGCGCTGGCGACCCGGGGATACACCGGAGAGAGGCCGGCCGCGTATTGGGATGGGGACCGGGGGATGTCCCAGGTGTACTGGGCAGGGAGCGGGCGTGTACTGGGGAAGACGCCCAGCAGACGCTGGAGAAAGCACCGGGGATGCACGGGGGCGGGGGGGGGGGGGCACTGGGAGGGGTGCGGGGCTGGGAAAGGACCCAGTGTGAGGACTGGGAGAGCAGGGCTCTGCGGAAGGGCGGGGCACTGGGCGGGGCATGGCGGGGTGGGGGCACTGGGAGTGGACTGGGAGGAGCACAGAGCGGGGAGATGGGGCCGGGGCAGGGCTGGACCCCCTCGGGAGAGGAGCGTGTCACAGCGAGAGGCCCTGGGGGCTGCAGCGGGGTCACGGCCCGGGTGGGGTCTCCTGGGTTCTGGAGGTCCTGCGGGAGGGGCTGTGCAGGGCCAGGGACACCCCAGGGCTGAGAGGCGGGGTGGCTCAGGCTTGGGGGGTCTTCCTCCTCCATCGCATGTGCCTGTAGTGTGGGGGGGCTGCGGCAGGGCAGGGGGCCCCAGGCAGCAGGAGGGGGGCTGCACCCTGTCCCCCACCTCCTACTCACTCCTGCTGTCCCCAGACTGGAGGATGAGACGCAGAAGCGGGAAGATGCAGAGAAGAACCTGGTGCTGTTCCGCAAGGTGGGGGGCTGGAGGGGCCCATGTCCCCCCTGTGCAGTGCCTATTTCCTTGCGCCACCCCCCCCCCCCTTGCAGCGCACACCAGTGTTGCCCCTGCCCCAGCTGCCCATGATGTCCCTTGGACCAGGCGCTCCCTGTCCTGCTCTGCCCCAGGAGGGGCCTGGGGGGAGTGGGGGGGTCCTGTCCCCTCCAAGCTGCCCCCCAGCTCAGCCCTCCCGCTCCCCACAGGATGTGGACAATGCCACGCTGTCCCGCCTGGAGCTGGAGCGCAAGGTCGAGCTGCTGATGGACGAGATCGGCTTCCTCAAGAAGCTGCACGAGGAGGTGGGGAGCCGGGAAGGGGGGGCTGGGGCAGGGTGGGGGGGCAGCAGGTGGGATCCACACGCTGTGCTGGCCCATGTGCCCACTCAGGAGCTGCGGGACCTGGAGGTGAGCGCCCCGAGCCCGGCCGTGCCGGTGGAGGTGGAGGTCTGCAAACCGGAGCTGACAGCCGCGCTACGGGAGATCCGCACCCAGTACGAGAGCATCGCCGTGAAGAACCTGCAGGAAGCTGAGGAGTGGTACAAGTCGAAGGTACCCGGGGCTGTGGGGAACCGAGGGGGGTCATAGGGGGGTTTCGGGGTGATCTGGCATCCCCCTGACTCCCCCGGATGCCCCCCCCCCAGTTTGCTGACCTCTCGGATGCGGCCAACCGCAACCACGAGGCGCTGCGGCTGGCCAAGCAGGAGATGAATGAGTCGCGGCGGCAGATCCAGAGCCTCACCTGCGAGGTGGACGGGCTGAAGGGCATGGTGAGAGCTGGGGGGGGTGTGGGGTGTGTCCTGGGTGGGGGGAGCAGGCACCAGACCCCCACCCCAGCGCCCTACACAGCCCCTTCCCCCAACCCCTCGCAGAATGAGGCGCTGCAGCGGCAGATGCGGGAGATGGAGGATGAGTTCGGGGAGGAGATCGGGAGCTACCAGGACGTGGTGGGGCGGCTGGAGCAGGAGATCCAGCAGATGAAGGAGGAGATGGCGCGACACCTCCGCGAGTACCAGGACCTGCTCAACGTCAAGATGGCCCTGGACATCGAGATCGCCACGTACCGCAAGCTGCTGGAGGGCGAGGAGAGCCGGTGAGGCTGGGGGAGAAGCTGTCTGTGTTCCCCCCCCCCCCCTCCCCCCCCAGCTTGTTATGGGGTTTTCTGGCACGGAGGCGGCTCTGGGTACCATTTCCCCAGGGAAAGAAAAAGTTCCCATGGGAGTTTGTCACTGCCGAGATAAAGGCAAGGCCGGAGGAAGGCAGCCCCCGGGCACAGCCCAGCGCTGGCCCAGATTAACCATCATGTGGGTCACTGACTCAATGGTGTGGGAGGGTCAAGGTCACCAGCGATGCCCGGGAGCCCCAGACTCCCCTCACCTCCCCTCTGCCCCCCAGGATCACCGTCCCCCCGCACCCCGCCAGCTCCTTCAGCGTGAGAAGTTCAGGTGAGGAGGGGAGGGGGGGGTCTCCTGCTGTGTCTGGGGGGTGGGGTGTCTGTCTTTCTTCCCTCTTTGGGGCAGAGACCCGCCTGGGGGTGCAGTTGGGTCCTGTCCAGGGTGGCTTTGCACCCACCCACACCCCGGGGAGTGGGGGCTGGGGGGGCTGATGGCCTGTGTGTACCCCAGTGCCAGAGCTGCAGCCTACGGAGAGCCCGGCGCGGAGGATGGTGCTCATCAAAACCATCGAGACGCGGGACGGGCAGGTGGGGGCTGGGGGCTGCAGGAAAGGTGGGGGGGGTGTGTGTCCCTGCATTGGGGGGGGAAGCCCCATTGTGGGGCTGACACCCCCCCCACACTTCTTCTCCCCCCCGCCGTAGCAAGTGGTGACGGAGTCGCACAAGGAGCGAGCGGAGCCAGGGAAGTGACGGCCATGGCCAGGGGGGTGGGGGGCTCTGCCGGACCCCTCTGTGCCCTGGGGAGCGGAGCGGGGAGCTGCCCCCCCCATCCCCACTACCAGCGCCGTGGGGCAATGCTGTAGTGCAGCCCCGTGCCTTCTGTGTGTGTATGTGTGTGTCCCCCTCCATTTATTGCTATTTATTGCCTTATTTATTTCTCTCCCCGCTGGACCGTCAGATGTATTTAACGTTTAACCCGGGGGGGGGGGGGGGGGGGGGGCGTATCTCTGCTCACCTCTTGCTGATGGAGGTCCCGCACCCCCCCCTCCAGCGGTTTGGGGGGGTCCTAGGCGCTCCCCCCCCGGCCGTGGGTGCTGCAGGAGGGAGGGAGTGCAGGCCCTAATTTGGGAGGGGTGGGGGGGTATCCGGGGGCTGCTCCCCCCCCCGCTGTCCCCATCCTGCTTGAGCGGCAAATAAAGGCTGTGGCGAGGATGGGGCCGAGTCACTCGTGGGAAGGGGGAGAGTGGAGGGCGCTGGGGGTGTTCAGGAGTGGGGGGGGGGGGGGGTTCAGGACGGGGTGGGGGGGGACCGCGGGGTGCTGGACCCCGCCGCGCAGCTGGGCGCGGGTCCGCCGTTATCCCACAACCCCCCACCTGGCGGCGCTCTACCCTCCCATCCTCTCTATGATCGGCCGCTCCCCGCTCCCCAGAGCTGATCCCAGCCTCTCGCTGACGGGCCGAGCCCCGCCCCCGGAGCGACGCTAAGCCAATCGCAGCCGGGCGCCTGCCGCCTCTCCGCCGCTGATTGGTCAGCGCTGGGCCGCGGGGCGGGACATGGGCCGTGGCGGTGTTTTGTAAACCGGCGGGGTCCGCGCTCATGGCGGAGCCGCGTTTCGGGGCTGCTCAATCGTGACAGCCCCCCCCCCCCCCCCCGTAACCGTGACACCCCCTTCCCCCCCAAACTGTACCCTCCTCGCCCCCCCAGACCCGGCCATGCCAACCTCCGTTCTGCCCGGGGGAGCGAGGGGCTCGCCTGACGCCCCCACCTCAGCACCACCTCCACCCCCCCCACCCCCCCCCCAGTTAGAGGGGGTGTAGGCGCGATCTGGGGGGACACAGGGGGACAAACCCCTGAAATTCCCCCCGCCCCGTTCCTGTCCCCCGCAGCCGTGAAAGCCGGGCCCGGCCCTGAGCCCGCTGCCAGAGGGGATGTGGCTGTGTCACGGGGGGCTGTGGGGTGCTTCTGCGCCCCCCCCCCCCAGGGCCCCCCACCTGCCCTGACTATGGGGGGATCCTCCCCCCTCCGGAGGGGAGAGTGGTGCAAGAATTTAGGGGGGATGAGGGCCAGAGGAACCCCGAAGTGGCGGCACCGGCTCTTCCCAGTGCACGTGGGGGGGTGTCTCGGGGCTGGGGGTGAACCTTGGGCTGCAGGGGGGGCTCGGGATGGGGCGGGGATGGATTCTGGGGTCAGGGAGGGAGCTGGGGGGGGCGCATTTTTGAGCAGGGGTGTTTCTCGGGAGGTTGGGGACACCACGGAGGGGGTGACACTGGAGGGGGTGATCGGGGGGAGGTGGGATCCAATACCCCCCCCGCCACACACAGAGCCACCTCCCTCCGGGGGCAGACAGGACCCTGACCCACGGGGGACCGGGGTGAGGACGCACCCACGGACACTGCACCGATAATAAAAGAGATGCTGCTGGACCTTGTTGTGGGGTCTCTGGGGCGGGGGAGCCCCCAGCCCGGCCAGCCTTTCCCGTGGGTCCCCAGGAGGACGGGCCCCCCCAGCCCGTGGGTGCCGTGGCTACACGGTCACTGGCCACGCGGTGGCAGCACCGGCCCACGGCCACACAGGGACAGGGCTGGGGACAGGACCGGGGTGGCCTGCACCCCGCGGGGGTCTGCGGGGCTGGGGTAGAGGGACCCCAAAGATCCCCGGGGCTGGGAGTGTCCCCAACGTGTCCCCGCACACGCGTGTGTGTTGCGGGAGGGGGGGGCGGGGGCTGTCGCTGTTCCCAGTGTCAGCCCACAGGGGGAAAGTGACAAGGAGGGTCCCCAGCAGTGGCCCAGAACCCTGGGGGTGCCCTCCCCCCTGTCCCGAGGGGTCCCCCCCATCCTGTCGTATCCCACCTCCCTGGAAGGCGAGGGCAGCAGCTGCACATCCAAACCCAGATTGTTTTATTGGGGGGAACACAGAGCCCAACGATCAGCTGCAGGGACGGGGGGTACCCTGGGGGTGGGGACAGCACTGGGACACCCCGACGCCCTTGAGGGTGCTGGCATGCTGGGGGGGGGGATGGGGGGTGGAACGACACTGACGGGGGTGATTTTGGGTGGGGGGATGTGGAGGAGCCGAGAGCTGCACGTACAGCGGGGCAGGGGACGCGGGTGTCCTCACGGGTGTCTTGTTGCACCCAAAGCTATCGTGGGGGACGGTGACACCAGTGGGAACTGGGACACGCCCCCCACCCCCCATCCCCGAAGCCCTGTCCCCGCGCCAGGGCGGGGGCTCAGTCGGGGTAGATGATGAAGCCGGAGAAGGTGCTGTACTTGTTGGTGTTGCCGCCGTGCACTTTGCCGCCGTCCAGCTTGACGAAAACCTCGTCGCCCACATCCAGGTGCAGGATGACGCTGTTGCTGGCGTAGTCGTAGTTTTGGTCTGCGTCCTGCGCGATGGCGCTGGCCCGCACCTTGGGGACACACACACACGCACACACACACACACACACACAGAGCCCTCAGGGACACCCCGTCCCCCCTCCCCGGCCCTGGGGGGAGCCTGGGAATGGGGTGTGGGACTGAGCTCTGGGCCCCCCCCCAGTCTGCTCAGCCCCTCCGGCCAGCACCGCTCAAGGTCACACCGCTCGTCCGCAGCAGAACTGGGCAAAGGAGATGGTGGTGTGTGTGTGTGTCTGTGTGTGTGTCCCTGCACCCTAACTGTTGCTGGCTGGCAGCAGTGACAGGAGGGGACAGGGACAGAGCCCCTCCCGCACCCTGGGGCCCCCCAGCATCGGGCCAGCCCCCTTGCACCCACAGCAGGCTGTCCGAGCTGGGTCTCACCGTCGGTGCTCAGTCCCGAGGACACGGTGGTGACCGGATCCAGAGAGCCCCAGTGCCCAGGGTCCTCCCCTGCCACCCCCTCACACCCCCCTGGGGACCATAGGATGCTCTGGGAGGGGGGCGCGGGGGCGGCATTGACTGTGCTGGATCAATCCTCGTTTCTCTCGTAATAAATGGGAAGTATCTGGGGCGAGGCTGCCGGCCGCAAACAAAGGGACTGGCCAGGGGACACAACACCCCCCCTGGCCCCCCCCCCCCCGGTGCTGGGGGCTGTCCCAGTTGGGGGGCCAAGCTGGTCACCCCCAGTGATGGTGGATGTCCCAGCTGGCCCCAAACCCGGTGCTCCCTGAGGATGGGGGACTCGTGTCCCCAAGGAGCCCCCGGGGATGGGGGTTTCGTGTCCCCGAGGCTGAGGCAATGGCAGGGGGTGGGGATGGGTACGGGGCGGCTCCCCCAGTCACCCCCTTCATGGTCCCAGAGGAGGAATGGGATGGGGGAAAATGGGTATGGGGTTACTGGGATGGGGGGAGCACAGATGGGGGGAAATGGGATGGAGGAAGAGGGTGGGAATTGGGGTGGAGGAATTGGGTGGGGGAAATGGAATGTAGGGATGGGGGGGGGGGGGGCGCGGAATCAGGATGGGTGGAGCCGGGATGGGGGATCAGGAATGGGGGGAAACCAGGATGCGGGAACTGAGGATAAGGTAAAACTGGAATGGGAAAATGGGGATGGGAGGAAACAAGATGGGAAAGCCAAGGTAGGGGAAGTGGGATGGGGAAACTGGGATGGGGGAGCAGCAGGGCTGGAGGAGCTGGGCTGGAGCTGGGTGGGGGGCACTGGGGGGACTGGGAGGAGTCGGTGCCGGTCCCGGTGCGTACCTGCCCGTTCTTCATGAGGTCGGCCCACATGCTGGTGCCGTCGCCGCCACGCATGAGGACGTGGTAGGTGAAGAAGTAGATGCCAGGCAGGGGGCAGGTGAACTTCCCACTCGAGGGCTCGTAGTAGTTGCCCACGTTGGTGACCACGTCGTCGAAGCGCAGCACCTCGTAGCCCTCATGGGGCTTCCGCAACCCCGCATAGAAGGCGATCTTGGGGCTGTAGAAGGAGGGGATGTACCCCCCGGGACCCGGCCCCGGTGGTCCCGGTGGCCCCGGCCGGCCCGGCTCACCCGGCGGCCCCCGCGGTCCCGGTGGTCCAGGGGGACCCCGAACGCCAGCGCGGCCCTTGCGCCCCGGTTCGCCCTTGGCGCCGGGCAGGAAGGGTGGCGGGGAGGCGGGGGGCAGCTCGGGGCCGGGGTAGGGGTCGCAGACCATGCGGCAACTGCCCAGCATCTCGTAGTGCGCGGCCGCCTTGGAGCTGTGCACCAGCAGCGGGATGGCCACCAGCAGCACCAGCACCATGGCCACGCCGACGGCCGCCCCGGCCACCCGCTTCCTGCGGCTCAGCCGGGAGGCGGCCAGGGCCAGCAGGTCCTCCTCACCCTTGGGTGCGATGGTGATGCCGGGGGGGAGGACGGCACCCAGCCGCCCACTGAGCCTCACGCTCTGGCAGGGACTGAGCTGGGAGCAGGGATGGGGACAGGGATGGAGCCGGGAGCAGGGATGGGGACAGGGATGGAGCTGGGAGCGGGAAGAACAGCAGGGATGGGGATAGAGATGGGAATGGGGACAGGGATGGAGCCAGGAGCAGGGATGGGGACAGGAATGGGGACAAGGATGAAGCTGGGAGCGGGGATGGGGACAGGGATGGAGCTGGGGACAGGGATGGAGCTGGGAGCGGGAAGAGCAGCAGGGCTGGGGCCGAGGATGGGACCAGGAGAGGGGCTGGAGCTGGGAGCGGGGCTGCGGATGGAGCCGGGACCTGCGGTGGGGAAGGGGACGAGACCGGAGCCGGTGATGGAACCGGGAGCGGAGCCGGGACCCGAGACGGTGACAGAGCTGAGAGCAGAGTCGAGAGCAGAGCCCCTGCAGCAGCCAGGACCGGAGCCGGTGTTGGAGTCGGGACCGGAGCCGATGATGCAACCAGGACCGGAGCCGGTGTTGGAGCTGGTGATGTAACCGGAGCCGGGACCCGGAGCCGGGATACAACCGGTAAGGAACCGGGATGGAGCCGCCGCGACGCGCGGGGCAACTTCTCGCCAAGTTGCCCGGGAGCGGCACCCCCGGGAGCGGGACCCCCTCCCCCGGGAGCAGCACCCCGTCCTCCGGGACCGGCACCCGAGCGGCCCCGCCGCTGCCCCGCTCTCCCCGGTACGCACCGGCGGGGACGGGCAGCTCCGCCCGGGAGCGGTTCTCCCGCAGCCGCCCCCGCGCCCCCCGCGTTCGGGGTCCCCGGGCCCCGTCATCTCGTCGTGTGTCCTCCCCCCCCCCCCCCCCCTTCCCCGGTGCCCGCCGGTACCTGCCGCCCGCCGCGCCGGGAGCCACGTGCGGGGCCGCCGCCCGCTCCGCGCCGCGCCCGCAGCCCCGCTCCGCCCGCCCCGCTCGACGGCACCGGGCACGGCGGGGGCGGGCGGGGGGAGGGACGGGAGCGGGCGGGTGTGCAAGGGGGGGGGGGAGTGTGCGAGGGAGGGGGGGGGGATGCCCGTGGGTGTGTGAGCGGGGAGGGGGGGGGCTGTGGGTATGCAAGGGGAGGGGGGGGCGCGCTGGGGGCACATATTTGGGGGGGGTGTCTGTGCGTGGGGGGGTGCAGAGGCCTCTGTGTGTGCGCGGGGAGGGGGGGGAGAAGGGGTGGGGGTGCGTGTGCGGGGCTGCGTGTGCAAGAGGAGGGGGGCAGGGGGTGCGGAGGGGGGTGGTGCGTGAGTGTGGGGTGCACAAGGACCCCCCCTCACCCCCATCCCCCCAGCTGGTGCAGCCCTGTGGGGCTCAGCCCCACGCACGGGCCAGGCAGGCTGGCGGCCGTGGGCTCGTTTGGGGGGGGGGGGGGCCCTCCCCACGGTTCACCCCGACTGCGTGGGTGCTGCCGGGGAGCCCCAGGCCGAGGCGGGGGGATCTTCTGGGGCACACGGTCCCTCCCCAGCCCCGGCGTGGCGACAGGATCACCGTCCCGGGGGGGGTCCGGTCCCCCCCGCGGCTCTCGCAGCCCGAGGGGCGGATGCGGCCCCGGCGGTTCCCAGCGCGGCGGCGGGGCCGGTGCTGGGGGAGCTGATTTACGGCTGCTCTTTGCAAATCTCGCCTGAATTTGCTCCGTTATGCAAAACCGAGCCTTGCCCTCCGCGCTCCCGGGAGAGCAGCCGCTCCCCCCGCCCCCCCCCCGCCTGCCGCTTCCCCGCAATTAGCGAGAAATCGGGGCAAAAAAAGGAGAAATCGGGCAAGAACGGCCGCTGCCCCGCGCCGGGGCCATCCCGCAGGGGAGGGTGGGGCGGGGGGGGGGCCCGTGCGTGGAGCCACCGCGTGGTGGGGACGGGCCCTTGGGGTGGGTTTGCACACGCGTGTCGGTGGGCAGGGGTCCACGCGTGTCCTCGCGGTGGCAGCGGCGGCTGGTCCACGTCTGTGGGGTGCGTGGATGTGGGGTGGGGGTGCGTGTGTGTGCATGTGCGTGGATGTGTGTGTGTGCATGCCCAGTGCATGTGTGTGCTTGCAGTGTGCATGTGTGCATGCTCATAGCATGTGTGAGTATGTGTGTATACATGTGTGCATGCTCAGTGCATGTGTGTACATGTGTTTGTACGCACAAAGCATGCATATACATGCACAAACATGCACTGAGCATGCACACACGCATACACACACGCGCTATGAGCATGCATGTGTACACAGCATGCACACACACATCACTCATATGCACACATCAGGTACGTGTGTGCATGCTCTGTGCACGTGTATATATGTGTGTGCATGCTGCATGTATGTGTGTGCATGCTCTGTGCATGTGTGTGCTGTGTACGTGTGTGTGCATGCTGTGTACGTGTGAGTGCTGTGTACATGTGCATGCTGTGTGCATGTGTGTGCGTGCTGCGTACATTTGTGTGCATGCTGTGTACACATATGTGTGCGTGCATGCTGTGTACGCGTGCGTTCATGCTGTGTACATGTGCGTGCGTGCTGTGCACGCACTATGCGCGCTCTGTGCACGCCGCATGCGTGTTCCTGTGTGCGCCGGGGCGCGGGCGGGGCAGATGTGTGATTTATCCGTGGATTTGGCGGTGCCGGGGGGATCGATCACCGCGATACCGGCCGGATTGATGGGCACTTCTCGCGGGAGGATCGATGCGCTCCCCCCGCACCGGCTGTGATCGGGCGACAGATCCCGGTGGCTGGAGCATCTCCCCCGCTCGCCCCCGCCGGGACGGGGTCTCGGTGCCACCGGTGCCACCCCTGTCCCTCCCCGGGGACGGGGATGCCCCAGTCCTACCACCCCCTCCACCGGCTGAGCCTAATGAGCAGCAACAGCAAATTAATTAGCCGGCTGCGAGGGGAAGCCCAGGTGGTAATTAGCAGGCACGGAGGGGTGGCGGGGAGTGGGTGGCTGGGGCCTGGCTGTGGGGACATGAGGGGACACCAGGGGGGTCCTGGGTGCTCCCAGGCCTGCTGGAAGTGGGGGGGTCAGGGGGGAGCCAGTGCTGGGGGGAAAAATAGCGGTGGCGGTGCAAAAGGTCAGCCCCGGCGAGAGCAGCCATGGGGAAATGGGAGGGATGGGGGGGTCAGGGCCGAATCCTGCCCTTGGCGCTGGGCTTGGCCCCGGTGCCTGACTGGTGCAGGGGGGGGTGTCTGGGTTTGGGGGGGCTCAGCTGCCAGCCCAGCGCCGGGGCTGAGCCCTCACACCGGCACGAGGCAGGTGCCAGCGGCCACGGTGGGGACATGCCCAATCCCTTGTGGCTGCACCGCGCCGTGCCTCGGTTTCCCCATCCCGGCTGCTCTCCCTGCCTCCCCCCACCCTCCCCAGGCAGGAGGCGGTTTGGGCCACCCCGATGGGGACAGACGCGTCCCCAACCGCAGAGCCGGGAGCTGAGCCTGGTGCGAGCCGCAGGGGCCGGAGGCAGCCGGTGGAGCCGCGGTGCCGGGGCGCAGAGCATGAATAAATGCATCAGGCTGCGGCCCCTCCGCCCCCCCCGCGGCAGCCAGCGGGGCTGGCAGCACCGGCGCGGCGAGGGGGGGCTTCGGTGCAGCCACCCGGGGACCCCACGGTCACCAGCTGTCCCCCGTGTCCCCCGGGGACCCGCCGTGCTCATGCAGTGGCTCCGCAGGGTCGCATTCAGTGCTGGCACGGCCCCGGCGCTCGGTTCCTGAACCCTGGTGTGAGCCCGGTGCTGGTGCGTGGTCCTCAGCACCCACTGCGTGGCACCCAGTGCCAGTTCATGGCACCCAGTGCCGGTTCGTGGCACCCAATGCTGGTTCATGGCACCCAGTGCCAGCACACGGTCCTTAGCACCCGCTGCATGGCACCCAGTGCCAGTTCATGGCACCCAATGATGGTTCATGGCACCCAGTGCCGGTTTATGGTCCTTAGCACCCAGCGCATGGCACCCAGTGCCGGTTTATGGTCCTTAGCACCCAGTGCATGGCACCCAGTGCCGGTTTATGGACCTTAGCACCCAGTGCATGGCACCCAGTGCCGGGTCATGGCACCCAATGATGGTTCATGGCACCCAGTGCCGGTTTATGGACCTTAGCACCCGGTGCATGGCACCCAGTGCCAGTTCATGGCACCCAATGATGGTTCATGGCACCCAGTGCCGGTTTATGGTCCTTAGCACCCAGTGCATGGCACCCAGTGCCAGTTTATGGTCCTTAGCACCCAGCGCATGGCACCCAGTGCCGGTTTATGGTCCTTAGCACCCAGCGCATGGCACCCAGTGCCGGTTTATGGTCCTTAGCACCCAGTGCATGGCACCCAGTGCCGGTTTATGGACCTTAGCACCCAGTGCATGGCACCCAGTGCCGGGTCATGGCACCCAGCACTGGCTCATGCTCCCCAGTGCTGGCTTGCGGTCCCCAGCGCCGTGGGATGTCCCCCCACGTCTCCCCACAGCTTCGCCCAGCGTGTCCCCGTGCCGGGGTGCGGGGCAGTTTGGTGTGTCAGCGCGGGCCGGGCGGGTGCAAATGAATATCGATGGGCTGGAGTGGCCGGGTGCTGAGTGCCAGACAGGACCTGGCCGCGGTGCGGCTGGGCCGGCCCAAATTGGATGAAAATTGTCCTTGAAGGGCGACAATAAACCAGCAGCTGGGGCGGGGGCTGGGGGGCCTGTGGGGCCGGGCTGGGGCGGGGGGGGAGACTCCCCGGGCCATCCCGGTGCTGCTGAGGTGAAATGGGCGCTGGGTCCCGGTGTGGGATGTGCCAGCACCGGGGGGACGGTGCTGGGAGCATCACCCCCCCCGCTCTGGATGGAGCCTGCGGTGTCGCAGCACCCCAGGGGCCTTTGGGTCGTCCCCCCCCAGTTTTTTTGGGGTGGCAGAAGTGGCTGGGCAGGCAGAGCATCGCCTGCACTGGGGGGGCCACTGTCATGTCCCTCCACTCCCAGCTCCAGCCCCGGCCGGGTCACCTCCTGCTCTCACCCCACATCCATCCCCCCCCCCCCCGCCTCAGCACCTCCTGGGCACCCCCAGCTTGTTAGTGTCTGCTGCTAATTGGTGAGGGAGCAGCTGGGAGGGTGCTGGAAGGGTCTGTGGGGTGGGGACACAGTGAGTGGGGGGCTCGGGGTGGGGACAGGGTCAGGGTGGGAGGGGTCCCACTGATCCCACCCAGGGGTAGCATCACACCAGCGCTGAGCAGTGCTGGGGTGGGGGGGTGGGTTTATTGGGGGGGGGGGGAGGAGGGGGAGCAAGGCTGCACCTGGGCCACTGCTGTGATGAGCTGTAGGGTCTCAGCCATAGGGGGTGGCAGCCCATCATCTGGCTCCAGGCTGGAGAGGGGGGGGTATCCCCTGGGAAGGGGCAGCTGGGGGATCCTGGGGGGGGGATTTACGTCCCCTCCCGGCTGTGCCCCCCCCCTCCCCGCACCGGCGGGGGCCCGGCAGCGGGGCCGTCCATCACAGCGTGCCGGCGCCTGCCGAGATGGATGGCTGCAGGCCGGCCCGGATTAATTCTCTGGACAAGCGGCATTTATTACGGATGCAGAGGATGTCAGGCGGAGAAATCCATCCCGGCCGGGCGGCAATTAAGCGGGTGGCCGGGGCACCGGGGGCCCCCTTCACCCCCCCGCCACCTGCCCGGTCCCCCCCTCCAGTGCCAGCACCCCGGGTCCCCCCGCCCTGTGGGTCCCCCCCAGCCTTGCCACGGGGTGCTGGGGGTGTCCCCGTCCCCCTCATCCCCCCCCCCAAGCCATGCTGCCCCCCCCCCCCCCTTGCCGGCAGGGCTGGGGCCTCATTGCAGATTCGCCTCATGCCCACCTGAGCCGGGCGCTGACAAATAGACATTTAAATCAGACAATTAGCTGGCCTCCACCGCTGACATTTTTAATGTATTAATGTGCATCAACAGCTAATACATATAAAATTCCCCTAATAACAGCACTCGGGGAGCGGGGCCGCGCCGCAGCCGGCGCTGGCAGTGATGTACGAGTCCAGAGGGACTCCGGCCCCGGCGTTTGCATTAATTACCAGCAAAGTGACAACCGGCGTGACACGCGGGACGGTGCCGGATGCCTTCGCCCATCCCCGCGGCCGCTTCGGCCGAGCCCCGGCGTGCACGTGTGTGTGTGTGTGTGAGTGTGCGTGCACGGTGCAGCTGCGAGTGCACGGGGCGGTGGTGCCATGTGTGCGTGCGTACACGCGTGTGCGTTGTGGTTTGTGCGTGGGGATGCTCTGCCCGGGCTGGAGGGGGGGGGGGGGTTGGGGTGGGCTGCGTGTTCCTGCTGGGAGGGGGGTGTCAGGCATGTGTGTGTGTTGGGACACGTGTGCGTTGGGACATGTGTGTGCATCAGGGCGTGCATGTGTGCTGGGACTTATGTGTGCGTTGGGACGTGAGTGCATCAGGGCACGTGTGTGTTGGGACACGTGCGCAATGGGCCATGTGTGTGCGTTGGCCCATGTGTGTGCATCAGGGCATGCGTGTGCACTGAGACATGTGTGCGCTGGAACATGTGTGTGCATTTGGACACGTGTGTGCATCAGGACATGTGTGTGTGCTGGGCCACATTTGTGCATCAGGGCGTGTGTGTATGTTGGGACACATGTGCATTGAGACACGTGTGTGCATTGGGGCACACATGTCCATGGGCACCCACGTGTCCCCAGCCATGGTCCCCGCTGTCCCCTGTCATGGTCCCCTCATGTCCATTGTCACGGTCCCTGCATGTCCCCAGCCATGGTCCCCTTGTGTCCCCTGTCACGATCCCTGTGTGTCCCCTGTCACGGTCCCCACGTGTCCCCTGTCGTGGTCCCTGCGTGTCCCCGGCCGCGGTCCCCGCGCGCCCGGGAGGTGACAGATGCCTCAATTCTCAGGAAGGCGCCAGAAATCGATGCCTTAAACGCTGGTGGCCGGGGCTGATCAATGGCACCAATTACACCCACAAACGAGCACTCACGGGGGCTGGGGGAGCCCCCCAGGACCGCCCTCCCCCAGGCTCGGGCACCCCATGACCCCCCAGGGGCTCCTCTGCAGCCCGCTGCCCCCCTGTGTGGGGGGGCACCCAGGGGAACTGAGGCTGCTGGGGGGGGCTCCAGCCCCTCCCCGCCCCATCGATCGCCAGCCCCGCGCGCCGTGGGCAGATTTGACATTTTAAAATCCAGATACTTAAAGGAATCGATCGCGATGCGAGACCCCTGCACCCCCCCCGCCCCCCGCATCCATCCTGCAGCAAAATGGGGGGGCACAGCACCACAGGCCCCCACCATCCTGGGGATCCAGTTAGGGGTCCGGTGCCCACCCAAGCGGGGGGTGCCCCCACTTCCCCACCCTCATCGAGGCTGGCAGGGCTGGGCCCCCCCCCCGGTGCAGGGCTCGGGGGCAGTGGAGCGTGGGCTGGGGTCTGCTGGGACCCGCTGTCAGGGAGGCAGCCAGGCGCGGGGTGGGCAGCGGGGGGGGGGGGGGAGGGCGCTGTCAGCCCACCCTGACAGGCAGCAGAGCTGGTGGGGGGGCTCCCCAGACACCATCCTGACCTCTCAGCTCCCCCCCCCCCTCAAAAGCAGGGCTTTGCCCAGTTGTACCCTGGCTGGGGAGGGGGACTGTGGGGTCCCCGTTCAGCAAATTGGAGGGGGGGGATATGCACCCACAAAGCCCATCTGGCCGCGCTGCCTGAGGGGGGGGTGCTGAGGTTATGGGGGGGGGTTTGCAGCCCCCTGGGCCTCGCTAGCGGGGGCTGAGCCCCCGACGCAGGGCGGCTGCGGGGCCGTTAATAATGGATGAGACCAAATTGGCGGCCGGCAGCCGGTTAATCCCTGCAAACACGGCAGCGGGGGCTGAGCAAACAGGGGCGGCGAGTCCCTGGGGGCTCGGGGGGGGGGGGTGTCAGGCTGCGGGGGGGGCCCTGCACCTGGCTGACAGCCGCCACGCAGTGGGTACCCCAATGCTCAGCAGTGCAGTGTGCCGGGGCTGGCCACACACCGGGAGGGGGGTACAGGGTGCTGGGGTGCTGGGGTGGGGTACCCAGTGTGTGTGTGTGTGTGTGTCCCAGGCCCCCGCAGCGGCGCGGTGATGCCGGTGCTGTGCCCTTTGCCCGGTGTCGTGCTGGGGCAAAGTCTGGCGGGGGGGGGGGGGAGCGGTGCTGCCGGGAGCTCCGTGGGGAGAGGTGGGTCTGGGGGGGCTGGAGCCCTGCTGGTGTGGGGTTTGGGGGGGCTGTGGGTACACGGGGTGCTGGGTGGGGACATGGGGTGCTAGGTGGGCTCAGGGGACCCTGGGTGGGGACACTTGGGACCGTGGGTGGGGACATGGGGTGCTGGGTGGGCTCACAGGGTGCTGGGTGGGGACACAGGGTGCTGCATGAGCTCACAGGTGACCCTGGGAGGGCTCACAGGGTGCTGGGAGGGCTCACAGGGTGCTGGGTGGGCACAGAGGACCCTGGGTGGGCTCAGGGGACCCTGGGTGGGCTCACAGGGTGCTGGGTGGTCTCAGGGGACCCTGGGTGGGCTCACAGGGTGCTGGGTGGGCTCAGGGGACCCTGGGTGGGGATGCACTGGCCATGGGTGGGCATGCAGGTCACTGGAGGGGGTCTGGCACAGAGAGGGGGGGTGACAGCGTGACCCAGGGTCCCTGACTGCACTGTCCATCCCACAGGAGCCAGATGCCGGGGCTGCGCTGGTGCCTGCCAGGACGGTGACCCCCCAGCCCTGGGCAGCCCCGCCAAGCCGGTTGCCACAACCGGGGGGGGACGATGGCCAAGCGGCTGGTGGTGGCCTACGGGCTGTGGGCGCTGGGGCTGCACCACATCTACCTGGGCCGGGACAGCCACGCGCTGCTCTGGATGCTGACGCTGGGCGGCTTTGGCGGCGGCTGGCTCTGGGATTTTTGGCACCTCCCTGGCTGGGTGGCTGCTGCCAACGGGGTCAGGGTGCCTGGGGACCGCGGTGGGACCGTGCCGGCCCTCAGCCCCCTGCGCTTGGCGGGGCAGGTGACAGTGGGGACGTATTTTGGGCTGGTGGCAGCCCTGGGGCTGCCCTGGGTGCCTGCGCTGCTGGCACAACCCTTGGCTGTGGGGCTGGGGGTTCATCTGGTCTCCTCGGTGGGGGACCAGACGGCGGAGGCACCTGGCATCCTGGCTGCAGCCTTCCTCGCCTCGCTCCTCTTCCAGGGCCGGGTGCTGGCGGTGCTGCCCGCCAGCCTGGCCGCCAGCATCGTCGCCCAGCGGCACCGACGCTACAAGCCACGGGGGATGCCCCAGCCCCGGCTCTCCGCCCGGCTCTACCACCTCGGGCTGGCGTGCCTGGCTTTTGCCGCCCCGCTCAGCTGCTGCGGGCTCTGCGGAGCTGCCAGGGTGCTGGGCACCCTCCTGGCCCCGCTCCGGGCTGCCACCGAGCTCCTGCTCCTGCCCCTCCGCGCCGGCCAGCTGCTGGCAGGGCTCCTGGGCTTCACCGGTGGCTCCTCGGCTCAGGAGCGCGGCACCGGCTTCCAACTGAGTGGCTGGACCGAGCGGCAGCAGCAGGCGTACGAGGTGCAGGATGCGGCGCTGGGCACCCCGGGGAGGGAAGGGGGGGGTGTGCTGTGCTGGGGGGGGATCCATGGGGTTTAGCTGCTCCCCTGCCTTGGAGTGGGGAGGGGGGGCACCCACCCTTTTTGGGAACACCACCTCCCAGCTGCTGAAGGCACATGCAACCCCCCTGCATGGCCCTGAGAGGGTCCCCCCCCAGCCCACCCCAGCGTGTCCCTCTCGCCCCAGGTCCTGGGAATCCCAGCTGGCTCCTCTGCTGAGGATGTGCACCGGAGCTACCGGGAGCTGGTGAAGGTTTGGCACCCGGACCACAACCGGCACCGGGCTGAGGAGGCCGAGAGGCGCTTCATTGAGCTGCAGGAAGCCTACGAGGAGCTGGCGGGGGCCCGGCGAGCAGCGGGGGGGTGACAAGAGCCGGGGGCGGGGGGTTAGGATTTGTAAACACGACGTTTCCCTCTTGCCGCTTGTTCGTTCCTTCGCTCGGCGCGGCCGGGCCTGGCGATAAACCGTTGATAAACCAGGGATGGCTGCAAAGCAATGGGGGGAGTGAACTGTTGCACGTGGGCTTGTGCAAAGCATTGCACGAGGCAGCTGCCAGGCCTTTGCACGGCGCCGGTGCCACCGCGGGGCGAGGTTGGGGGGGGTGCGGGGGGAGCAGTTAAGGCGGAGAGGAGCCGCGAACCCGCGGAACGCAGAGCTCGGCCTTTCCCGGAGGGCACTCGGGCGTTTCCGCCGCAGGGCGGTGGCTCTCGGCAGTTTCCGTCCACGTTCGGCACCCGCCGCCCCGCCCCGCCCCGCCCCTCGCGGGGGCGGGGAGGCGGAGCTTCGGCACCGCGGGATTCGATTGGTTCTCGGCGGTGGTTGGCCACTCCCTCCCCGCACGCCGGCGGCGGGAGGGGGCGGGGTTTTCACAGCGCGTCGGCTGGGCCGCTTCGCCATTGGCTGGCGGGATGCCGCCCTCCGCGAGCCGCTCCTGGCCCCCGCGCGCCCAGGGGCTGCGCCCTGCCCCCTCATTGGCCAGGAGCGCTCCGCCCGGCCCCCGCGTCGCATCTGAATGGCTGGAGAGGAAGGAGGGCGGGCCGAGCCGGGCCTTCCTCGCCTTCTCATTGGCGCAGTCCTCCAGGAGGGCGGGAGCGGTGCGGCGGCCGCGCGTCGCCATTGGCTGCCGAGCGGTGAGCCTCGCTCCGATTGGCTGGGCGCGGCGTGAGGGCTCCTGCCGGGCCGCGGCCCCCGCCCCCCTCCCCGGTGCATCGCGGCGGCCTGAGGTGAGGGGGGGGCGCGGCGGACGGGCCCCCACCGCCACGGCCGGTGAGTGCGGGGCGGCCGGGGGCTGCGGGGCCGGGCCAACGCGGGGAGGGGGCGGGGGCGAGGGGTGGGGGAGGGCGCAGCCGGGGGCCGGGCCGGGAGGGGCCTTGTGAGGGGGGGTGGGGGGGCTGAGGGGCCTTGTGAGGGGTAATGGGGGGGCTGAGGGGCCTTGTGAGGGGGCACGAGGGGGTCGGAAGGCCCTTGTGAGGGGGTTTGGGGGGACTGAGGGGCCTTGTGAGGGAGTTTGAGGGGGCTGAGGGGCCTTGTGAGGGGAAATGGGGAGGTCGGAAGGTCCTTGTGAGGGGGTTTGGGGGGGCTGAGGGGCCTTGTGAGAGATTGGGGGGGGTCGGAAGGGCCTTGTGAGGGGTTTTGTGGGAGCTGAAGGGCCTTGTGGGGGGGTTTGGGGGGGCTGAGGGGCCTTGTGAGGGGGTTTGAGGGGGCTGAGGGCCTTGTGAGGGGTTTGGGGGGGTTGGAGAGACGTTGTGAGGGGTTTGGGGGGGGCTGAGGGGCCTTGGGGAGGGGGATGAGGGGTCTTTTGTGGGGAAGCTGGGGGAGCTCTGTGAGGGAAGGAACAGCCTGCGGAGAAATGGGGGAAGCCCAAGGGGTGCTGTGTGGGGAAGGGGGTGCTCTGTGCGGGGTGAGGCGTTTGGGGTGGTTTGGGAGGGAAGGATGATAGTGATGGGGGACTGGGAGAGGGCCTGGGTACTGGAGGGGCATGGGGAGGAGTAGCACCCCTTCCCCACCCCCCCGCGATGGGGAGGGGATAGGGGGGGAGTGGGCCAGTGGGGTGGTGGGCAGGGGTGCCAGTGGGGGACCCAGGGGTGGCTGTAGAAGAGGGTTTGTGGGTTGGGCTGAGTGGAGCAGAAGGGTTTTAATGGGGTAAAGGGGGGCAGGGGGGACCGTGGGAGTGTGGGGCCAGCATGGCTGACGGGGAGTGGACAGTCAGGGGTGTTAATACATTATTTATGCCGCAGACAGTGCACGTACACAGCCCAGCTCACCCATTGCTTCCACCCGCTGTCCTTCCTCCCTGCCTCCGCCGTGCCTCTCCTGCACCGGCCCAGCTCGTAAATCCCAGGGGCAGGAATCCTCTCCCGGCGTGCCTGGAGATCCTGCTCTGTGGCCTTTGGTTGTTACTGTCACACAAATAATTAACTAATTAGGGTGGTGGAAAGCAGGCTGGGTTGCAAAGAGGGAAATGTTATTTTTCTTCCCCCCATACCTCCCCAGGGTTCTGATCTTAGCACACCTAAAGCTTGACTTCCCCCCCTCGCCCCATTCACTCAGGATTTTCTCCGTGAGAAAGTGAGCCAGCATGAGTTAGAAGGTGGCTTCCCCCCCACTCTTTTCCCCCCCGTGGGTGCTCATCGGTGCTGTTCTTGTTTTGTGCTTGATGATCAGCTTCCTGAGTGAGCAGAAATAGGCGTTAATGTATCCGCAGAGGGAGCTGTTGCAGAGAAGTTGTGAAGCCTGCTTCCCCGCAGAGACAGGCCCTATGCCGCGGTTGCATAGGAAGGAAGGCGAAGAATAGGATTTTGTTCAGTTTGGAGAGGGGAGAAAATCCTGTATGGGATGTGGGATTTCCTTCTGAGGGTGCCTTAATATTTCTCCTGTGGTAATTGCCCTCCCTGGGTATAATGTTCCTCTGCCAGGGGTGATGGAGGGGTGTCAGGGGTGATGGAGGGGTGTCAGGGGTGATGGAGGGGTGACAGGGGTGATGGAGGGGTGATGGTCAGATCAATTCTCTTGCAAAGCAGTTTGCCATCATCGGGCCATCAGAGGAGCTTGAGGAAACAGAAACAAAAGCTTCTGTGTGGAGCCTTTGTTAACTGATGGGAGGTAAACTTGGAACAATGGACAAAAAATTCCCCTGCCAACTACCGTGGGATCCGCTTCAGTGTCCCGCCAGAGTCTGGTGGCTGTTTTCATGATTTTGAGCTTTGTAGAATGATTACTTCTCACTAACTTTGCGCTGTGCTTCCCGCTGGATGCTGCCATTGGAAAGCTCTGGCTGCCACGTCTTTCTTTGGAGGTGTTGCAGATCTTGAGGCCTTTTGCCTCGAAAGTTACAGGCAGGGGGTGTGGAGTGTTTTCACGTACTGTTTGGCTCTGGGACTTCGGGATTTTTAAGCAGGACTTGCTCACACAAGCTGGGGGTGCCCTGTTACGCAGTCTGGCTGGAGTATAGGCCTGAATCCGGGAGATTTTGGGACCGGTGGGAGGTCTGGTAGAGCAGAAAGGGCAGCGGGCAGCGGTGTTTGGGGTGAGAGTCCCCTAATTCCTCATGACTATGGCTGGCACCGAGCTCCTGGCATCCCTCGTAGCCCGCCCTGGGGAGACAGAGTGTGGGAGCGCAGCCTGATCTGTGCTTGGGTTGAGGATTAGAGGCGGAATCTCCCCAGAAAAACCTGCATCGGCGTTGGCGCTACCCCCTGAAAGGTGGGGGGGCAGAAGCGGGGGTCTGACAGCGCTGCAGCGTCTCCCCTCCCTCAGTACTGCTGGCCCGGGAGGGCCTGCTGAGGCGTCACTGGGGTCCCTCTCACTCTCCTGCTGTCCCACGGTGTTGCTCTAAGCACTCGGTGCTTGGGGCCTTGTGTTTATTTATTTCCTTTACTGCAATACTCTGTCAATAACGTAGTTTGTGTGCGTGGGGCCAGCGAAGTGCATGCAGCCTGTCTCAACTCTTGATCCGCATGGAAGCTGGGTTCAGTGGCTGTTTTGCTGTATATCACATATACGTGGCCACAGCAGTGTCTGCTGAGGCTACTGTCGTTTCAAGTTTGCCAGACTAAACTCCTCTTGCAGGGATTGACTAATGCAGAAGGTTTTTTTTTTTTTTTTAATTGTAGCTTACTCTTCAAGGGGCATTTAAATATTTTATGATTTTTCTGGGCCATGCAACCCCTAAGCAGAAGATTCTTGTTGGATTCAGGACAAAGGAGCTCTAAAGGTGATTTGGAATCTGAAGAGGATATATCGGTACTGCATTTTAAAAAAAATAGTAGATCTAGCAATTAAAATATAGGGCTTGTTTTTAATGATATTTTCAAGCTCTGTCTTGGGATATCAGACCTGGAGATTAGCTATAATCAAGGAAAAAGCTGAGGGAAGGTTTCTAGTAGGACTACAGTAATCCAATTCACCCCATTTAAATTTGGGGAGATGAAGGATGTTTTCACTGCTTAAAGTTGGGCAGTGAATGTTGGGCAATGAACCTGCTGTATTTGCCATTATTTTTTCCTTTTCCAAAAGCTTCTGATTTTTAGGTACTTTGATAAAAAGTGAAACTTAAATCTAAAAGACATGTGTTTATCCACTTGAATATGAAAACTCTTGTCAAGTCCCTGAGACTCTTCCAGATCACAAATACAATCTAAAAATGGTAGTGATACAGGCAAAATGACCTGGGACGGACATACATGTGTGAGTTGCCATTGCAGCTGTTCCCTCCTGCGCAGGCTGCTCAGGAAGGGCTACAGAAATCTCTGAATGGAGGGAAGGAGGACCAGAACACTAAGTGCAAAGAGATCTTTGCTTCAGGAAAGCAAAATTCAGTGTCCAACTCCCAAGTGTTTTGCTCCTGCTGAGTTGCTCCGCATGTAAAGCGTCAGAAAGCCCACCAGCAATTCCCAGTTTATCTGGAAAGTGAGTATGGAAAACAGCGTCAGACCAGGAATCCTGCATCCAGGAATCCCGTAGCCCCCTCCTGAAGAACACAAACCCCTGTGGTCTGATCTTTTATCTTGTTTAAGTATTTGTAAACACAGCCATCGGGGGTTTTGTGGCACCTTCGGAATAGATGGGGGGATGTTTTGTCATCTGAAATGTGTAGTTTTACTTCTTTGTGCTGCAAAATGATGCACAATTAGCTTATGAGAGGTAGATGTTTGAGAATAACTAATGCTCAGTCGTGCTCTGCATAATGCATTTGGTGAAAGAACAATAAATGTGTGGATTTCAACAGAATATAGACAGCTAATTATCTCTGAGGTTAAATATTCAGTTCATTCCTGAGGAAATACTGAAAAAAAAAACCAACAAACCCCAAGAGTGATATTAAGAAACTATTTTTTTAAATCCTAAAATGGTTCTTTTTATTGTACAGTTTTATGATCCTTCATCCTGTACCATGGAAGGACTGGTCCAAAGCAGGGAAAGAAGCTGCTTTGTGCAGGCAGGGATGTGGCTGTGGGCGCCGGATTGTCCCAGACCTGTGCTGGGAGAGGCGAGGAGGCCGCGTGGCTCCTTCCCCGCCTGCTGTGGCCCAGCTGTTGTGTGGTGGAAGGAACTTCTGAAAACCGACTGTCTCGAGTTGAGGGGGGATAAAAAAAAAAAAAAAAAGAAAAAAACCCCCCCAAGTTACAGTGGGGCTTGTGCTGTGCTCGCTGCTCAACGGTGTGCTTCCTTCCTTTCTGATGCGGGGTAATAAAGCTGCCTGGCTTTGATTACAGCATCGGCCTGATGTGTTTGGTGGCCTGTTTCAGGGCAAAAAAGTTAGTTCTTCAAAACAGAAACGACCAAGACATCTGTTGAACATGAGAGATGAACAGACTTATTTTGGTCTGCTGTAACTTCACAGGTCTTTGCTGAAAAAAACTCCAAGTCTCAGTGTTTCAGCGCTGCATAAATTCCCCAGGGATTCAGTGGGGGGTCTGGGAAAAATGAGTTTGGACTGGCAGAACCCAGTGAAGGCAATAGAAATTTGGGGTGTCGGCGCTGTCTGTGTGCAGTGGGCATGTCAAACCTGCTCCTCCCAAGTTGTGGTCCATGACAGGTAGAATAAGTTCCTGAATTTCTAGCGCAATTGTTGCTTTTTTTTTTTTTTTCTTTTTTTTTTTTTTTTTTTTTTTTTTTCAGGACATGCTATAAAACTGAGTTAATTCCCTTCTTGTGTGAGCGCGTTGCGGAGCGGGGGCCCAGCGCTGTAGGTAAATACCCGGGTCCTCTGTGGTGCCGGAGTCTTGGAAAATGGATTTTTATTTGACAATGATTATAAATTACAAACAGGACAATTTATTCCACTGAAATGCTGTTGTGTGTACTCACAGAGACGACTCTTACGTGCTTGATCAACAAGATTAAGATAGGTTGGTAAGGGACTACTTAACTCAAAAGCCAATTAGCCAGATGCTACTGTACAGCGTGAATTATGCTCCAGCTGGGCGTGAGGGGGAGGCTGGGGACAGCCCACGGTGCTGCCTGCCCGCAGTCCCAAAACAACACTGGTGAAAACCCTCCCAAGGAGCAGATTTGTTTATTCTTCAGAACTCCAGGTTTCTCAGCAAAAGCATCTTCCGTAGACTAATAAAAAAATCCAGACGAATTTCTCACTGTTTATCATCTTTTCCTTCAAGTAGGGAGCTATCGAGTTCCGAAAGTTTGCTGAAATAATCCGTCTAGACAGAGCAAGAATAACACGGCAAGCTTACACCACGGGTGGGGGATTTAGAAGTAGTTTCTTTTTTGACTTGATGTCTGTAAAATTTTGAATGTTTTCCTTCTTTCTAAATTAGAGAGAATACGCTGATATTTGTGCATTTAACAATAATGTGCATTTCTAGTGTGTATTGGAAAAGTTTTGTGTTGTCAGCTCAACACTGGCTGCTCTGGGAGGAGTTTGGTTGCTCTGTCCGTAGCAGGAGGGAGTTTGGTTTCTGTGGGTTATATTGCTCCCCTGTCAGTTCTGTTATAACTGCAATATTTTATTTTAATCCTGCAGGTAGATTTCTTGACATTTTTGTATGGATGCTTTACTGTTTCTATAGATACATACGGTGCACTATATAAGCCTTATATTGTCCTTATCTGAAGGAGCTCTCTGCCTGTAATGAGTTTATTTGAACTTAAATTAACCTTTGCTATTTTGCCAGTCTTGAAATTTCCACTTGGGTTTTAAAAACGTGTGTGTGTGTTTTACAGCCCTCTCGCGCCAATCGGTTTAAGGTTCCCAGCTAAGAGCCGTGTTGAAATTTCCAGCAGATCTGCTGTAGAGACGCCGAGCTAAAGGCAGGTCACGCAGCCTGAACCCCAATTCTGACGTGAGCCAGAGCTGCTTTTGGCTGTCTGGCTCTAGATTCTTACCACTGGGTATATCGGATGAAATATTAATTGCATCATCAAGGAGTAAAGATTTGCCATTTTATACTCATCAGATATATCAGTGGGGTTTTGTTTCCAGTCCATTATTTTTGTGCTTAGAATTTAGCTTGCCAAAGAGTACTTCAGAACCTGCTGTATGTTGTTTGTTTTCCCCCCAAGACTTAATTACTGTTTATTTTTCTTCTTTGAAGTGGGTAAAAGTATATTTATTGGGTGATAAGGTGTAGTGTTTTTCAGGCTTTTTGAGATTTCATGATAACTTCTTTACTGGCAACTTCTGTTTTTTTACAGCTTGTTTCTAGACTTTGTCTGAACCAATTGTTCTTGCAGTTATTTGCTTTTTGGGGGTGCACGTGCAGAGGCAGTTTTTAAGTGTTGCTTTGTTTCATGAATTAAGTTTGAGGCAACTTGAGGGAGTTCATGTAAAGTACTCGCAAGCGTGATGTTACGGGTTTTTGTCAGCACCTGTGTAATTCCGCGCTCCCTCCGGATCAAAGCATGCTTCTCTTTATTTAAAAAATGAAATTATAAAGATGATTCTAAAGCACAGTTTTGTTTTATTTTTTGTTTGTTTGTTTTTAAAACTCTGAGCAATATATATATCCAGAAGGCATTTAACTCTGGTATCATAGGTCAGTGCGTGAGCACTTTCCTTCTCAGCAACCCCGCATTATCTCAAAATCACAGGAGGTGCCAGAGGTTCCCGGCAGCTGGATGGCTGCGCTGCCTGCGGAGCGTTTCCTGGTCGAGGACACAAAGCAGTCAGGCAGGGAAGTGAAACTTGGGTGTAATCGAGCAAACCAAGGCACAGCAGCCACGCTCGCACGGCCGGCACAGCTCGGAGCTCGACCTGCCGGCAGTCTCCAGGCGTCGAGCTCGGGGGCCGCTCACATCCTGATACAGCAGCCTAATCCTTCACTAAATTCTCCGGCTTCTGTGTTTTTGAGCAGAGTTTCAAATGCCACAGATTTTATGAGGTGATATTTAGTGCCTCGAGGCATCAAAGCGAATGAAGGCATTTAATTTGGAGAGCTGAAGGCGGCGAGGCAGGAGTTTGTAACCACCTCTCATTTGGGACTTTGCAGGTAAAAAATTCTTTTGCACAGGCTTTTTTTGTGCAGCCAGCGAGCGTCGACTCTGTCTCAGATTTAGATTGCTAGGGTCACTGGTTGGAAATAAGTTTTGAACTCCTCTGTAGCTAATAAAGGAGAATTCTAATGATAGAAAATGTCTATTTTTAAATCAAAATAGGCTCATTAGGATCCTGGCGATGAATCCTGGGGCAGCATTGCAGGTTCTTGTGTTGCAGGAGCATTGCTGCATTCCTCAGACTTGTAAACCATATCCCTAGAAATAATCCTCCTCGTCGGGGTGGGCGGGAGTTGAACTTCTAATTAATTCTGGAGCAAATTAGATGCGTGTTTCTCAGTGCTGTCATTTCATTTTCAAGGGCGTGTGGGTTTTGCTAAAATGTACAAGGTCTCCTGATGTTTGCTAAAATATTTTGCATTTTCAGTTACCTGCATTTTCCATACTGAAATGTCAATTTTTGTGTGTTTTCTCACTCCAGTGTGAATACGGCTTTGAGGTTTTGTGACGGGGGCCAGATCCTTCCTAGGGGTTAGGCGGGTTTGCTGTGGCAGAGAGGTCTCTATTGTTTCCTTACCTTGTGTATCCTGTTGTTCTTTGTTTAACCTGTCACCGTACTTGATGTGGTGCCTGCCGCCCCAGCTCACAGTGGCTCCTTAAATCAGGAGCTCTGGGAGCACCAGGAAAATACACGTATGTAATGCCACACAGAGCTGCCCCTGCACCACCTCAGTGGGGGAGGCTTGTGTTTTGTGTTCTGTTGAAAGAAAGCAGAGAAAATGTTTAAAATTTGTATGCTTTTGGGTGCTGGCAGCCAAATGAATTTTGCCTTCCCTGGAATACTGGTTGCATTAACACGAGAGATCTAAGAGTTCGGGCTGTGATGAGTGTTGTCACCGAGCACAGGAGCTACGCTCTCGGTCCGCTTTGTCCAAGGGCTCTTGCATCCACAAATGCTGGCGTTTGTGTAAATGGCTTTTTTATGGCAGGTTCTAACCCTGGTTCTGCTGCTTGGATGCTTAAGTGACAGTGTCTTACAGTAGCTTGGAATTAAGCCTGTTGAACTGTACCAAGTCTTCTGTAGGGATCTTGTTGCTTTATATTTAATGTTCTTTTTTTTCTGGCTAGTTCTTTCACCCCACCTTTAAACAAAATACAAATTTTACTCTTAAAAAGCATGAGCAAGATGGCTCTGACAAGCTGGGAGGCTTGGGGTATGCCTTGGCTAGTACAGTAGCAATTTTCTTATTTCCTCTTTTTTTTTTTTTCTTTTTCAGAACCTGAAAAGACCGAAAGACCGATACCAACTGCTGCAGTCAGGCTTCGTGACAAGAAGTTGCTTTTCAGAGGAAGGAGCTGTAGTGCTCTGCTGGCCTGTCAGCAGATTTTTGACAACTCCAGACCCCGTTTGCCCTCGCAGCTGGGATTTTGCCATCCCAAACCAGATATCTGCCGCTTCCCGCATTGATACAAGGCGGTGTGTGAATTGCAACTGCCAGCTACGTTGCTCAAGGGCGAGGACTCAATTTTTTCCCCCCTCCTGTATAGCCGGACATTAGAGCAAACACGCTGAGATGTCTAAAAAACAAAATACAAAAGGTAAGGTGCATGTGAACGTGATATAATCAAATGCCAATAAACAGCACTATTGATTCCAAAGTTATCAATTAGGAAAGGGGTTAATTGCTTTTGCTATACTCCTTTCAAGGCTGCTAGTGTGACTTGACAGCTTACTGTCACTATCTTAGTGACATCGTGTAACCTGTTGGGTTTTGCGACATTTTTAGTAGCATTTCAGTTGTCCAGCTGGACAGTTCTGATTTCACGAGTTCCTGTCTAATGTTACTGTTGCATCACTTTCACAGTCAGGCAACAGGAGAAAAAAATATTATTTAGTAGTTGAAAAGTTGCCGAGCTAAACTTTTTGATTTTACTGGGGGCCCTGGTTGGTGTGTGACCTCCCCTCGCTGGGTACGGCCAGGATGGATTTGAGTGGTGTCTGGGTCCCTTGTGGGATTAACTCTACCAAAGCTTAGTCTGCTCCCCCTCAGACGCTCCGCGTGCCCTGTGGACGCCGGGGTTTCGGGGCAGGCTTCTCTTGGGTTTGCTTGTCCTGCCTGTGGCAGCCGCTTGCCGGGAACCCAGTTAAGGAACAAGCCATCAAACTGGGGTGAGATGGCTCAGCTCAGGTCCTCGCTGGCGGGGATGTGACTCAAACCAGACCTATTTGAATCTTCTTCCTTCGAGATAGGTACGGAAGGGCAACGAGCAAGTTTGTGAGAAGCTTTCCCCCCTGCTTTGTCTTCAGATGCACAGGCTGGTTTTCCTTTTTCTGCCATTGTATGTTAAGTGGCAAAGCCGTTCTGGCGTCAAGCAGCTTATTTCAGGGAGGGATCTTATTTGTCGTGTGTGAAACATTAATTCCGAAGCGTGTGTATGGTGGGGGAAGAAAGGGGGGTTGAGGGTTACGGTTCTCTTTTTATTTGAACCGACTACTAATTAATAATTTAAGACGAATGGGTTTGACAATTCATGTCCTCTACCTCAAGAGAAGAGCTTTTGTTCTCTGTAGATTTTTTTATTTTTTTTTTTCCTGGCAGCTTTGGCGTAGAAACGGCATCTACCTAAGGAGCCCAGCCGTCCTTTGACAGCTAGATCCATACATGATTCAAAGCAATTAGTAACAGTTATGGAAATTATTGTCTAGGATAATTTTTGAGTGATTTTTAAAACACTGTATTTGTATCTGTGCTCTTGGAAGCCTTGGTACAAGTCATTAAGAAATCGACGTCTCTGATGCTGGAAACAGAGCCCGGCATTTGTTGGTGCTGAGTTCATGTGGAGAGAAAAACACACCTTGAAACAGCAGAAGAGAATTAATGGGGCTGAGTAGGGGAATGGCAAGAGAAATCTGTAGGAGACAACTGGGGGGAAACACGGGAAGCAGTTACTCTGAGGGAATTCAGGGGTTTGGCAAATCCCCAGCTGAATGAGAAAGACGGCACAATTGCTGCTCTCGGTGTGGTTCGGCAGAGTGTGTTGGAGAGAGAACCCGCTGGGAAGTGCTGGCATGTATTGGGTTCCTAAAGAAAAGTAAAGGGATCTTGGACATAAATATTTGACACCGAGCAGGAATGCAGAGTAGGCTTTAATTCGCTCTGCCACCGGGGATATAAAATACGCCCTGCTTTGTTAAGCAGGCTCATCTCCAGCCTGCGTTGCAGTGGCAATGTGGACATAAGGGAAGGTGAGAGTTAAAGCTGCAGACTCTTCTGGCTGTGCCCTGTCCTGTTTGGACTGTGATTGAATTTTCAATTACTACTTTTCTGCTGCTCTAGAATGTTAATGTAGTCAACAAATATTTTCCAGTCCTCTGTAAAGGAGTGTACATTGGCCAGGTAAGGAATGTCTTTTCAGTTTCTCTTTCTTTCTGAAAGCAAAACAAAACCCCTTTGCAGTGTAACAAAGGGCTGGTGAGAAGCTTGGTGAGAGAGGGAACGAGACAGACCTATTTTTAATAATGCAGCACTTCTGAAACCGAATCAGAAGCCCACCTGTTTCTTCTTAAAAGTGCCACAGAACAGAGTGAACATCTGAGCTGTCCAGAAGGGTATTTTTAAGTCTTGTGAAAATGTACATGCAAAGTTTGGGCACAAAATCATGTTCTACTGCTGAATATTACTGGCTGTAAATAACTCTTTACTCAAAAGATCTATGCTGAGGAGAAAACAGTTCGATCTGTAAACCAGTCATGTAATTATCCCTATTCAAAATCCAAATGCGTGCATCCACATATAGGTCCATGTCTGGGTTATACTGGCTGGCTCATTTCAGCTTTAGTATATTCTATAAGGGGTAATTTAGAAATTCGAAGGAAAGGTAGTCTCAGTGATGCCAGATCTCTAAATAAATACTTCCCCAGGGTCTAGCAGGTTTGTTGGTTTTCTGCTGTCTGAAGTGATCTTGGATTCTTAGTGCTTCCGTTTTCCCCCAACACGCAGTGTGTGCACTCCCTCTCATCCCCCCTCCTGACTCGATTAATTGATTTGAGTGAAAGCAGCCACCAGGCTCAGGAGTGACTGGTGACCCCAGGATACAAAGCAATCACATAAATCTTGTTTCCATCGGACATCAGCCACGGTTTTAGGCATGCCAGGTTCCTGAATAAAACAGCATTCGGGTTCCTACTCATCTCAATACATCGAGGAGCCATTTCAATTGATGGAAAATTGCCCTGTGTGAATTTGGAAAAGGTGAAAGGTCTTTGGTATCAGTTGCTGGGAAGGGAGGGATTAGGCTGGAGCGGTGCTAAGCAGCAGGGAGCCTGCACGCCAGAGCCTTTACAGAAACCCCAAGTGTGAGGAAAAATTGTTTTTAAGCTCGTACTTTGTTTAACAACGCATCAACCCAGCAGAAGATGCTGCTCTGCAAGAAACAAGGCCTTGCTGCTTGGCATGGTTGCAGGCTATTAGTTCAGTCTGTGTCCAGGTAACTTCTGGTAGAATGGGCAAACCGGGAGGTTGCAGAGTTACTCTGCAAGGCAGCACTTGGTGTGAATTACGCTGAAAATGCACAAAGGCGAGTATTGAGCATGTGTTCTGTAACCTGATAAATCGGATCCTGGCTGGGGAGCGAGCTCGGGTGCGGTATGAGGATGCAGGTGGTGCCAGGAATTCATGGGAACTTCAGCTGCGTCCCTCTGCTGAGTGTGATGCTCTGAAAACACGCAGGTTTAATTTAATTTTTCATTTTTTATGTGTAGATGGAAATGAGCTGGGAGGGTGAAGACTGTCCTGCAGTTTGAATTACCTTAATGGCTCTCTGTTTGGCTTCGCTGCCTTAGCCCCGCTGAAAGCTGATGGCCTTGCTTCGCTGCTTGTGTGCCTGCAGCAGAAGGCGGAGCGCGGGTCAGAACCGGAGCCGTGACAGTGGCCGGGAAGCGGCAGCGTGCCTGCGGTGGCTGAACCGGTGGGTGACACCGCGGGGACAATTGCACCAGCACCCCAGGGGTTTCCCCTGCCCGCCGGCGCTTCGGAGAGCTGTGTCCCAACGAGTCGTTGCCTTTGCGGCAAAAATACCTGCTTTTTGTGTCAGCAGAAATGCCCAGTCTTAGCAGCATAACTGCGGGTATAATTTAGTTGATTTGCAAGAAGTTAATTTTTATACCATACTTAATTTTTTTTTTTTTTTTCCCCCCACTTTTCCAAGCCCTTACGTGAGCGTGGCCTTATATTGGGAAGGCAGCCTGCGTTAACACGAGGGGTGACTCTTCCACTGCCATCCAGCTTCTGCTGGAGATCGGGTGTCTGGAAGGTTGGCTTTGCTCACCTCAGAATGAATTCTTCAAATTGTGAGCCCATCTCTTGCCTGTGTATCCTTACTCCTCCTGAAACACAGCAAGTGTTTTTGTAATCACGCCCTGGTGAACCGATCACTTTCCTGTATCAGGTTTGGACCCAGAAGGCCGTGTTGCGTGCTTGGCCTCTTGAAATCTGTTTGAGAAAATAAGCAGGAAAGTGGCATTTCTTGTTGAGACAAAACTCTGAAGTGCAGCTGCCACCTCCGTGGGCTGGCTGTGCGCTGCAGGAATATCACAGGCCTGTCCTTGGAGCATTCAAATAGTTTCCACAACAGCTGATTGAGGTACCAAACTCCGACTTTGAATGTGCCTGGGCTGCAAGCAGGGACAGAAATTGAGCTTAGTAACTCAACAGACCTGCTCAAATACCCCAGTGTATTTTGGGGAAGGGAGGGCTTAGGGTGGTGTGTGGTAGTGATGTTCCTCCCCTTGGATTATGGACAAAGTTCGTGTTTCGATGTAGTTTTTTCACGGTATCAGTGAAACGTCTGGACAACAGCAAACCCAGGAATATTGATTCTGACCCCAGTTCAGTCCTTACTCTTCTCTCATTTGCGAAGAGTGAGCTTAGCACTGGTACCTCTGTTGCCTGTTAGCAAGAACAGTTCTTACAAGGGAAAAAAAATAGCAGTATGTGTTGATGTAATTTGTAAGGAAAAGCAGGATGTGAGAGATGTGAAATGCAGCCCGTGGTGGTCTGTTTGATTCAGGTGCAAAGCCTGACACCCTGGGAGCCGTGAAACCACAGAAGGCTCCCACAGATGTAGTCTCCTATGTAGCCCTGTTTTCGGAAATCCTGATTTTTATTTTTATTTTTCCCCAATATTTGTGGACACTTTGGTGTGACGGTATGACTGCAAGCACAGACTGATAGAATAATGATATTCTGGCTTCTTGACTCCATCCTGGGAAGGTGCATTAATTCCTGTCCAGTCACCTCTGCAGTCCTGGGCACAGATGTCTTCCGATTCTCACAACGCAGGGACTGCTGAAGATGCTTGTAATTAGAGCAAATTGGAGATGCTCTGAGCGAGCAGCGAGGTGCCATTTCTTTAAGAGCTTTTTATTTCACATTAGCTGAGGTCTCCCGTGCTATCCCTGGGAGAGCCGGTGCCGTTACTGTTGACCTGAAAAGCCACAGAGTCTATAAATGTTTCACAGTTTAACTCAATCTTGATTGCATGGCGCTTTAAGCGAATACGCTGTCCAGTTCCCCAAAGCCGTCGGCCTGCGAGTATCCCGGCTGGCACAGGAGGATGAGCCTGGTGTTTGGAGCAGGATTTTTTTCTAGTTTTATTTGCTATTTCATTGTGCAAACTTTCTGTGAGCTGGCATGTGGGTGTGGTGGGGCTCACGTGCTGGATGGGGTCAGGAGCTGAATGCATACACCTAATTTCGCTGTATGCTTTTGTGAAGTGTGCTCTGTGACGTTGGTTGGGACAAAGTCTGCGTAGCTGTCAGGGTGGTGCTTCTATTTTTTTTTTTTTTTTTTTTTTTTTTTTTTTTTGGTGTCTCCATCCAAAATGACTGCCTGCCGTGGCTCAGATGTGAGCCAGGACTCGGCTTGGCTTGACCTGGGGGCTTGAGGGGGAAACAGCGGCTCCTGTTTCGACTTCCTTGAGGTGTCAGCTGTGAAGTTGTTTTATTTCGTGCATCCCAGGAAGCGGAGCAGGCATTTGTTAGGCCCGTAGTTTTAATTCTTGCACGTGTTTCATACAGAAAGGACTGATTTAGTGGAGTTATGGAGGAAAAGATTGATATTTGGAAGGCTGGATTCTTCCTGGCATTGTTAGTGCTTCTATTTAAGAGATCCTGTGTTGTTCAGTCCAATAAGTATCACTGAAACACAACAGTAAATGATTTGGGATGAATGATTTCTTACCACCTCATTTTTCTGGAGGATGCAGTTATGAACAGAGAGGCAATTAAGGCCATTGGCGTTGTGTCTGGGGTTTATCACATCAAATCAACAGGGTAGCACTGCATGGTGTGTGTTTTAATGCAACAGAGATCAGTCTGAGAGTCTGACTGACTCGTCGTGTCAGACATGACATGCAAAGTCTGAGCCCTGGCTTTGGGAAGGAGCTTTCCTTTCCCACAAGGTTGTTAATTCAAAAATCTTGAAGTCACTGGTGGCCGCCAGACTTCTGTCCATGCGGGCATGAGCATTTAAAATTCTGTCCCTTCTTGCAAATGCCCACTGTCACAGGAGACCTGAGTGCCAGCAGCCCTTTTAATGATGCTCAGGAGTGCTCAAGGGCAATATCAAATGTATACCGTGTAGTCTCCGTCGCATAATTTTTGCATGATAAACATTTTAACACCAGGAGGACTTGGGCCGTAGCGAAGCGACTGGAAGCTGGAGAAGCAGCTGGGAGCGAGGTGCCGACAAGGTCAGTCCCCTGTAAGGCCAAGCGCAAATGGAGTTGTGGGAAAGGGATGGGATTGAGTAGCAGAAAATGTGCTGCATGGGGGAGCTGAACTTCATCTTTCCTGGCACCTGGGTCCTTGGTGGCTGCTCTGCAATGAAGATTTTGAAAAAAGATTGCTAATTCTCACTCGGTGATGGGAGTCTGAAAGCCATTTACAAGATTAAGGACTAGAAAGTTGGTAACTGGAACTTCTGTGAGCTTGGGAAACTTGAGAAAATCTCGCTCATGGGGCTGAAACGGGTAAGGATGGCGCGAGGAAGAATTTAACCGTTCATCTGTAGCCTTAATAAGAGGCTGACCTTTCCATCATGTTCACAATTCTGTCACTGTATTTGGAAGCATCTCGGTTTAAATGCTACATCAATGTCTGGGAACGGCGGAAGTCAATGGTGTGTCTCAAAATCGCGTACGAGTTATTTAGAGGAGGTGAGGGTAAGAACATGAATCAGCAGCTTGGAATATCAGCTGAGCTAAAGCAGAAAGGGCAGCGACCGAGCGAGCGTCCCCGCAGAGCACCCTGGCCTGCTGGAAGTGTCCCTTCCCCCGGGCGGTCCCCAAAGCCACGGGGCAGCAGCAGCTGTACAAACCCACTGGAGGAGCTTTGCAGGAGAACCGGGGGCCTTGTGCTTCCCTGGCTCTGTGCGGGGCTCGGGGCATCAAAGCACGTGTGAGCAAATGCCCTCCCAGGAAATCTGCCGGGGGCTTTTGTGTGGGCTCCCTGGAAAGGGCTCGGTGGTGCAGGAACCTCCGGGGTCCTGCCCTCGGCCCCTGCCCAGGGATGCCTGTTCTTCCTGAGGCCAGATGTGGCTAAAATACCGGTCTGAGACGTGTTCTGTCGTAGTAAAGCACATCTGTGGACAGCTATATATCCCTTTTCTTTAGCAAACCTGAAATTTAGCCTGCTCAGACCTCTGGCAGGAAAATCGAGGGCGACTTTGTGATGCCAGGCACTCGTAAGGATCTCTTGGTGAAATAAGAGGGCCTGTAGATTTATGTGACCTTTGCTCGCTGGCAGGGAGCAAACCTGTTGGTGATGGCTGTCTCAATTATGGGTCTCTTTTGGAACATATAAGCATTACCTTGGAGATCATAGCTGGCAGGGAACACAAGCTGCTGGATCTTCAAACCCATTTATCAGTCTGCTTGCCATTTGTACCTCCAGGTGGAGGAAATTGTTAACCACACTGCTCGAAGGCTCTAGCGCTTTTGTTAACTCTTTATTGCCGGGCTCAGTCAAAGATTGAGATGGAAATGGAGGAGCAATACTGGTGTGGTTGGCTTCAGCAATCTCCCGTTCCGCTCCAGCCCTGTTGGGGCTTGTGGTTTTGGGCTTGCGGTTTTGACCCATGGTTGGTTGGTTTAGACTGACTCAGAGCTGAGGACTGAATCGGCTTCTTGAGTTCAGTGGGGGGCACTGGCAAACCAGAGTCAGCTGGGGCTACCTGGCTAAACAGAATCTGGTCTTGAACAAGGCAGGGATACCATCCGGTTTACTCAGCAGCTAATAATCCTCTGCTAACCATAGGACAGAACTAGCCAGCGAACACCGTACGTTTGTAGGATTTCAATTTTCTCCTTGGCAAAGTAACAACTCAGAGCTGACCTCCTGCTTCATATCTTTCTAAATGTCTCTCGATGCCTGTTGTTCAGAAGAGAGCTTCCCTCTCCTTTGTCTTCACAGATCCGTCTGGGTTTATTTTTGATGTGCAGTCCAATACTGTGATGGCCCAAGGAGGAACCTTTGAAAACATGAAGGAGAAGGTAAATGTGTCTTCTGAGACTTTAACTCACCACGTGCCGTGGAAGAGCTCGTGAACACTATATCTTCATCTCTTCTCTGAGATGAAATATGTTTCTGTCTGGGAGCTAACTGCAGCTCTGTCAAAAGCAAAATTTTATTCAGGCTAAATCGTCCTGGCACATTAAAGTTTTATAAGGAAGTCATCGGTTACGATTTTCAGACTGCTTGCAGGAGGGTTGCTGTAGGGTCCGTGTGGGATAAAGCAAATGGTTCACATGTCACCCTGTTTCCTTCCCTCTAGATCAGCGCGGTGCGTGCGATAGTCCCCAACAGGAGCAACAACGAGATTGTCCTTGTGCTGCAGCATTTTGACAACTGTGTGGACAAAACGGTGCAAGCCTTTATGGAAGGTAACGGCAGCGGTTTCTTGGCGGGGTTTGTGGCTTCATGACTCGTACGTACCGTGTTTATGGACCCGCTTCTGAAGCAGTGGTGGCCTGTGTGCAGTAAGTACACCAGGGAGCAGAAGCTCGTGGGGCTTCTCAGCACATCCAAGTACGGGCTCTATCCACACAGATAACTAACGGATGATTGTCTTCCCAAGGTTTAGCTGGTATTTGTTCAACTAGAGGTCAAGGCAGAGATAAGCACTTGATAGCTCTTTAGATAAAGGAGGTTTGGTGCTCGGTTACAGAAACTCTTGGTCACGTGTACAGAATGGGGGTGTCTTCAGCTTCGATAGCTGCTGTTTGTACTTTGAAACGTAGCTCGCCAATCTTCTTTTTGGGTCTGCCTGGCGTGCTGCGTTAGATGGATATTCTGACCTTGGCAAAACAGGCAGCTGCTGGTGACGGTGCCGGTAGCTTTGCAGCTCTCCTTTCTGTGCTGGCCATCGCCGACGCCTGCGCTTTGCCTCCAGCCTGCACGAGGTTCGGCAGCTGCTCCTCAGACTGTGGACACCCAGTCGGTGACGCGGTCGGGGGCTCTGGGGAGAGAAGGCCAGCAGATACCTGACCTGAACGCAACCTCTGCGCTCAGAGCATGTTCCAGCAGGGTTCCCAGTACCTAAACCTTTACTGTGACAGAGCCAGAGGAAAGGTGTTCTTTATTATTTTTTTGTTTTCTTGGAAAGAACTGACAATGTGTTGTAAGGGAGTAGTCCCCTTCAGCAGCGCGTTCCCAAAGCAGAAATGAAACCATGCCTTTTATTACATCAACTAAGAGATTTGAAACTTAGCTGCAGGAGGTGTTACAGCTGGCTCCAGGTGTGGAGGCACTTCCATGTGACGGGGAAAGAACCGGGGTGGATGCCTTATTCACTGCTCATTGCTGTGTTTTGTTTCAGGCAATGCCAGCGAAGTACTGAAAGAATGGACTGTAACAGGCAAAAAAAAGGTAACACTTTTAAAATACACTTTGCTAAGGCATTTATCTTTTTGTTTTGAGGATTTAGACTACAGAGAACAGTAGACATTCCGCATGATTTAGATGGAAAAGAAACGAAAGAGCAAACGTGTATATTGATGTTAGAAGAACTGATGCACAGAGATAATCACTGGGTTATCGGGTGCCTCGCTGTTCAGGGCAGTGATTTACACCGTAACTTCAGTGCAAGTTGTAAACATCATCTTCTCACCACATTTGTGTTTAATTTAGTTGTCGGACACATTGTGTTGAATGTAGCATCTGAAAAACAGGTTCTAGACTTTCTGTCCTTGCAGTCGCTTTTCTTTTGCTGACCCTTTCCAGGACCCCTAATCCACACACAGAGCCCCACACTGAAGTAAATCTTTATCCAGGTCCATTTATTTCAACAGAGCTCTGTAATTCACTGTTCAGATAGTCATGCTGTTCCATTTTTCATTGGTAACCTTTGGAGCTGAACAGTTGCGTTTAAAGCTGAGCTCTGTGGAAATATATTTCTTTGTCATGTAAGCTTTCTTGAGTGTTTTGCCTAGTTCTTTGCTCAGACCTCTGTGAAAGGGTTAACTAAAGATTTGCAAGGTTTCAGTGCTTGATATTATAATGTCTAAATCCACCAGGACAAGAGTAAAATCATAATTATTCAAAAGTACTCCTTTGAATACGTGAAAAGCACCAGTATGAAACGGAGAGGGAAAAAATGTGGCTGAGTAGCCCTGCGTTGGGAAAGGAGGGCAGTTTCTGCAGAGCAGGGTCTAGCAGAGCACCCCAGAAGCTGCACGGTGCCAGTGAGCACCCCCAGAAGCGACCCGTCTGGTGCTGTGGGTTGCAGCCACAAACCCCTCCGCCGTGTCCCATCGGCTATGCAGCCTTCATCTGATAACCATTGCTCTTGTTGGCACACCATCGGAGAGGATAATGTATTCACGCCTCATTAATGCCACTATATCTGTCTTCATTGTTGAATAAATCCCTCCTACTGTTAATAGGATCAACAGCCAGGCTGGCTGAAAAAGCATTTAATTCAACTACTTTCAGCCAGTAAGCATAAGCTTAATTTTCCCTTCAGGAATTAAGCTTAACATTTTTTCCCCCCTTTTGTGGTGTGGATACCTAATCCTTAGAACAAGAAGAAGAAAACCAAACCGAAACCGCAAGCTGAATCGAGCCCTGGCCTCCCAGACCCCGGTAAATTGGTGTCCACTGAAGAGGAGCAGTCGGCAAACTCAGAGAAGGGTGGAATTAACGGTTTCCATGTCAACGGCTGTGCCCACGACACGGAGTCTGTGGACTCGCTCAGCGAAGGTTTGGATGCACTTTCAATTGATGCCAGAGAGCTGGAGGATTGTGAGGCGGCCGCACCAGACATGCCTGATAGAACAGGTTAGTCTCTGTACAGTAGCGCAGGAGACGGGCACCACGTGTTGAAAAAGCAGAGGAGCTGCCTCCTGCCCTTTCCTGTTCCTCCTCTGCTTTGGGTCAGCTTTGAGTACTGAGTTGTTTGGATGGCTCTTCAGGAAAGAGCAGCTCACCTTGGTTTCTGAGTTCTTTGCTTGTTGTGGTAAAGAGGCGGTCAGTGTTCTGCTGTCCTCTCCGCGTTCCCCTTTAAACGAGTGTGCTTTTCTACAGCAGTGCCTGAACTAGAGAATGGAATAGCAGACTTTGACACAAAATCGCTCATCATGCATCCTTCCCAGAGCCCTTCGTCTCTTAGACAGCGGCCTGAGCAGAGGAGCGCTAGCAGGTCTCTGTCCAGATCAACAGCGAGCAACTTGATTCCTGCGTCCTTGTCTTTAACGCGGCTGGAAGACGTTCCAGTTTCACCCGCGAACAAGAAGCTAGGTAAGGCCCCGAGGGCCTGCGCGCTCTCCGGTGTCAGGGCAGGTTGCTGCTGGCCAAGTTCTTGCTGCCTCTTCTGTGGTGTCACTGGCAGACACGGTGCTGAGGCATCCTGGACTTTGATTTTAATGCGAGCTAACGTGCTGCTTGTTATCTGGCCAGTAACTCGCGCTCTACTCCTCCTCTTCCCTACGCACAGCAGGAATCTTGACAGCAGTTTAGATGTAGTGCCTGGAGCAGCAAACCCGTATGTGTGAGAGGAGCAGGGAAGGAAGCGGCCAGTCTCGCTGCATATGTTTAGCCCATTCTTCTGAGTGCTCCATCACAGAGCCTTTAGGTTGTTTCTCATCTTTTGTGAGAATCTGTCGAAAGGCCAGAAGTTCGGACCAGTCCTGTTACAAGAAGTGACAGTCTCCTTCTACTGGATTTTTTTTTTTTTTTCCTCTGTTGTGTGTTTTCTCCACAGCTGAGTTCTTACGATAACAAGTGGGGACAGGAGGGACCTCAGAGACCCCGACTGTGATGGCCGCTATTATAGTTGGCTTGGGGAGGTGGGGTGGTGGTAGTTCACCTCCTTGCTGCATGGGAAGGCTGTAACAGGGCGTTGTTAATGTAGCTTGGCAGGGGGCAACTGCACTCCAGCAGCTCCAGAGCGTGGGCAAGGTGATGTACTTGCCTGGCAAGCTGAGCCACAGGGACTAACCTTGGCAGCGATAACCAGTCCTTTCCTCTCCTGGTTTGAGGAAATAGCCTTAATTTTAGTTTCTGAGATAATTCCCTTCCCCAGGGAAACAGTCATTTCATATCGTTTAGTGATTATGGCGTGTTGGTCTTTCGAGTAGACTGCATTTCACTTGTCTCCGGTCCCTAGCACAGAAGCAACTCAGAGATGCATTTCATTTCTCTCATGTATTTGAAAATGTGGAGGGACATCCCTGCCCCTAGAAGGAAATTCTACAAGCCTTGGGAAAACTTTCCCTGGTAAGAAAATCTCTCAAACTGTCCCTGCTGAACCGAGCGCCTTTGTAATGGGGAAGGGAAAGAAAAATTTAAAACCAAGCCGTGTATAGTTTTAAAATAAGTGGGAAAGCCATCTTTAGATTTATCCCTGCTGGGAGGATTTAGCAGTGTGATTGACATGGCTGTTTGAGTTCACTCTGTCTCTTGGTAGGTTCTAATATTGAAAAATCAGTGAAGGATCTCCAGCGCTGCACCGTTTCACTGGCTCGGTACCGGGTTGTGGTGAAGGAGGAAATGGATGCTTCCATTAAGAAGATGAAGCAGGTCTTTGCTGAACTGCAGAGTAGGTAAGTTAAATGTAGGGGCAGAGCCAGGTGTTAAAGCTTAAGACCAATACATTTGGAATAAGATGTCAGCTTTCCAGTCAGGTTAATGACTTGCTTGGGTTTGCCCGACCGCCCAAGCACTGGTCGTCAGCGGCGGGGAGGTCGGCGTGTCGTGAAGAATAAACCGGAGCTGAAAGCCGCGTTCTCTGCGGTTTTCAGAAGCCGCCTTCGTGGGCAGCGTTGCAAGGCCCGCGCTCGAGCTGCCGCACCACACGTGCGGTGGGCTGGTAATGGACTGTTGGAGGCTTCGGTCTGTCCGTCGGGGTCTTTGATGATCTGGGGCTCCGTGTCTGTACAAGACAGTTGTCCTGACCATCATAAAGTCGTGTTAGACGCAGATAAGGTGAGGAACTCGCCAGGTAGCATGCTGTCAGTTAGGTGCTGATACTAGCCGGGCTGGAAGGAGAGCTGCTGGGGCCTCAGGGCGCAGCAGCACGTGCCTTTTAGAAACCAACATTCATATTTAAAATCTTGAAGTCGTGGTTGAGTATAACATGGAAGAGACGGATCCTTTTGTAGGTATAAGTACACATCGAAGATCATCCTGTGCAGCATTGCTTCCCCTGTTTGAAGCCAAGCTTTTAATACTGTGCATGATGTTCCCTACGAGTGTAATCGGGTCTTTTTTTAATGAACATCTTTATTGGTTTGGATAAGTGCTTTAAGAGGATATTCTGAAAGGCCTACCATCAGATACACTCTCTGTCCTGATTGAATCTATTACTGAGAAATTGTTCTTGGTGATACAAATATGATTGCTTTCGGTAAAGAATTATTCATAAGAAACTGCACAGAGAGTTCTCCTTGCCTGAAGTGAGTAACATTTGACAAGTAACTAAAATGCTGCTGTCGCATTGAAGGATTAAACTAGATATTTGGCAAACTTGCAAATCTGTGTCGAAAGCTGTCTATGTCTGAAAAGTGTATGTGGCCTCTTTAGTGGGAGTGATGTGGAGAGCTGGGTTCCGAAGCCTTTTACCAAACCCAGTAGCTCAGTGTGGGCTCTTTCTCGTGCTCACACTTGTGTCGAACTTTGCCACCAGGAAGTGCTCTCCTGAAGTCAGTGGAATGCTGTCCCGTACTTAAATTCAGTGTGTGCTAAAAATAGTGGCGAAAACCTGTATAGATGACTTTTAAACTTACCTGAGGAGACTAGACCACACCGGAGGGGCAGGGTTAAAGGTGTCTGTGTGCCCTGACCTGCGTTTCTCTGCTAAGAGTTGTCGTGTCCAAGCTGAAGCTGGATGTGGAGCTCCCAGCACCTCCCGTCTTTTGGAAAAGCTTCAGTGTGAGGGGATTTAACCTGTCAGTAGCTGAGGGGTTTGTAGCCCTAACTCAAGTTTGGTTTTATGAATATTCTTACTTTGTTAGTGTCTTTGTCCGCTGAGTCGATACTGATTGATTCAGCGTTATCACTGTATGCAGTGGGTTTTTGTTGTTAAGTTTTTGTTGTCTGCCTCTCCACACAGCTACAACATCTGTAAAGACCTCTCCCTTCTATGGAAAATGTCATGCTTTTGGCTAACGTGTCTGGTTCCCTATAAGTAATTCCTCGCCCTTTGACTTATGTTATCATCCATAAAACACTTGCGTCATGTTCGGAAAGGTTAAAGACTCAAGTCCGGTCCCGCAGCGTTGCTCCGATAAGCCGAGCCGGCAGCGGGTGAAGCAGGACGCGCGGTTCCGTGAGCAGGGAGGCGAGTGCTGGCCTGGAACGGGGCCACCGGGACCCTCCTTCGACAAATGCCAAGTGAAAGCTGCGCAGCAGGATGCCGGCTCTGCGCAGTCGATAAGCGGTGACTCTGCAGCCGGGGCTGTTCGGCTCCGCAGAAAGAGATTCACTTTCCTTTTCCCGAAAGTGATGCAGTCGCCGGTGAGCAGAGATGGAAATTGTACCTTCAATTTTTTTTTTTTTTTTTTTTCCCCAACTCCCTTCACGAGAATAATTAGTGCATTTTTCAGTCCCACAGCACAAGGCACGATCCGATAGTTAAATCCTCTTGCTGAACTGCCTCTCCAGCTGGCTTTCTACCAAAGGAAAACCTGGTTAAAAGCAGGTTTGTTCAACTGAAACAGGATATTTAAGTAGCAAAGCCGGGACTGGTTTAACTTCTGCCTGTCAGGGCTGCCCTTCAGATGTCCTTTTAACCAGTAAGGCTTCCGAGAGTTCTTGACCTTCATCTTCTCTTGCTAAACAATGTGCTTGTATTAGACCTGTGATCTGGAGGTAGGGGAGGGTGAAGGAGGAGACTAATGCTGGGGTCGCGCCTATCTCCGTCTCTGGAATCCACCCTGTCTGAGTGGCAGAGGGAGCAGTGGCTGCTTTGGTTTCCTATTTTGAGAGGGCTTGCTCCTCTGGGCTGGAGATGGCTGAGTAACCTGAACTAGGGAATTCTGGTAGCCCTTAATTTCCTGAATATTTTGCTCTCTGCTGACAGGGAAAATCGCACAGGGCAAAAAACCCCCGAGCCTTTGAGAGTGGTGTGGGTAAGTTCGACTTCAGCGCCACATGCTGAGCCGGGCGCGGGCAGAGTTTGAGGTTTCTCGCTGCTGAGATCGCCGCTGCGCTCGCCCTGCCTTCCTGGTGGCAGAGCTGCCAGGCTCGCTTCCAGCCACCTTGGATTGCCGTCAGTCTCTGGGATCGGTGTGCTTCAGCCCTGAGGAGGACTGACCCCAAACCCCTTCGCGGGCTTGTGCAAACGGCTCTGGTCTTCCACGACCAGACAACATCTTGCAGGCACCGCTCGACCGAGCTGCCTTGCAGCTGAGAGCATGTCTTCTGATGGCTGTGTTGCAACCAAGTATTCAGCATTATTTCATCTTTAGCAGTTACCAGTTCATCTGCTTTCCCTTTATCTCCCTTGTGCACTTCTTAAATGTCCTTTCTTAAAGCCCAGTCCTTCTGGCAGATGCAGGCCCGCTCCTGCACGGACCTCATTCCAGGACAGGGCAGTCGAGAAAGGCGGGCGCGTTTCCAAACGGATCCAGCAGAAGGAAGTGAGTTTGTTTGACGAGAAGCTGTGCAGGATAGAGGAGCAGTGGGGTCTGATCCGAGTCGTCACGCGAACCCCAGGCAAAGCCACTTGACCTCTGTTCCTCAGCCAGCCCAACTGTAAAATTGGGTAAAGGACTCCAGCTGAGCTCCGCTGAGTAAATTAAATTACAAAGAGATGCAAGCCTTGATCTGTGCCAAGGTGTGTGCGTGTGCCTGCAGCCTGGCAGAAAAAGCCCAGAATGGCCCATATAAAGTGGGTGTTGGCTCGGCAGCAGCTGGGTGTGTGCCTGTGTGTTCAGGGAGGAGGCGCTGGGGTAAGGTGTAGCACAACCCCGTCCTGCTGCTGTTCCCCCCCCCCCCCCGCTTGAATGAGCCATTACGGCCGCGTTTGCACCCGTATTGCCGAGCTGCGGGGGGGCAGGGGGGGGGGATTCCGGCTGATGCTGTGGCTCTGGGCAGGAGGCAGCAGGGGTATCTGCCCTCACCCTGCCCGTCGGCGTGGCAAAGCCAGGTTGAGCTGCTCTGGGGACGGCTGGAAAGAAGGTGAAGTCTTATTAGCGTCGCTTTCGACACACGCCGTTGTATTTGTGCAGCTGGGCTGAGAGTGCCTGACCTGGATCAGGCCCCTGCTGTGCTACGAGCAGAAACAATTCCTGCCCTGAAAAGGCAGATGGACAGAGCGATAAATCAACAGAAGAAGCCAAATGTCAAAGCTGCTGTTCAGAGGGAATTGTTTAAATTGATCTTGCCTCAGCCCGCTCTGACATGCAGAGGAGCGGGAGCGGTGGTTTGAGTTTGCATTTCAGATGCTTTGTGGTTTCCCTTTCAGATGGTCGCTAAAATAAGTATTCTTCCCATTTTCAAGCAAACCTTTCTCACTGAAAGAAGCGTGCGGTCAGTGTTGAAGGGCTGACCCTGTGCAGTGCTGGTATCTCCGAGTACCGTTTCGTGTCTGCGCTGCAAGTCTCCTACAGCTAACACACGAGAGGAAGACTCTGCTTTTATATTTAGAGAGCAGAAACTGAAATGAACCCTATTAATAGGCTGGATGTCGAGTGCTGCCGGCAGCAGCCGAGGGAAGGTGAGCTGCGGGGCTGGCTGGGGACGCTGGAGGTGTAGCTTAGAGGGAAGCACAAAAGAAGCATTTGCAGGGAGGGTGTTTGCAAAGGTCTGGGCTCCTCAGGGCAAAGAACAGCGCTGCGACCAGTACCTGCCCTTGTCTGGAATGGGAGGACTGGTGTTTCCTTTCCTGCTTCCATTATAACCCGAGTTACTTGGTGTGCGCCTCTCCAGGGGCAGGAGCCCTCTTTGGACGGGCTGTGCGGTGACGGGGAGCTCCCTGGGTGCTCTGCCTTACCCGGGGGTGCTCGACAGCCTCCATTTGCTAAATTTGCCCAGCCGGTAGCTGTGCGGTTCTGCTGGCGTAAAAGCTGCCGCCGTGATGCCCGGGGGAATTGTGGTTTCATGGCAACAGACACACTTGAGGCACTCCTGGCGAGTGGAGATCCTTCGCTGTCACCCACTCAGGTGTGCTGTCTGTAGCCCAAAAAAAAAAAAAAATCCTCAGGCTGTAAGAGATTCCTGGATCGTGGGCCTGGGTGGCTGCAGGTGAGCGGCAGCCGGCTGGAGGTCGTGTCCATGTGCCCGCTGCCCTGCGTGCGGGGTGCGCACGCTCTCGTGTGGGTCCTGCAGGGATCCGTGGGGATCAGCAGGGAACACACACCTCCCGAGAAGCACCAGAATTCAGGTTTCTGGCTCAGTGGGACAGTTTGGTTGGTTTAAATACGCTACCGGGGGCGGAAGAGCAGAGTGTTGCCTTCACAACATGGCCCCCGAGAGGGGCCGGGTGCCTGAATGCCCGGAGTCCGGCTATTGTAGCTCCTTGCCCTGCCCTGCCGCTCAGTAGTTCTGTGCTCTGACTCGTTAAACCCTCGTGCCCTGGTTTCCTTTGGTGATAAAGTCTGGCGGCGGCGCGCGGCCTCCCCCGCCAGCGCGGCTCCCGCTCCCCTTGCCAAGGTGGCTCCGACTTCTGTGTCAGAGTGAGGTGACCCAGGTACCCGGTGGCTTGTCGGGAACGCTGCTCCGCGCTGACCCGAGCCTGAGCGAGTCCTAACGCCAGAGCCAGCACAACTCCCCAGGTTCAAGAACAAAGCCGGGCCCGGCGCGGCACGACGGGTTCCTGCTGCCATCTGCCGGTCCCTGCCCGTGGGCCGAAACCCTCTCGCCGGGAGATCGCCTTGTTCTCTTTGTTTAACACTAAATCTCTTCCCTTTTTTCCTGTATTTCCCCCCCCCTCCCCAGCCTTATGGATCGCGAGGTGGCGTTGCTGGCCGAAATGGACAAAGTGAAAGCAGAAGCAAGTAAGACTCTTGTCTTTCCACCACCGACGCCCACCCGCAGAGCTGCCGGTGTTGCTGCACTCTTCAGAAACATCCCCCAGCCCCTCTCCAGGCAGATTTTTCTGCTTGACCCCCCTGTTCATGTTGTTCCTAAATGCGTGGCTCTGCACCCAGACGGAACTCGCCCTGTGGCTTGAGCTAGCCGTGTATATCATGACTAGATTATTTTCGTGGCCTGACACGGGCCGTCCTCTCTGAGGCCGCTGCTCTGCGCCCTCCTTGGAGGGTGGGATGGAAACTGCTCTCTTCCACGGGCGGCCGTTCCTGGAGATCGCAGCGTTCCCGGGGAGCTGGGCAGGGCGTTCTCGGCCCGGCTGCTGCGGGTGGAAAGTGATCCCCGGGGACATCCACAGCGGCGCCGGGCCCCGCTGATTTGGGGGTGCCGAGGAAGCAGGTTGGCCTGGGGGGAGCGGCAGAACCTCTTCCAGAGCTGCGTGCCGGGGCCCCTGGTCAAGTCAGCTTCCAGCTCAGGTTCCGTCTGTGTCTGGAGACGTAAATGGCTGCGGGGGGGGGAGCGGCGGGGGCTGCTGTGCAGCTGGCACAGAGCTTGGGGGGGGGGGGGGTCTCGAGGGAACCCCGTGTTTACCAAGAAGGTGCTGTGTGCCGGGGTGGTTTAACTCTGGGTTGCCCGGTTCGGCGTCGACGCTGCCTAAGCTGCGTGCTCTGGTTTTCAGTGGAAATCCTGGTCAGCCGCCAGAAGAAGGCGGAAGCCCTGAAGAAGCTGACGGACGTGGCGGTGCGAATGTCGGAGGAGCAGCTGGTCGAGCTCAGGGCCGACATAAAGGTGAGCTTTTCACCCCGGTTCTGCCTCCTCCGGCCCCGGCCCGGCCTCGCCAGACGGGGTGGCACAGGGATTGCGGGATTAGGCGGGTGCCGCCTCCACGGGGCAGAAGCCGAGTCGCCAATCCGCTGAGTAAATAAGCTGTTTATTTACCTGACACGCGGAGCTGCTCGAGCCGGGTGCCTCCGGGGAGGGATTGTGCACCCTGGTTATACCCGGCCCACCCAGCACCCGATCCCAAACCCCAATCCCTTAATTCTGGTCAGTGCTCTCTTGATTTCTTACTGGTTTTCTTGGTCGCTGGCCTGGCCGCCTTTTGAAGTTACCTCATTGAATTGTTTCCTCGGTCCTTATCCTCTTCGCTCCACTCGTTTCCGCTGGATTTAACGAGTTCTGTGTGTGCAGCGTGAGTTTGATCGGAAAGTTTGCTGCCGGTCAGCTCCTGTGGCCCGAGGCTTCAACTCCTTTAGCTTCTAGAGGCAATTAATCCTAACAGTTCCCAACAGCGGCACGTTTTTTGTCTAACCTGGCTTTCCCACACTTCTGAATGCAATTTTGCGTTGTGGGCGAGTCTTCCCTTGCGCCCGTAGTTCCCGAATTTGCTGCCAGCGCCCTGCTCGCTCCGCTGCGGGGACACCTCCTCCTGAATCTTCATTTCACCTAATTTGGTTTGTAAAATGCTGCCTTTCAGCCAACAACCCGTCATCCGAACATTAACCCCGGTGCGTGCAGCCCGCCTGTCAGCTGCTGCGAGCTGGCAGAGAGCGGGGAAGGCGGCCGGGCCGCAGCTTTGTGCTCGCAGCGGGTGTGTAAACCAACCTCCCGCTGGCACAGACCGACCTCTGTGTGTGTCCCCCCCCACACCCCCCCGAAATGGGGGGGGGAACCTGCACGCAGTGGGTCTCCCACGGCCCGGCAAATGCCTCGACGCCCCAGCTCCTGCCTCAAGAGGTCAGCGCCAAGTCGCAGCAATTAAACCCCAGCTTGAGAAGCAGCAGGGCTCAGCGCCGCGGCAGGATCGGCGCGGCTGAGGAACCCGCTGCCCCTCGGCGTGTCCGAGAGCTGATTTCACAGAGCGGAGCTGCTCTTGGGCTCCGTTAACCTGCTGCTGGAGCTGGGCTGAAAAAAAACCCGCTTTTTTATTTCCACAAGTTGTTGTAACCCGCTGCCTTCACCATCTTTTTTTTTTTTTTTTTTTTTTCAAGCAGCACCCAACCTCAGCTCCCTGTTCCTGGGCCATACCGGGACGCTTCCACCCCCCTTTTTCTGCTCCCATGCCCAGACTGACCGACCGTGCGCGTTTTGCCTTTTCTGTGCAGCACTTTGTGAGCGAACGGAAGTACGACGAGGACCTGGGCCGGGTGGCGCGCTTCACGTGCGACCTCGAGGCGCTGAAGAAGAGCATCGCCTCCTTCGGCCAGGGTGAGCTGGGTGGGCGTCGGGGAGAAGCCGGGGTGTCAGCATCCCCCCTCAAAACCTTTCCCGTGGGCCCCGAAACTCGCTCACAGCCAGGCTGGGACCGTTCTGCTTCGGGTATTTCCTTTCCTTTTGTGCTGCTCCCTCGGCGAGAGGGGGCCGTGCCCGTTCCCTTTGCTGCCAAGCACGGGTCCCAGTTCACACACAGTTGTCCCTCGCAGCCTTCGACAGCGGGAGCTGCCTCCACCCCGCAGCGCTGGGTGCAGAGCCCGAATGAGCCAGGTCTCAGCTGCAGAACACTCTCATTTATTTTAATTTTTTTTTTTTTTTTTTTTTTTTTTTTTGACTCGGGTATTTCTCTTCCAGTTTCCCATCCAAAGAACAGCTACTCCACCCGGTCGCGGTGCAGCTCCGTCGCAGCCGCCTCGCTGAGCGGTCCCAGCCAGACCCCCCCCGCCTGTGCCTCTGCCCCTGCTGCCAACCTCAGCAAGAAACCCCCGGCCGAGGGGGCTGGGGGGAGCGCCGGCGGCCGCCCCCCCCAGCCGGCGCGAGAGGTAACGGCTCCCCCCGCGCCCCCAGAGCTTCTGCTTCAGAGCAGATTTTAATGGGGGGGGAGTGGGGTGTGTTTTGCTTTTTCACTCCCTCCCCCCAACCCAGGAAGGGGAGGTGGGGATGTGGCACTGGGAGGTCGCAGCGTGGGGGGGCACCACACTCACAGCCCCCCCCCCCCTCTTCTATTCCAGGTTTTCCAGGGGAACCGGAGGCCGGGAGGGGGGGCCAGGGCGCAGGGCCAGCGCCCCCCCAGCACCGCCAACCGCCCCCGGGCCGGCCAGGGCAGGCGACAAACCCCACCCCGGGCAGCCTCTGCTGGCAGCCCTGGCCCCGCTCAGCCCCCAGGCACCTGCCCTGCCCCGGCACAGCCCCCCCGGGCCGCCCCCCCGGCCCCCCCTGGGCCAGACACCAAGGGGCTCCCCCAGCGCAAGCCCCGAGCCAGTCGCCAGGAGGGAGCGAACTCCTGAGCTCCCCCCCGCCCCGAGACACTAACAAAGGAAAGTTTACACTTCTCAGTTTTTGTGCCATTGTTTCCTGGCCCCCCCCCACCCCTTTCCCTTCTATCCCCTCCCCGTCTGCTTTTCTATCCTGCCTGCCCCCCCCCGCCCCGCCCCAGGCATCACCTTTGGCTGCACAATCCCTGGCCAAAACCCAGCCCCGAGTCTTTTTTTTTTTTTTTTTTTTCCCCCTTTTTTTCTGTGCACCAACCTCTCGTGCTGGCAGCGAGGACGGGTGCTGGGGCCTGGGGCGAGCCGGGGGGGTTGCGGGTGTCATTCCCCCCCCCGGGGACAGGCAGGACTCTGCTCCCCTCCTCTCCGGGCTGTGACACTTTTCCCCACTCTTCCCTTTTCTCTGGTTTTTAGGTTGGGGTTTTCTTTATTTTATTCATGCCCCCCACACACACACTTTCTCCTCCCTAAATTAAATTTCTAGCAATACCAATTAGCAGAGCTAATCCTGGGCGCTCCCCGGGGGGGGAGGGGGGGTGTGCGATGGTCACAGTCTGTGCTCAATCCATGGCTGTGGCTCCCTGGCTTTGCTGCCCCCCCCCCCCGCATCCCCTCCTTCAACCCCAACTTTTCACGATGGGGGGGGGGCGTTTCTTTCCCTCTTTTTGACTAAACTTCTCTGGACCTGGTTGAACAAATTAAATAAACGAAACCCAACTTTGAGCTTTCAAAATTCTGGTGTTTTCTCCTTATTTCAGTTCCCTCTGACACCCCCCCCTTCCTCCAGAGTGCCCTGTTCTTGCCCCCCTGGACCGCAGCAGAGCCAGCACTGGGTGTGGGAGGGGGGGGGTCCCGGTTCCCCAGCTGCTGTGTGACCCCCCCCCCCAGGGCAGCGGGAACGATGCACCCAGTGGGGAACAGGGAGGGCGACAGGGAGCCCAAAGGGCTGCGGGGACCCCCCCAGCAGGGCTGGGGGGAAGGCGGGGTGCCCCGTCCCCGCCCCCCCGCCCCAGCAAGGATGGAGGCAGCTTGGAGTGCTGCAGCCCCCCAGCAGGGATGGAGGTGGGGGGGGGGGAAGCTTTGGGGTGCTCAGTCCATGGTGGGGGTAGATGGGAACTGGGAGGGCTCCAGCCCCTGAGCAGGGAGGGACTGGGGGGATTTTGGGGTGCTCGGGGTACCCCCCGCCCCGCAGCCAACCCTGGGCCCCCCCACCCCCCCAGCTGCCCAAAGCTCGCTCTGGCTGCCCCCCAACCCATTCTGGGGCTCCCGGGGAGGGGGGGGGAAGCACAGGGGGAGCTCCCCACCACAGCTGCCCCCCACTGCCTCTTTGGGGGGGCCACAGTGGCCCCAGGGCGAAGCTGGAGCCCCCCCCCTGCCCCGGGATGTGCCCAACCTGGAGCTGGCACTGATGGGGGGCGGCCCAGGGCCCCCCCCCAGCCCCAAGAAGAGGGGATGGGGATGTAACAGCCCCTCCTTTCCCCACCTCTGCCTGCCCCACTCCCCCCCCCACAGGAAGGGGTGGAACCCCCTGTCCCCCTTTTTCAATAATCAAGTGATTTTAAGAACACGTTGCAGAACTGGGGGGTCCCGTGACCACCCCACCCCCCCCAGGGTGTCCCCAGCCCCCAGGGACCCCCACAGTGGGGCAGGGGAAACACTTTATTGGAAGGTGACAACCTCTGGGTGCGGGGCTGGGTGTCAGGGGTCCCCCCAGTGCCAAACTGGGAGCTGTGGGGACCCCTGCTCCCCCCTGCAGGGCCAGTGGGGGGGCACCCAGCAGAGCAGCCCCCCCCCCCCCCCGCCTTGTCACTGTTGCGCCAGCTTGGCCGCCTCTGCCTTAATGAGGGCGATGAGGTCTTGGTTGATGAGGAAGACGAAGCGAAGGCTGGCGATCTGGGAGGGAGGGGGGGTGGTGTCAGAAGGTGAAGTAGGGGGACCCCCCACCCCACCCGGGGCCCCCCCACCCGTGTCGGGGCTCACCTCCACCACCGAGTTGTTGCTCAGCTTCCACTTGTTGCCGCCGAGCACGGGGCGCCCGTCGATGTAGATGGGGCGCCGGCCCTCGTTAGCGATGAAGAAATCCCCGTTATTCTTCAGCTTGATGACACCTGGAAGGGGGGTACAGGCTCAGAGAGGGGTGGGGAGTGCAGCCCCCCCCCCCCCCCCCCATTCCATTGCCCCCCAAGACCTGCCCCATCCCTACCCTGCTTGCGGGAGATCTTCCAGGCCGGTCCCTCCAGCGCCAGGTCCACGTCGATCTGGTTGTCCTTGGTGGCTCTGCCCAGCGTGATCTGGGGGGGCCGGGGGGGGGATGGAAGCATCAGGGGGCTGGGGGCGGTGGGGGCTCCCCGAGAAGTAGGGGGGAGCTTTGCTGGGGGGGACACAACACTGCACCCACCTCCCGGGAGCGCATGAGGTACCGCACCATGCGGCCCCGCAGCACGGCCAGCGTCTGGCTGTCGAAGTCCGGGGAGCTCATACCTGGGGGAAGGAGGGGTGAGAGGATGGACAGACAAATGGGGCGGGGGGAGGGACAGGACACACAGACAGACAGGGCCCCCTCCCAGCTCCCAGCTCTCACCTGTGATGCTGTCAACCAGCACCTGCCATTTGTGCAGCTCCTGCTCCAGCTGTCGGATCTCCCGCTTCTGGCGCCGGTCGGCCACGGTCAGCTCTGGGGAGGGGGGGGGGAGAAGGGAGCTGGGGGGGGTCCGGGGGGCAACATGCCCATCCCCTAGCCTGGGGGGGTCCTTGGCCTCTTCCCCCCACCTCCTGCACCCCTCCCCAATTCGGGCTGCCCAGCTGGGAGCGGGTTGGACTCACCGTGCTCCAGCACCTCGTCCCGCACATCCCTGGGGGAAAGAGGCAGGATGAGATGGTGGCACCAGCCCGGTCCCTCTTCCTCCCTGCCAGCCCCCCCCCTTTAGCTTGGGGTCGACACGGTGCCACCCCGCACCCCCCCAGCCCCCCCCAAAAACCCTCACTTCAGCTTGCTGTCATCAAGCATGTCCTCTGCGTCCGAGAAATTCAACACTTGGTCCCCCTTGGGCAGCGGCTGCACTGGAAGGAGCAGGAAGGGAGGGAGTGAGAGGGCTGGGGGGTGCAGGGGAGGGGGACAGGGGGGACACAGGGGACACGGGGGACCCTCCCAGCTTCACCGGTCTGGTCCTCCAGCAGGTAGTACTGCTTCATGAGCTGCCAATGGAGCTGCAGGGCCTTGGCTGTGCGGGAGGGGTAGAAGACGTCAGGGTGCTTGTGGAGCAGCTCCTGGAAGGTGTCGAGCGTGGGCTGGCTGGTCTGCGGCGGGGAGAGGGGACACGTGGCACTGAGGACCACCCCCCAGAGAGCCTCCTGCCCCCCCCCTGGAGCCCCCGTCCCGCCGGCTCTTACCGATCCCACCTTGTTGAGCAGCTGCTCCTCGGCTTTGCTGAAGAGCACTTTGCTCTGGATGGCGGCAATGGCCTCGGGGTGCAGCTGCCGCATGGCCTGGCAGGCCAGCCTGGGAGAGGGGGCAGGGGACAGATGGGGTGTGAGACACCCCCCCGCCAGGGATGGCTCTGCCCCTCTGAGCCTGCCCCACACTCACTTGGAGATGATGGGGTCGTAGAGGAGCGCGTACCACCGCTCCTGGATCTCCCGCAGGTTGAAGCGGCAGCTGAACTTCACGCCCAAGTGCACCGAGGTCAAGTCGTTGGTCTGGGAAAAGCAAAGGAACAGCCCCAAAATACAGCGGTGGCAAAAACACCCCCCCCACCCCACCCCCCCGCCACTACAAGGGTCCCCGGAGGACAGGCAGCCCCCCTCCTGGGCTGGTACCTGCAGCACGGCATTAATCAGCAGAAGATCGTCAGCGGGTTTCCAGCGGCCCAGGTCCTTCGTCACCTGCAAGGGCTGTTTGCTCTTCTTCATCCGTTTGGCCAGGCCGGGGGTCGGCACCGGGCTGGGTGCGATGGGGGTGGACACAGATTTGGAGACCTGGGGTGGGCACAAATTGGGGGGGGGGTGGGTTTGGGGTCTCTCTGAGCTCCCCAGACCCCTGCCAGCCCCTGGGCATCCCCGCCGGCCCCTCACCTTCTTCTTCTCGCTGGAGGAAGGCTCGCTGCCCGAGCAGCGCCCGGGCTCGACCCCACCGGCGCCCTTGGCACGGCTGGAGGATTTGGCGAGGCTGCTCTCTACCAGCTCATCGTCGAACTTCTTCCTCTTGATGAACCTGCCACAAACCAAGACGGCTCCGAGTCCCGGTGGCGGCGGGCAGGCAGGGCTCTGGCAGCCCCCTCCCCCGGGGGTGTCCGTCCCGTCCCGTCCCGTTCCACCACCCCCCCCCGAGCCCCGGGGCGTACCGGGAGGAGCTGCGGCGCTTGGGGACGGCCCCCGAGGCCTGGGCCGAGCCCCGTTTCTGCCCCGCCAGCGGCTCCTCGTCCTCGGAGCGGCTCGTCGCGCCCGACGCCATCAGTCCGGGCAGCAGCGCGTCTGCGGGGGACAAGGGAGATTGGGGAGGGGGGGGGGGGTGTCCCCGGCTGCCACCCCCCCCCTCCTTCATCACAGCGTGGGGGTGCAGCTTTGCAAGGGGGGGGGGGAGGGGGGGGGGGCGCCGGGAACGCGGAGGCACGGGGGAAGTGAAAGGGGGAGTGAGAATTTGGGGGGGCGGGGGGGGGGGGGGGGCCACGGGGGAGTGTGGACGGCAGCGAGGGGTGTGGGAAAGAGAGGGGGAATGGGGGGGGGGGGGGGGACACAAGGGGGGATGGGGGGGGCATAGGGGGACACAGCGGGGGACGGGGGATACGTGAGGAGACCGGGCAGGGGATGGGGGGGGTCGCAGGCCCGTCCCCTGGGCGAACCCCGCCCGGCCGGGGGGACCCCCAGCCCCGTCTCCCCACCCGGGGGTCCTGGGGGCGGCCCCCCCGCAGCCGGTGTCGGTCTCACCATCCCCGGGAGCGGAGGCTCCGCGACACCCTCGGCCCGGGCGCCTCCATGGCCGGTGCCGCTTCCGGTAAACCCACCGGAAGGCCGTGGGACGTCACGCCCCACGCGCTGAAGCGGCGCCGGGAGCAGCCATTTTAAAAGTGCCGCCGCTGACTCTGCGGCGCGGCGCCATCTTGGCTCGGGGCGCCGCCATCTTGACGAAGGGCAGGGCCGCGCCTCCTCTTTTTCCGCACCGCCGTTGCCGGTGGGTCGGGGGACGGCTGGGCGGGGGTGACCCCCGTTATACGGGCAGAGAGGGCTCACCCCGACCCCGGCAGCGTAGGCACCCGCCGTCCGTTGAAACGGCCACTCCCATCATGGCGGCACCCCCGCCGCCGCACCCATCATGGCGGCACCCCCCCGCCGCCGCACCCATCATGGCGGCACGCCCCAGCCGCCACACCCATCATGGCGGCCCCCACGATGGCCGACAACCCCAGGCTGCGAGGAAGGCCCATGGTGTCAGTGTCGGGGCTGTTCCTTTTATTGGGCTGAGCTGCGGGGCCAAGGGGCCCCGTCCCGGTGCAAACAGTCCCGTGTGTGCCCGGTTAAGGCAGGCGTGTGCCGGCACACGTGTGTGCCTCCTTCCCCAGCGCTGGGACGGAGGGTCCCGCGTCCAGTGTCCCCGTCCCGGGGGGCCGGGCGCAGCTACGCCGAGCTGGGGGCGACGCGGCCGTCGCTGGGCTCCGTCACGTTGGCGGCCCACGCCTTCCTCTGGATGGTGCCCGTCTTCTCCTCACGGAACTGCTGCCGCTCCTCCCGTGGGATCTTCACCGCGTGGTACTGCGGCACGGCCGGCGGCGCGTAGCGAGCCCGGCGGAAGAAACCCAGCTGCGGGCGACCGGCGGATCAGGGAGGTGCCGGGGGGGGGACACACAGACACGACACCCCATCTTCGGGGGCACCCCATCTTTGTGAACCCGCGGCTCACCCCGAAGCTTCTTGCATGCCCACCGCAACCGCGCATCTACACGGCAAACCAACCCGGCAAACCCGCACGGCAAACCAACCCGGCAAACCCGCACGGCAAACCCACACGGCAAACCCGCATGGCAAACCCACACGGCAAACCAACCCAGCAAACCAACCCGGCAGACCAACATGGCAAACCAACATGGCAAAACAACATGGCAAACCCTCACGGCAAACCCACAGAGCCCCGTGTCACCGCTTGCCCTCCCGCGCCTGCTGCTCGGTCGCAGAGGGCTGCGGGCACAGGCGGGCCCGGTAATAGTTCGCGGCGTAGCGGGACTTTCGTCTGCTCCGCTGGAAGAAGCCGCACTGGGGAGGAAGCGGGAGGGTGAGGCCGGGCAGGGTGGTGGTGTGTGGCATGGCAGAGCCAAGGTGGCACGGCTGGCATGGCATGGATGGGGTGGCATGGCAGAACTACGGTGACATGGCATGGCACAGCACTGCTAGCATGGGATGGCATGGCACAGCCAGGGTGGCATGGCATGGCATATCTGGGATGGCATGGCATGGCATATCTGGGGTGGCATGGCAGAACCAGGGTGACATGGCATGGCACAGCACAGCTAGCATGGCATGGCATGGCAGAACTACGGTGACATGGCATGGCACGGCACTGCTAGCATGGGATGGCATGGCACAGCCAGGGTGACATGGCATGGCATGGCACAGCTAGCATGGCATGGCATGGCAGAGCCAGGGTGGCATGGCATGGTTTGGCACAGCGCAGTTGGCATGGCATGGGACAACTGGGGTGGCATGACAGAACCAGGGTGGCACGGCACGGCACAGCACGGCTGGGGTGGCACAGCACAGCATGCCCCGGGGACCCCGTGCCATGGGGACACCCCCCCACCCCCCCACACCCCTCCTTCACCTTCCAGAGGATGAAGATGAGGAGGGCCAGGACGAGGACACCAGCCAGCACAGCCAGCAGAATGACCCACCACGGCACGCCGCCGGCCACCGCCGCCCCGGGGTCCAGGTAGATGGAGATGGGGATCTGGGGAGGGGCAGAGGGCGGTCAGGGGGTGGGGGGGCTGGGGGGGGCCGGGGGGGCTTGGGGGAGGTCCCGGACCTGCGTGGAGGCATCTTTCAGCACCAGATTCTTGATGGAGGAGGTCACCGAGACGCTGGCGCGCACAATCAGCTCCACTGAGGTGACGGCCAGGTACTCCTGTGGCAACAGGGGGGGCATGGGATGGGCTGAGCCCCCCTGCCCAGCCTGGGGGGTGGTTTGGGGGGGGTCCCGTCCCCTCGTACCTCCAGGAAGGTGCTGTTCCAGAGGCGGCCGCGGGCCGTCAGCACAGCGGCGCGCTCGAAGCTGTGCAGCGGGCAGCGGAAGGCCAGGCAGCGCGCGGTGCCCTGGGCGCAGTCCTGGGGGAGCACGCGGGGTGGGGGATCAGCCCGGCCACGCAACCCCACAAGTGCGGGCATCCCTGGGGAGGGTGGGCTGGAATAGGGGCACCCCAGGAGAGGGGGCACCTCAGGAGTGGGTGCTCCCCAGGACTGGGTGTGCTGGAATAGGGGCACCCCAAGAGCAGGCGCACCCCAGGTACGGGGGCACCCCAGGAGTGGGTGCACCACAGGAGAGGGGGCACCCCAGCAGCAGGGGCACCCTAGCAGTGGGTGCTTCCCAGGAGTGTGAGCTCCCCAGAAGCAGGGGTACCCCAGGCGTGGGTGCACTTTAGGAATGGGTGCTCTTCTGGAGAGGGGGCACCCCAGAAACAGAGGCACCCCAGGAGCGGGTGCTCCCCAGCAGCATGAGCTCCCCAGAAGCAGGGGTACCCCAGGAGTGGGTGCACCCCAGGAGTGTGACCTCCCCAGAAGCAGAGGCACCCCAGGAGTGTGTTCACCCCAGGAGTGGGCGTTCCTCAGAAGCAGAGGCACCCCAGGAGTGGGTGCTCCCCAGGAGTGTGACCTCCCCAGCAGCAGAGGCACCCCAGGAGTGGGTGCACCCCAACCCCTCTCACCAGTGTGACGTTCCTCCTCCTCTCCGCAGGGGCTGGCACCCACCAGGACCCCGGGGTGGGCACCTCGGCGGGGTCAACCTCCCCGGGTGGCTCCTGGAGAGGGAGGGCGGGGGGGGAAGGATGGGCATGGAGCTGGGGTGCAGCTCAGCCCCCCCACCCCGGTGACCGGTGCAGCCCCGCTGCCCCCCATCCCGCGGTCATACCAGGGCGAGGCGGAGGGGGTTGGCGGGGGGGCTGCAGGCTGCCCGGTGCCCGGGGGGGGCCACCAGCTCCATGTGCAGGGGGTAGAGCAGCCATTTCCCGTTGCTCAGCTCGTGGGGCCAGAGGAGGGTGAGGAAGGCCGAGCCCAGAGTCTTCAGCGACTGGCCCCTGTTGGAAACCTGCCCGGGGGGCGGGGGGGGCACAGCGGCATGAGTAGGGGGCCACGGACCCCCCCACCCCACAGCCACCGCTCACTCCGTGCAGGAGCGCTGGGTGGGAAGGGGAGCAACAAGAGGGGTTGGTGGGTTGAGACACTCCCCCCCCCCCTCCGTGTGTATGGGTGCCCCCCCCCGCCCCGTGTCACCCCACCCCACCGTGGGGTGCCTCACCGTGACCTCGAAGCGCACGGCGCTGCCCACGTGGGTCTCCCGCCGCACGGCGCTCTCCCCCCGCACCACCCCACCGAAGAAGAGCCGGGGGGGCACAGCCACGCTGCAGGGACAGCGGGGGGTCAGGGGTGGGGTGTGTGTCGAGGGGGGGGCTGTCCTGCACCCCCCACCCCCCCCTTCTCTCACCCTCACTCACCCCGTCACGGAGAGCGGCAGCTCGATGACCACACGGGCGCGAGCCACCACCGGCTCCAGCCCCGGCTGCTCACTGATCCTGGGGACAGGTGGGGGGGGAATTGGGGGAGGGTCATCACACCCCCCCCCCCCAAATCCCCCCGTAAACAGCGCAGAGCCGAGCGGGGGGGCCCTGCTGCACAGGCCCCCCCCCCCGACCCCCCCTGAGCTCACGTGGACAGGGCCAGCTCCACCGCCAGGTCCGTGGTCTGGATGGTGATGCCCAAAGTGCTGAGGATGAGGAAGAACCGCACCTGGGGGGCAGAGGGGTGAAGGCCGGAGTGGGGGGGGTCTGGGGGAGGGGTGCCGGGGTTGGGGGGAGCGGGGAGCTGCACCCACCTGGGCTCCGCGTTTCATGGGGTTCCCCAGCTCGCACTCCACCTGCGAGCCGTTCTGGTTGGCGAGGCACACCACCTTGGGGTGGGGGGGGGTGTGTTGGAGAGCTGAGCCCCCCCGCTCTGGGGGTGTCCCCCCAACCCGCTCCACCCCAGCACTGACCCCCCCACACTCCCTCCTGCACCCTCATCCCTCTGCATCCCCCCCCCAGAACCACACACACGCAACCCCCCCAGCACCCCCAGGCTCATCCCCACCCTGAGCATCACCGCATCCCTCTGCGCCCCCGCAGCACCCCAAACCCTGCACACATACACCCCCTCCCGCCCCGCACCGGGGGTCCCCGGCTGTCGTGGGGGCGCAGGGCAGAGTAGGGCAGCTCGGGGGGGAAGGTGGCGGTGAGCAGGGCCTCGTGGGCATCGTCCCCATCCCGCTGCGGCTCCGCCGGCTCCGAGGGCGAGTTGGTGACGTGGATCTCCAAGGCCACGTCCTTCTGGTCGCTGATGGCGAAGACGGCGGTGCCATCCGCGCCCCTGGGGACACCCCCGCGATGAGACCCCCCCTCCCACGCACTCCCTGGGGGTGTCCCCCCCCAACACCCCGCGGGGTGGGGATGTGCCCCCTCCCGGCTTCTGTCCCCGTCCCCACACCTGGGCAGGGGCAGGAACTCGGCGTCCCCAAGGCGGGCGCAGAACTGGAAGCGGAGCTGGAGGTTGCTCTGGCAGATCTTGTCGTCGCCGCAGCCCTGCTTCAGGAAATGCACCTGGGGGGCGGGGGGGACACGGAGGGGGGACACACATATGCATGGGGACACTCCAGGAAGCGCCCCCCCCCTCCCAACATGGGACGATGCACCCCAGACCCCTGGAGATGGGGGAACGTGGCCGGGTCCCCACCTCGGTGCGGTGGCTGCTGGGCTGCTGGGGGCTGAGCACGGGTGAGAGGGGTGGCAGGGCGGCCCCCCGGCTCTGCCGCGTGGCCCCCCGGCTCTGCTGCGTGGCCCCCTGGTTCTGCCGCTCTGCCCCGGCTCCCTGGATGCCGTAGGCGAGGGTGATGGCGATGGGGCGCAGCTTGTCACGGATGTTGTCCTGTGGGCAGGGAGGGTGAGGGTGAGCGGGGACACAGGGGGGACAGGGATGGGGAGAAAATGGGGATGGGGATGGGATGGGGTTGGGGACAGGTAGGAGGATGAGGATGAAGATGAGGATGGGAATGGGGAGAGGGAGGAGGATGATGATGGGGATGAGTATGAGGATGGGGATGAGGGTGGGATGGGATGGGCAGAAAATGAGGATGGGGATGGGATGGGGTTGGGGACAGGTAGGAGGATGAGGATGGGGATGAGGATGGGGACAGGGATGGGGATGAAGATGAGGATGAGGACAGGGATGCGGATGGGGACGCATATGAGAATGGGGATGAGGATGGGGATGGGGATGAAGATGAGGATGAGGACGGGGATGAGGATGGGGATGAAGATGAGGATGAGGCTGGGGACCCACGTGGAGCTGGAAGGTGGCTCTGGCGCAGGCGCGGGCGTGCTGCCGCGGCAGCTCCAGCGTGTTGGAGAACTGGTGCTCGGGGTCCGAGGGCCGGCGGGCGAGGAAGGAGCCGCGGGGGGCCTGGCCCAGCCGCCGGCGGTCCGTGTCGGCATCGAACACGTACTCCAGCACTGGGGGGGGGGGGGGAAAGCAGGATGGGCACGATGCCGGGGGGTCCCTCCCCCCCACCCCGGGGGGGCTCTGGGGCCCCCCCCGGCACCCCTCCCCACTGCACTCACCGAGGGGGGGGCTGTAGCTGGTGGGACTGGCCGTGTAGCTGAAGCAGGCTTGGACGTCCACGCTGCGGGGGCACAGAGTGAGATGGGCCCCCCCCCCCCCCCAAATGTGCCCTGACTGCGTTTCCCAGGGAGGGGAGGTGGGGGAGGGAAGGGGGGGGGGGCACCCACCAGACCCCCTCCTGGTGCTGGCAGTTGCTCTGCTCCAGGTCGATGTTAGGGGGGAGCAGGGAGACGTTCCTGGAGACGTGAACCACTGGCCGGGCCCTGCCAGGGGAGAAATGGGGGGTGTCAGGCTGGGCCCCCACCCGGGAACCCCCTCAGGCCAAGCCCAGGGACCCTCTGGGTCAGGGGATGCCCTGGGAGGGTTTGAGGATGTGATGGGGGGATGCTCAGGGGGAGGATGCTCAGGGTGGGGGGGATGTGCTGAGCTGGGGGATGTTTGGGGGGGGGGGGGGGGGATACTCGGGGAGGGGTGGGGAATGCTCGGGGTGGGGGGGCTCACCTGTACAGCACGACGGTGTCAGAGAGGGAACCGACGAGCAGGTCGGGGTACAGGTTCCCGTCCACGTCCAGCCCCCCCGACAGCGAGTACCCAAAGGCAGTCACTCCCACGCCCTCCCCATCCAAGACCTGGGGACAGGGCGTCCGTGACACTGGGAACTGGAGGGGGGGGGGGGGGGGGCAGAGGGGGGCACGATGGGTGATTCACCCCCCCCCGGGCCTCGCACCCCCTCACCTGCGCCGGCTTGGCCACGATGCCCAGGTTGCTGCCATGGTAGATGTAGACTTTGCCAGCGCCGTCGAAGGGGGCCCCCACGGCCAGGTCTGGGGAGGGGGGGGGGCCAAGGGCAGGCTGCAGCCCCCCACCTCCCCCCGGCCCCAGCAGGACGCAGGCTGTGTCCCGTGGGGACCCCAGAGCCACCACCACCACCCCCCCACCCCCCCCAAAATACCCCTCACCCTCGAAGCCGTCGTGGTTGAGGTCGCCGGCGGCGCAGAGGGCGATGCCGAACATGGAGCCGCGGGTGCCGTTGAGGCGGAGGGGGGTGGCGGCGTCCCAGCGCCCCGCCGGGTTGATGTAAACGTAGGCGGCCCCCCCGATCTCCTCTTTGCGCTCGAAAAAATGGGGGGCCCCCACCACCAGGTCCATCCAGCTGCGGGAACAACGGCTTCACCCTCACCCCCTCCCCAGCTCCCGTGCCGCGGCACCGAGACGGCGGGGTGGGCTGAAGGGGTGGGTGAGTGTGTGTGGGGGGGTGTTCCCCCCAAATTCACCCGTCGCTGTTGAGGTCGAGCACGGCGACGGCGTAGCCGAAGGCGGAGGTGAGCTGGTGGCCGGGCAGCACGGCCTCGGGGACGAGGCGGCTGGCGCTGTCGCGGCGCAGGATGACGACGGCGCCGGTGTGGTTGGCGCGGGGGGCTCCGGTGACGAAGCTCAGCTCCCGCCGCCGCGTCAGCCCCGCGCCCGAGTCCACCGAGAAACCTTGGGGGGGGGGGGGGGCAGGGTTGGTGCGCACCCAAACCCCACCCTGGGCCCCCCCCCCCACCCCACCCTCCGTTTCTCTCCCTTCGTGGCCTGTCGTGGTTTGGTGTGGGAATTGGGAGGAAGGGGGGGGGGGCTGCTGCTGCTGCTTGTGCCTCAGTTTCCCTGCTCTGTGCTCCTGAGGGCACAGGGTGGCTGCTGTGGCTGGGGGGGGGGAATAAGATTGCGAGGGAGGGGGGGGTGTCCCCAGCTCTGGGCCAGTGGGAGCCAAGGGGGAGCAGAGGCTGACGGGGTGAGCGAGGACCAGCCCTCCCCCCCCCCCCGCATTGCCAGCAAGACCTGGAGCAGAAGTGGCCCCCTCCCCCAGATGGGGGGAGCAGCAAAGCCCCCCTCACCCCGGGGGGGCCACAAGCCACTTCCACACATGCAGCGGTTGCTGTGCGTGCCCCACCCCCCGCAGCCCCCCAAGCCCCCCCAGCCGGCTGCAGCCACTGCCTGCCCCACCCCCCAGGAACCAGGCACCCCCCCCATGCAGAAACAGCTCCCGATAGAAGGGAGGGTGCTGGGGGGGCCACGCCAGGCTCTGCGCCCCCCCTCGTAGTGCTCTGCCCCCCCCCCTCCCCCCAAGCCTGGCGGTGCCCCCGCTGCAGTGAGGGGACACAGGGGGGCGGGGGGGGGACAAGGCAGGGAGCTCTGGCTGGGGGGGGGAGGGTTGGGACCCCCACCCGGGGGGGGTGACAGCCACAGGTGTGGGTCTGCCTGGGATGGACCCGGGGGGGAGCGTGTGGCGGGGGGGAGGGCATGCAGCCACACGTGTGTCCAGCTGAGTGTGTAAGGGGGTGTGCACGGGGGGGGGGGGGCATGCGGGGGGGGATGCAAGGGAAGGTGGGGTGTATGGGGGGGTGCAGAGGGCGGTGTGCTCACTGCAGGAACGTGCGTGTGGGCAGGGACACGTGTGTGCACAGGGCCATGTGTGTGCCCGTAATTGTGCACCGGGGCACACATGTTCACAGGCACATGTGTGTGCCCATATTTGCACCCAAGGACACACATATGCACAGGGATGTGTGTGTGCCCCTAATTGTGCACCGGTAAACATGTGTGCCCAGGGACACACATGTTCCCAGGCACACGTATGTGCCCATATTTGTGCCCAGGGACACACGTGCACAGGGCCACATGTGTGCCCGTATTTATGCACAGCGTTTGCACAGCGACACGTGTATGCCCAGGGACACCCATGCTCACAGTCACATACGTGTGCGCGCACAAGCGTGTGCGCTCACAGGGCCTGGCTGAGCCTGCGGGCGCTTCTCCTTCCCCCCCGCCCCCGGCACCCCCAGAACACAGAGCAGGGACACACACACACACGGCACAGCACACGGCTCGGGGGGGGACGGTGACACATGGACGGGGGGGGCCACACGCCGGCACACGCCGACACACGCCGACACACGCCGGCGCTTACGAACCCAGGTAGCTATTGGGGGCCACGTCGCCGGCCGCGCCGGGCACCTTCTCGCCGGGCCGGGGGCTTTTGTAGAGCCGCAGGTCGGGGGCTGAACTATCAACGTGTGTCACAAAGAGCAGCCCTGCGCCGCGGCCGGGCAGGAGAGAACGGGGGGGCGTCAGGGTGGGCACCCCGGCAGGATGGAGTTGGGGGGGGGGGGGGCGGCGGAGGGGGGGGCCCACGTTTTTTTTTTTTGGGGGGGGGGGAAGGGGGTGAAGTTCCCTGCCCGTACCCAGGTAGCTGTTGGCGGGCACGGGGATGAGCGAGGGGTCCTGGTCCTTCTCGCCCCCCGCCTCGAAGGGCCCGGCGTCGGGGCGCAGCAGGCCCAGGGAGCTCTGGTTGAGCAGCTCCACGCGCAGGGTCCCTGCCGGAGCGAGGAGGGGTGAGGGGGCCCCCCCCCGGGAACCCCCCCCCGGGAATCCCACCCCCCCCCGGGATCCCCCCCCCTTCCAGGAACCAGCCCCCAGGACACCCCCTGGGATAAACCCCTGGGCATCCCCCCACTACACCCTCCTGGGACACCCCCACCCTGGGGATAACCCCCCCCCAGGGACACCCCCGCAGCATGACTGTACACGTGTGCTCTCCCCCACAGCACGACCTCACCCATGTGCTCACACATGTACGCGCACGTGCCTGCAGGCACGCGCACGCGCTTGCGTACGCACATGCCCACTCGTCCAGAGTGCGCACACCCGTGTGCAGCACGCCTTTAGCACGCTCTCACGTGTGCTCATGGTCACACACACGCGTGCTCACCCACGTGCTCACGCTCACACACACGTGCTCACACACACAGCACACGTGCAGCAATACGCTCACACCTAGAGCACGCTCAGCCATGTGCTCACACACGTGCTCACCCACGTGCTCACACACATGCTCACGCTCACACGTGCTCATCCACGTGCTCACACTCACCCACATGCTCGCACACATGTTCACAGACGTGCTCATACGCTCACACTCACCTGTGCTCACCCACGTGCTCACACACATGCTCACACTCACACGTGCTCATCCACATGCTCACACTGACCCACATGCTCGCACACACGTTCACAGACGTGCTCATATGCTCACACTCACCTGTGCTCACCCACGTGCTCACACACATGCTCACGCTCACACGTGCTCATCCACATGCTCACACTCACCCACATGCTCGCACACGTTCACAGACGTTCTCATATGCTCACACTCACCTGTGCTCACCCACGTGCTCACACACATGCTCACGCTCACACGTGCTCATCCACATGCTCACACTCACCCACATGCTCGCACACATGTTCACAGACGTGCTCATATGCTCACACTCACCTGTGCTCACCCACGTGCTCACACGCATGCTCACACTCACCCACGTGCTCACCCACACGCCCCCACGCGCTCCCAGCCCCGGCGCACCACGCGTTCACCCCCCAAAGCGTGCCCACACACCCTCTCCCCGCCGGGACGGGGGATCCCGGAGAAAGGGGAGTGGGGGGACGACGACGACACACGACACCCCGTCCGCCCTCACCCTTCCAGTTGTAGGTGCCGGGCGCCCCAAAGAGCAGAAAGTGCCGGTCGGGGGTGAAGGCGGCGGCCAGGCCCTGCTGACAGGCCCCGAAGCGGTCGTGGCCCTGCGGCCGCCCCTCGCAAAATTTCCACTCGCCGCCGTCCAGCTCGTCCCGCGCCCGCAGGTCCTGGCTCAGCACGAAGCAGCGGCCGATGGCCGCCCGCGTCTCCAGGGGCTGCCGCACGCGGTGCCGCGCCTCGTACAGGTGGGCGCAGGTCTGGGGGGGGACGGGGAGGGGGTGCAGGGGAGGGTGTGTCAGGTAATTCGGGGGGGATGCCCCCCAAACACACACACACCCCCCCGCCGGTGCTCACCACGATCTTGCCGCCGGCGCCTTGGCTCTTGACGCTCACCCCCAGCCACTGGTTCTCTTTGCTCTCCCGCTGTGGGTCCACTGGTGTGGATGGGGCGGGGGGGGGGGGGGCATCAGCTCTGCTGGGACCCCCGGGGTGGGGAGCTGGGGGCCCCCCCCAACCCCCCACGCACTGAGCATGCCCACCCCACCCACCCCCCCAGACCAAGCACCCCCCAAAAGACCGAGTACCCCCACCACAGACTGAGCAACCCCCCCTGCAGATGGAGCACCCCCTCCGCACAAAGCAAGCACCCCCTGCACACTGAACACCCCCCCCTTGCAGACCGAGCACCCCCCCAAAAGACAGAGCAACCCCCCTGAAGATGGAGCACCCCCCACAAACCAAGCACCCCCACACACAGACTGAGCACCCCCTGAAAGACCGAGCAACACCCCGCAGACAGAGCACCTCCCAAAAGATCAAGCACCCCCCAACACAGACCCCGAGCCCCCCCCCCCCGAAAGACCGAGCCCAACCCCAGTGCGCAGCTCACCCCCCTCATCGATGGGCACCCGCCAGCAGTCGGAGGTTTCGGGGGTCAGGGGGCAGGCGAAGAGCCCCCCAGTCCGGTTGGCACCTTGGCTGGGCAGCGCCGGCGCTTGGGGGGCCCCCACCAGCAGCCTGCCACAGCAGGGACCCCCCCATCAGGGCACGAGGATGGGGGGCCAGCACCCCCCAACACCCCCCCCTCCGCGAGTCAGGATGTGCGCGAGCGAGCACGCGTGACGCTGGGTTTGCACACGCGTGTTGCACACCCATGGGGGAGCATGTCCCCCCCCCCCCCAGCATCCCGGTCCCCACCGCCCCCACGCAGCTGTCCCCACGCCCCCGCAACGATTTCATGCTGCTGACTGTGCCGGCGCAGCGCATGCCTGGCGCGGTGCGTGTCCGGTGTGGTGTGTGCTTAGCATGGTGCGTGTCCTGTGTGGTGTGTGCTTAGCATGGTGCGTGTCCGGTGCAGTGCGTGTCCAGCACAGTGTGTGACTGGTGTGGTGCATGTACAGTGTGACGTGTGCCCAGTGCGGTGTGTGTCCGGTGTGGTGCACAGCCAGCATGTTGCGTGTCTGGCAGGCACAGTGCATGCCCAGTGCTGTGTGCGTGTCCGGTGCGGTGTGTGCCCAGCACGGTGCGTGTCCTGTGTGAAGCGTGTCCAGTGCAGTGCATGCCTGGCGCGGTGCGTGACCAGTGTGGTGTGTGCTCAGCATGGTGTGTGCCCAGTGTGGTGCATGCCCGGTGTGATGCGTGTCCGGTGCGGTGCATGCCCGGTGCGGTGCATGCCCGGTGCGGTGCATGTCTGGTGTGTGTCTGGTGTGTTCTGTGCCCGGTGTGGTGCGTGTCTGGTGTGTGTCTGGTGTGTTCTGTGCCCGGTGTGGTGCGTGTCTGGTGTGTGTCTGGTGTGTTCTGTGCCCGGTGTGGTGCGTGTCTGGTGTGTGTCTGGTGTGTTCTGTGCCCGGTGTGGTGCGTGTCTGGTGTGTGTCTGGTGTGTTCTGTGCCCGGTGTGGTGCGTGTCTGGTGTGTGTCTGGTGTGTTCTGTGCCCGGTGTGGTGCGTGTCTGGTGTGTGTCTGGTGTGTTCTGTGCCCGGTGTGGTGCGTGTCTGGTGTGTGTCTGGTGTGTTCTGTGCCCGGTGTGGTGCGTGTCTGGTGTGTGTCTGGTGTGTTCTGTGCCCGGTGTGGTGCGTGTCTGGTGTGTGTCTGGTGTGTTCTGTGCCCGGTGTGGTGCATGTCTGGTGTGTGTCTGGTGTGTTCTGTGCCCGGTGTGGTGTGTGTCTGGTGTGTGTCTGGTGTGTTCTGTGCCCGGTGTGGTGCATGTCTGGTGTGTGTCTGGTGTGTTCTGTGCCTGGTGTGGTGCGTGTCTGGTGTGTGTCTGGTGTGTTCTGTGCCCGGCGCGGTGCCCAGGGTGGTTCCAGCCCTGTCCCAGCCCGGCACCTGCAGCCCCAGCGCAGCCATTTCCAGGCCTCAGCCGCAGCTCGGTGCACGTGTGGGCAGGGCAGGGGGTGCAGGAGGTGACCCAGACATCCCCCCCCACCCCCACCCCCTCCCCGTGGTGCGGCAGGGCTGGGGGCACCCTGACCCCCACCCAGACCCCCACCCTGCGCAGACAGGGTCCCCGAGGGGTCGGTGCTCGCTCCTCTGCCAGACGAGCTCCGTGGAGCTGGTGGCTCCTCGGAGGCCCCCGGGGCCACCCCCAGCCCCTCTTGGGGGGGGACGACGGTGGCCTCAGGCCACGATGGAGCCCCGGGGGGTGGCCGAGAGGCAGAGCCGGTAAAAATAAACTGGAATTCACTCAAAATAACCCGGCAGCAACATGTCCAAAAAAGGAGGGAGGCAGCCAGGGAGGCACCAGAGTGAACCCCGCGCCAGGGCACCGGGGTGCCAGGGCCAGGGGACCCAGAGGGGACCGGGGGGACAATCCTGTCCCCAAAGCCTGGCGGGGAGCGGAGGGGACGGGACAGCGATGTGGGGACAGCAGCTCCACAAACACCTGCCCGGGGTGTGGGGGGCACCGGGGGGGGGTGGGGGAGCAAAAACAACCCCCCGAGGCTGAGAATGTGGAGGGGGCGGCTTCGAGCGGTGGCACCAGCTGGGGACGCGAACGGCGAAGCGGATCCTCGGGGCCTGGTGAGAGGGTGGGGAGGCGAAAGCGACGGCACCCGGAGACCCAGGGGTCCCGGCCACCGAGCCCCCCGCCAGCCGTGCGAGCCCCCCCCCCCGAGTCCGCAGGGGCTGGGGTCCGTGGGGGACACGGGGGACGCGGGCTGGGGACCGTGGCCGTGGCCGCCCTGGCATGCGGCGGGTGGGCGTTTGCCAGCTCAGCGGCCAGCGGGCGCGGGGGAGGCGGCGGGCACGGCCCGGGGGGGGCCCGGCCGGGGAGGGGGGGGGGGGTTTCCATCCTCCCGAGCACCCCGAAAGCTGTGCTCGGGGCATCGGTCGTCCCCCCAATCCCCCCGCCCCGATCCCCCTCGCTCCTCGCCACCGGCTCCTGTTGAATAATTGCAGGGCGGCAGCGCGTCCCCGCGCCCATCCCCGTCCCCTCGGGTCTCCAGCCCGGTTAGAGTCCCGGCACCCCAAAACCGCGACGGGCAGGATCCGGCCCCTCCAGCACCCCCCTTGAGAGGTGGGGGGGGGGGGGGGGCACACACACGGCACACCCCGGGCTGCCAGCCCCCACACTGCGCCGGGGGTGACCGGGAGGGACCCAAAACCGAGGAGGGGGCGCAGATCCCGGGGGGAAGTTGGGGGTACACCCGGATCCGCGGGGTCAGCCCGGTTGTCCGGAGGAAGGAGGGGGGTCCGGCTCCCCCCCCACCTCGCGCCCCTGCACTCACCAGCCGGCCGGCTCGGGGCTGAGCTGCCGGTGCAGAGCCACGGCCACCCCGAAGAGGCTGCCCTTGTCGCCGTCCTTCAGCAGGGTGCTGGTGGCATCCAGGTTGAAGGCTGCGGTCGCCAGTAGCCGCAGGCTGAGCAAGGGTAGCCACAGCCCCCGGGGCCCCGCCATGCTCGGCTCCCGCTGCTCCCGCCGCTCCCGCCGCCCGGGAGGACCGGGGGGGGGGGGGGGGGGACGGGGAAGCACGGTCCCCGCCCCGCCTGCCGCGGGCTGGGTCATCCCCGGGTGTCACCCCCCAACGCCCGCCCCCGGGGCAGGGCACGGCGGCACCCCCCACCGCGCTGGGCACCCCCCAAAGCACCCCATAACGCACCCCACACGGGGCATTGCAGCCCACATTGCTGGGCATCACGCCCGTCGCCCCATAGCGCACCCCACATGGGGCATCACACCCTACAGCACACCCCCCCATCACCCCAAAGCGCACCCCACATGGGGCATCGCACCCTACAGCACACCCCCCCATCACCCCAAAGCGCACCTCGCATGGGGCATTGCACCCCAGAGCACTGGGCATCGTGCCCATCGCCCCATAGCGCACCCCCCATGGGGCAGCACACCCCACGGCACTGCACCCATCACCCCATTCGGCACCCCACAATGCTGGGCATTGCGTTCAGCACCCCTTAGTGCACCCCACATCACAGGGCATCGTGCCCATCACCCCACGGTGCACCCCACGGTGCTGTTCAGTGCGCTTCACCCCACACAGTGCCGCACAGAGCATCACCCCCATAGCGCAGTGCATGGCACCCCAACACCCCCATAGCCCCAAACCCCGTCCCCTGCAGTGACACCCCAATACCCTGACACCCCAAACCCCTAACATCCACAGTGACACCCCAATACCCTGATACCCCAAAACCCCATCACACACAGTGACACTCTGATACCCAAATTCCCCATCACCTGCAACGACACCCCAATACCTTGATAGCCCAAAACCTTATCACCCACAGTAACACCCCAATACCCTGGTTTGCCATCACCCACAGCGACACCCCAACACCAGCACTACTGGGGGGGGGGGGGGGGGAACAGGACACTTTGCCCTCCCCACAGCTCCCCAACGCCAAGCCCGTGCTCACAGGGACCCCGACAGCCCCTCTGTCCCCCACGGGGACAGACGAGCCCTGTCCCCAGATGCCCACCAGGCCTACCCCGCTTTGGGCTGGGACAGGAGTAACCCCCCAAATCCGCGCACCCCCTGCACCCCAAACCCTTGCACCCCTGCCAAAAGAGCCAGGAAGAGCGGGACAGCGGTGCCGGCACTGGGGGACCCCATGAGTAGCAGGACCGGGTCCCCCAGGGGTGGTTTGGTCTCGAGTACATCCCCATGCCCCAAACGGCAGGTTTTTGGGGGGGGGACGAGGGGGGGCTGTCATATTTTCCAGCGCACCGGCTATTTTTAACCGCTCTCCAAAGGCCTGCAAAGATCTTCGGGAGCTGCCAGGGCCGTGTGAATGAGCTCCAGCGCTACGTCCTTCACCCCGAGCTCCTCCTCCTCACTGCATTTGGGGGGGACGAGGGCAGGGCCAAAAGGGTCCGTGCCCCCCGCATCTCCTCCCCCTTCCCCGGCCCCCCCCAGCCTGGCCGCCGTCCAGCCCTCCCCACGCTCACCCGCTCTTTCCTCTCTTCGCAGCCCAAATCCCAAATCCCAAATCCCTTCCCAACGTGCTCCCGACGTGGGAAAGGGCCGATCCTTTCCCTGGGAGCGGAGGATGGGGACAGAGCCAGTCCCGGGAGGGGTGTGTGTGTGCTGAGCCCCCCCCACGCCCCATCCCCACCCGGACAGAAGAAGACGGCACACGAGCATCGGGCCAAGTATAAATGCGAAGGAAGGTGGATGAGCAGCCCCATCCCGGTAAAAACACAATTTGGGTGGCGGGGGCCCGCTGCGAGTTCACCCCGTGCCCGGTAACATCCCGGAGAAACCAGCAGCAACGACTCCGCGACACCTGCACCCCGGGAGGCCTGGCCTCCCCCTCACCCCAAGACCCAGAGAGATGGGGATTTTCAACCCCAAAACCCGGCTCGTGAACGGACAAGGGGCCATTTCCCACGGCCGGGGCTCACGGCCTCGTCCCACCAGCTGCCGGCGATTGGGTTTCACCGGGGCCGGCTGTGCAGAGCAGGCAGCGAGCCTGGCCGCTCGTCACCCCATCTCCAGGATTTTATTTCGGGTGCAAAGGGCCACCTTCCAGCTGGACGCCGCTCCCGGCGGCGCAGCCACGGAGCGCGAAGGGTTTTCACGGCCAGGGTGTGGGGGAATGGGGGTGTCAGGCAGCAACTCGGGCATCCAGAGGAGAATATTCCTTGTTGGGACGATTCCCTCTGTGCCAAACCACCGGCGCCGGGAGCCCTGCGAAGGGAATTGCACCCAGGCTCCCGCCGCGGAGCATCGGCTGTCAGCACGTGCCGAGAGCCGGAGCTGGCGGCTGGGCAAGGTGTGAGCCCCAGCGGGGTGGGGGTGGGGGGGTCCCACCGTCACCAGCAAAGGTCCCCAACTGGGCAGCGACTCCGTTCCTGGTGGAAGGAAGGGGCAAGAACTGGGCTGGGGTGGTTTGGGGGCTCCCACAGGCGGGAGCTGCCGCAGTTACGCCTAAAAACACCAAGCCCCGCCCCCCCTCCCCGATACACCCAAACCTCTCACCCCCCGGCACACGCAAAGCCGGGTTGCAGGGAGGAGCAGGGCAGCCCCCCCCCCCCGAGCACAGCAACCCCGGCAGCCACGCCGTTAGCCCGGGCATGCTTGTCAGTTAACAACGGAAACAGCAAAATAAATTCCTCAGCCCTCCCCAAGGCCGCAGGGGCTCGTTTGCGTGCCTGGAGCGGGCTGGGCTTGCGGGGCGGAATCTGGGGTTATTTTTACCCATTCCCGGGTTTATCTTTGGCCACATTTTCTGCTCCGAGTTCCTGGAGCTGTGGCCAGAATTCGCCCGCTCGGAGAGCGAAGGGACGAGGAGCGGCCGGCGGGGATAGGGAGTGGGTTGCCCCCGCCGGGGCTGTTTTGGGGTAGATGGAGGAGAAAAGAGTCAAGGCAGCGGCCCCGCGCCCTGCCGACCCCTTCCCAGCAAACGCCGCCTTTCCCTGCCCAACGCGAGGGGATGACATGGTCTTCCTCCCCCTCCTCCTCCTCCTGCAGCACCGGCGCCTGGCCAAGGGCCCAGCCCCATCCTGGCTCTCGGGCCGATTACGGCCGGTGAGCTCAGCCGCATCCCAGCATTTCTGCCAGCTCACCCTTCCGGCACGCCGCAGGATAATTTAATTTTCCTGGTGCGTTTCACTGGCAGCGGCTGCATCCCCGGAGCCCGGCCTGCTCCCTGCCCACCCCCCCACCCCCCCCCCCCCAAACCAGGGCACATCCCGGCAGCCCGGGCACCGCCCCGACCTTGGGACGCCCTCCCGGGGATGAGTCTGGATTATTTGAGATTTGGTCCCACTGCAGCCGGGAAGCGGGTGGGAGCTCGGGGACAGCACCCAAACGTTCCCCAGCACAAACCCCTAGAGCCCCCCACACCCCCAGCCAGGCCCCTATAGCACCCACAGACCCCAGCCAGGCCCCATAGCACCCAGCCAGGCCCCTATAGCACCCACAGACCCCAGCCAGGCCCCATAGCACCCAGCCAGGCCCCTACAGCACCCACAGACCCCAGCCAGGCCCCTACAGCACCCACAGACCCCAGCCAGGCCCCTACAGCACCCACAGACCCCAGCCAGGCCCCTATAGCACCCACAGACCCCAGCCAGGCCCCATAGCACCCAGCCAGGCCCCTATAGCACCCACAGACCCCAGCCAGGCCCCATAGCACCCAGCCAGGCCCCTACAGCACCCACAGACCCCAGCCAGGCCCCTATAGCACCCAGCCAGGCCCCTACAGCACCCACAGACCCCAGCCAGGCCCCTACAGCACCCACAGACCCCAGCCAGGCCCCATAGCACCCACAGACCCCAGCCAGGCCCCATAGCACCCAGCCAGGCCCCTACAGCACCCACAGACCCCAGCCAGGCCCCATAGCACCCAGCCAGGCCCCTATAGCACCCACAGACCCCAGCCAGGCCCTTACAGCCCCCTCAGCTCCCCACTCCCTCTAGCAGATCCCTATAGCCCTGACGTGTCCCTGTCACCCTCACAGGCCACCCCCCAAACCCCTATAGACCCTGTGGGCCCCTGTAGCCCCCTCATGCCACCAGCCAGGCCCCTGTAGCCCCTTCAGGCACCTATAGCCTCCACACAGGCCCCTACAGCCCCCTGGGGCTGCCAGTTGGGCTCCTATAGCAGTCACGCGGCCCCTATAGGCCTCCAGGTCCCCGTACCCCACCTCTGGGCCCCTACAGCCCCCTGGGGCTGCCAGCCAGGCCCCTATAGCCCCCCCGGTTCCTCCTGCACCCCTTCCGGGGCCGCAGGGGGCGCGGCACAGCGGTGACGCGATGGTGACGCGGCGGTGACGCGGCTGTCAGGTGACGCCATGCTGTCCCGGCTGCTGAAGGAGCACCAGGCGCGGCAGAGCGAGCGGCGGGAGCTGCAAGGTGAGCCCGCCCCCTCCCCGTCCCTATGGCGACCGGTCCCGCCCCGCGACGTCCGATTGGCGGCGGGCGCTGCCACTCACAGTCCGCGGCAGGGTGGGCCGCGCGGGCGCGCATTCCATTGGCCGGCGCGGCTGTCCGTCAAGGGTGTTGGTGCTAGGGGTTGGGGGGGGCCGTGGCGGTGAGGGGGCCGGGCGGGGTGGCGGGCAAGGTGGAGCGTGATGTCACCGTTCCGCGTGGTGGCGTCACGCGGCTCGCCCGCTGGCGTCACGGGCAGCCCGTGCGGGGCCCTGACGGCCGCGTCCCCGCAGAGCGGCGGCGCAGGGATGCCATCGCCGCCGCCACCCGCCTGACAGAGGCCCTGGTCGATCACCTCAACGTGGGGTGAGGCCGAGACACCCGGCCGGGACACCCCAAAACCCGAGCAGGGACCCCCCCAAAACCCCCGGCCGGGACCCCCTAAAACCCGGGCAGGGACCCCCCCCAAAACCCCTGGCTGGGACCCCCCAAAACACTCGTCTGGGACCCCCCCCCAAGCTCCCAGGCAAGGACCCCCGGAAACCCTGGCTGGGACCCCCCCAAACCCCCGGGCAAAGAACCCCCAAAACGGCGGCCAGGGATCTCCCAAACTCCCGGACAAGGATCCCCCAAAAACCCCGGCCGGGATCCCCCCAAACCCCGGGCAGGGACCCCCGAAAACCCCAGGCAAGGACCCCCCCACCCCCCCACCCCCACAGCTGGGACCTGCCAAACCCCGGGTAGTGACCCCCCACAACCGCGGCCAGGGATCCCCCAAACCCCGAGCAAGGACCCCCCAAAACCCCAGCCAGAGAACCCTTTCCCCCCCCCCCCCATCCCCCCAACCAGGGACCCCCCAACCCCCCACCCCTTCCTCCTCAAATTCCCTGGCCAGGGTCCCCCCCAAAACCCCCAGCCCTTCCCCCCTGAAACCCCCCCGGGTACCCCCTGAGCCCCCCCAGCCCCTTTTACCCATGCAAACCCCAGCCAGAGACACCCCCACCCCCAACCTTGGTGCCCCTTCCTCCCCAAAAACCCCCAGCCAGGGACCCCCCTACACCCCCCCAGCCAGGGATCCCTTCCCCCCCCCCCCCCCAATCCCCTGCTCAAGGACCCCCTTGCGCCCCTTTTCCCCCCCCAGTCCCCCCCCCCCCCATCTCCACTAAATGGCTCCTCAGTGCTTTGGCTTCCCCCACCCCCCCTCCCAGGACCTCCCCCGCCCCCCCATGTCCCCCAAATGTGTGTGTGTGTCCCCCCCCCGGCAGAGTGGCTCAGGCTTACGTCAACCAGCGGAAACTGGACCATGAGGTGAAGACGCTGCAGGTCCAGGCGGCCCAGTTTGCCAAGCAGACTGGGCAGTGGATCACCATGGTGGAGAACTTCAACCAGGCCCTCAAGGTGGGGGTGACACCCCCCCGCGCACCCCCCCCCCAAAAAAAAAAAAAAAAAAAAGGCACAGGGCTGGAGGGGGCGGGGGGTGCCCTTACCCCTGGTTTGTCACAGCGGAGAAGCAGCCCTATGGGAACCACCCACCCCCACCCCCCCGATGTCACTGGTGTGGGGTCCCTGAGCCCCCACAGAGCTGCGGAAGGGCGAGGGGGGAGCCCCAAATTTCTCTGAGAGCCCCCCCCCCCATCAAAAAAATCCCGGCAGGAGATCGGCGACGTGGAGAACTGGGCCCGCAGCATCGAGCTGGACATGCGGACCATTGCCACCGCCCTGGAGTACGTCTACAAGGGGCAGCTGCAGCCCCCCTGCTCCTGAGCTGCGGCCCCCCCTGGCCCCCCCACACCCCGGGGCGCCCCCCCCCTTTTTTGCCACCACTCCTGTTCCCGGCAGATAAGGGGGGACGGGTGGCTGCGCTGCCGCAGCAGCTCCCGGCTGCCTCGGGGATCCCCCCCCAAAACCAGCAAGTGGGTGGAATAAAATGGTGTTTGGGGGGGGCTGGGGGGGGGGGGGGTAGCCAGGCCAGGCACAGCCTTAGCTGCCCCCCACCTCCTAAGCCCCCTCATCCTCTTTAACCGCTTAACTCGGGTTCTGAGGCCCCTTTTTCTCCCAGACAAAGGGGCCCTTTTGGGCTCTAATCCCCCCCGGGGGGGGCCCCAGCTCTGCCCCCCCCCCGCCAGGGCTGGGAAGGGGACCCTGGGAAGGTTCACCTTATGGGGGGGGGAGACGGGGGGGTGCCCTCCCTCCCAGCGCCTCCATGGTGAGGGTCCCCCAACAAGGCGAGGGGTGTCTCTGCACCCCCCTGCACCTAAGTGTGTCCCCCCCGCCACCTGGAGCTGCACCCAGCAATAGTGGGGGGGTCGGGGGGGGAGGGTTCAGCCCACGGTGAACTTTGGCTGCGGGCTCTGCCCCGGCGCAGGGGGAGGAGCGGCTGCAGCCCCCCCGGCTCAGACAGCCACAGCCACAGCAGCGCCCAGAGCTCTCTGAAGGTAGGGGGGGGCTTGGGGGGGGGCTCCCCTCTGCACCCCAACCTGTGGCAGCAGCAGCCCCCCCCCCCCCCCGCTGCTGTCTGGAGGGGGCGGGGGGGGCTGCTGCTGGCCATCCCCTGCCCTCATCCATCTTGGCGGACCCAGGGCAGATTTGGGGTGTGTGTCCCCCCCCCCCCGAGCCCCCCCGGACAGGGAAGGGGTGTGTGTGTGGGATCAGCCTGCCCCCCCTCACCCCCTCCCAGCCCCAGTGGGTTTGTAACCCCCAGTCAGTCCCCACTGCTGGGAGCGATGCGGGGATCCTGACCCCAGCACAGATCCCCCCTAAATGGGGGGCGGAGGAGGGGAACAGTCCCCCCCCAGGGCTTCTTTATCGGGGGGGGGATGTGGGGTCCCAGGGGCAGCTGTGATGGCATGGGGGGGGGGGGGCTCACCCCCACCCTGAGAGGATGGGGACCACCATCCTGGCACCTCAGCACCGACCAGGAGCCATGTGGGGCCGGTTCTGAGCTGGGGGGTGTGTGTGTGTGTCAATCACCGCCCCCCCTTTTCCCATCCCTTACAATTGGGGGGGGGGGGTGTGGGGTGTGTCTGACCCCCATAGTGTGGGGCAGGGGATCTGGGGGTCCCCTGCACGGGGAGGGGTGTGTGGCTTTACCTGGCGCACGAGGAGCCAGGGTTGAATTTGGGGGGTGCAGGGGTTGATGTGGGGAGGGGGGGGGGGGGGGGCAAAGCCCAGGATATCTGGGTTCCACCTTCCCCCCCAAACACCACCCAACCCCCCCCCCCCCCCCAGCCCCCTGCCATGTGGCTGTACATCTTACTGGTGGCACTGGCCTGGGCGCTGGGCTGGCTGGTGCGGGACCGCCAGACCTTGCCCTCGGTGAAGGACAAACACGTCTTCATCACGGGCTGCGACAGCGGCTTTGGCAACCTGCTGGCGCGGCGGCTGGCCCGGAGGGGCTACCGTGTGCTGGCCGCCTGCCTGACCCAGGACGGGGCCGACGGGCTCCAGCGGGGCTGCCCCGGCCACCTCCGCACCATCCTGCTCGACGTCACCCGCTCCGACAGCGTCCGCCGGGCAGCAGAGTGGGTGCGGGCAGAGGTGGGCGAGAAAGGTGAGGGGAGGGGGGGGCAGGATGGGACCCAGAAGGGGTGCTGAGGGGAGACACAGGGTCCTAGGGGAGGTGCTGGGGGGCAGAATGGGACCCAAGGAGGTGCTTGGGGGCAGGATGGGACCCTGGGGGTGCTGGGGGGGGCAGAATGGGACCCAAGGAGGTGCTGAAGGGCAGGATGGGACCCAGGAGGGGTGCTGAGGAGGGACACGGGGTCCTAGGGGAGGTGCTGGGGGGCAGAATGGGACCCAAGGAGGTGCTTGGGGGCAGGATGGGACCCTGGGGGTGCTGGGGGGGCAGAATGGGACCCAAGGAGGTGCTGAAGGGCAGGATGGGACCCAGGAGGGGTGCTGAGGAGGGACACGGGGTCCTAGGGGAGGTGCTGGGGGGCAGAATGGGACCCAAGGAGGTGCTTGGGGGCAGGATGGGACCCAGGAGGGGTGCTATGGGGCAGGATGGGACCTGGGGGTGCTGGGGGGGGCAGAATGGGACCCAAGGAGGTGCTGAAGGGCAGGATGGGACCCAGGAGGGGTGCTGAGGAGGGACACGGGGTCCTAGGGGAGGTGCTGGGGGGCAGAATGAGACCCAAGGAGGTGCTTGGGGGCAGGATGGGACCCAGGAGGGGTGCTGAGGGGGGACACGGGGTCCTAGGGGAGGTGCTGGGGGGCAGAATGGGACCCAAGGAGGTGGAGGGGAGCAGGGTGGGACCCAGGAGGGTGCTGAGGAGAGACACGGGGTACCAGGGGAGGTGCTGTGGGGGCAGGATGGGGCCCAGGGAGGTGCTGGGATGCAGGATAGCACCCAAGGAGGTGGGGGGGGGGGGAAGGATGGGACCCGGCGGGTGCTGGGGGCGGGACCGGGTCCCACCAGGGGCTGGTGGAGGAGCAGGAGGGGTGGGCTCAGGAGAGGTGCTGTGGGGCGAGAGGCTGGGCCGCACCCAGGGGTGCTGGGGGGGCAGGATGGGCCCTGCCTGGGGGGGGGGGGGGGGGCGGGGAGCCCTGGGGAGGGGCTGTAGGGTGGGGTGGGGTGTTGGTGTCCCTGCAGGGGGGCTATAGGGTGGTGGTGGGGTCCCTGCAGGGGGTCTATAGGGTGGGGGGGTCCCTGAAGAGGGGCTATAGGGTGTGGGAGGTGTCCCTGCAGGGGGGCTATGGGGGGGGGGTGTCCCTGCAGGGGGGCTGTAGGGTGGTGGTGGGGTCCCTGCAGGGGGGCTATAGGGTGGGGGGGTCCCTGAAGAGGGGCTATAGGGTGTGGGGGGTGTCCCTGCAGGGGGGCTACGGGGGGGTGGGGTGGGTGTGCCTGCAGGGGGGCTATAGGGTAGGGGGGGGTCCCTGCAGGGGGGCTATGGGGAGGGGTGTCCCTGCAGGGGGGCTATGGGGTAGGGGGGGGTCCCTGCAGGGAGGTTATAGAGTTGGGGGGGGGGGGGGGGGTGTGACCCCTGCAGGGGGGCTATAAGGGATGCATGTTGGGGGGGTCCCTGCAGGGGGGGGGGCTATAGGCCAGGCAGGAGGGGGGAGGTCCCCACCAGGGCCAGGCTGGGGGGGGGCGGGTCCCAGGGGATGTGCCCTGGGGCAGGGACCCCATCCTGCATCTGTCTGTCTGTCTGTCTGTGTGTGTGTGTGTCCCCAGGTCTGTTCGGGCTGGTGAACAACGCGGGGGTGACGCGCCCCATGGGCCCCACGGAGTGGATGGGGGTGGAGGATTACCGGCGGGCGCTGGCCGTCAACGCGCTGGGCGCCGTGGAGGTGACGCTGGCGCTGCTGGGGCCGCTGAAGCGGGCGCGGGGCCGCGTCGTCAACACCTCCAGCGTGCTGGGCCGCCTGCCCGCCGCGGGCGGGGGGTACTGCCCCTCCAAAGCCTGCCTCGAGGCCTTCTCGGACAACCTGCGGTGGGGGCACCCCCAAAACAACACACACCCCACACCCCCCCAAACCCCCTCCTCCCCCGGCGCTGAGGGGTGTCGTCTCTCCCAGGCGGGACATGTACCACTTCGGGGTCAAGGTCAGCATCGTGGAGCCCGGGTTCTTCAAGACGCCGGCGACCGACCTGGAGAGCATCGAGGGGTCCCTGCGGCAGCTCTGGGGCCGCCTGGCCCCCGAGACGCGGCTCAGCTACGGCGAGGATTTCTTCCACAAGTGTGAGTGGAAGGAGGGGGGGGGGGGGAGGACAGCACCCGCTGCCTCAGTTTCCCCCACCTGCAGGCTGCCTGTGCCTGAACCCACTCCCCAACTGCCAGCCCTGCCTCAGTTTCCCCCGGCTGCAGGCTGCCTGACCCCCCCAGATCTGATCCCTGCCTCAGTTTCCCCCGGCTGCAGGCTGCCTGACCCCCCCCAGACTTGAGCCCTGCCTCAGTTTCCCCCACCTGTGGGCAGTCTGCGCCTGACCCCCACTCCTTGACCCCCCACCCCCCCCCAGATCGGATCCCTGCCTCAGTTTCCCCCGGCTGCAGGCTGCCTGACCCCCCCCAGACTTGAGCCCTGCCTCAGTTTCCCCCGCCTGCGGGCAGTCTGTGCCTGACCCCCACTCCTTGACACCCCCCCACCCCCCAGATCTGATCCCTGCCTCAGTTTCCCCCCAGTTGCAGGCTGCCTGTGCCTGACCCCAACTCCCTGAAGCCCTTCCCCTCCCCAGATCGGATCCCTGCCTCAGTTTCCCCCGGCTGCAGGCTGCCTGACCCCCTCCCAGACTTGAGCCCTGCCCCAGTCTCCCCCGCCTGTGGGCAGTCTGCGCCTGACCCCCACTCCTTGACACCCCCCCACCCCCCAGATCTGATCCCTGCCTCAGTTTCCCCCCAGTTGCAGGCTGCCTGTGCCTGACCCCCACTCCCTGAAGCCCTTCCCCTCCCCACATCTGAATCCCTGCCTCAGTTTCCCCTGCCTGCAGGCCTCCTGGCACCCCCCCTCCCTGACACCCCCCCCCTCCCCAGACCTGAAGGTGCAGCGCCTCATCATGACGGCGCTCTGCGACGGGGACCTGACCAAGGTGACGCGCTGCGTGGAACACGCGCTGGGGGCCCGGCACCCCCGCACCCGCTACAGCGCCGGCTGGGACGCCAAGCTGCTCTGGCTGCCGGCGTCCTACCTGCCCGCCTGCCTCGTCGACTTCGTCCTGGCCACCATCCTGCCCAAGCCGGCCCACCGCGTCCGCTAGTCCCCTGCTGTGGCCACCGACCGCCCCCCGCAAAGCTCCAGGACCAACCCCCCCCCCCCCCCCCCCCAAAATCTGCAAATAAACCGCCCAGGCTGGGTGCTGGGTGATCCGCCGCCCGCCGTGCTCGTCGCTGCGGTGGCCCCCGTGGGGTTTGGGGACCGGTGGTGGCTTTGTCCTGGAGCCCCCACCCCCGATGTGACCTGGGGGGGGGGGGGGATGCAGGTAACAACACCGCTCCCGGGGCTCCCCCCCCTTGCAGGGATGGTGCCACCGGCAGCCCCCGCACAGCCCGGTGTCCTGGGGACACAGCCCCGAGCCGAGCCGGGCCCCCCTGCTGCCCCCCCTCCCAGCACTGGGGGACACCCACACCAAGGCCAGACATGCTGCCCCCCTCGCCCCCCCCCCCGCATCACCATTGCTCCCAGTGGGCCCCAGTCCCTTCCCAGTCGGGACGTCCCAGTCACAGGACTGGGCCCCCAGCGGGCGCAGGGGGACACGCAGCTCTACAGAAGCTTTTCTTTTTATTCCCAAACCTGGGGACCCCCCCCTCGCCCCGACCCCCCGCTGGCACTTGGGGAGGGGTCCAAGGGCAGCGACCCACCCCCGGGCAGGGTTTGGCACGTGGGGGGCCCTGCCCCAGTGCAGCTCGTGGGGGGCAAGCAAGTGGGGGAAGCCCCCTGGGCCCCCCCAGGTGGGGGGCAGCGAGAGTTGGGGGGGGGGCCACGGTGCCCGTGGGGGGGCTACATAACCTCGTAGCCGCTGCGGATGCCCTTCATCAGGCAACAAGCGAAGATGATGCCCAAAATCTGGAAGGAGAGAGGGGAGTGGGGTGACCCCCATCCTGTGGGGCCCCATATGGGCGGGGGGGGGGGGGGGCGCTCAGCCCCACACAGTGGGGGGCTCAGCCCCAAGTCCTACCTCAAAGAAGGCGATGCCCAGCGCGACCGCGGCCACGATGAGGATGTTCTTCTTCATCCAGGCTTCGATGCTTTGGAGGCAGCCCTGGGGGCGCAGGGAGAGGTCAGGGGGTGGCCAGACCCCCAGGGCATGGCGTGGGGGGGGACACAGGGTTGGGGGGGGGTGGGGTGGGGGGGTGGAGTGTCTCACCTTCTCGTAGACAGTGGCGGGGCTGGGGCGGACGTTGCAGGAGGTGGTGTTGACGCGGCAGCAGGACCGCGGCACCGTGTTGTTGACCCTGAACCGCTCGATGGTGGCCCAGTCTGTGTAGTTGTTAGCTCCGCAGCAAGCAAACTGGTGGGGTGTGGGAGGGGGGAACAGGATGACCCCAGGGGGTCCGGGGGGGGCCGAGCCCTTCATGCCCAACCCACCCCCCCCCCCCCCAAGTCACTCACATCCCTCTGGAGCTCGTCCATCGCCTCTGTCAAGGGCTGGTCCTCCCCGTACTTGCGCATCGCGTCCCACAGCCCCTCCTCCAGCACCGAACGCACCTGGGGAGGGGGGGGGGGGGCGGTGTCAGGTCAGGGAGAGGCATTGAGGGGGTAGGGTGGGGTGGTCCACAGCACCCCCAGCCACTCCACGCCCCCTCCCCACGTGTCCCCACCTTGTCCTTGAAGACGTATCCGGCGATGGCGGCGGCGATCTCCACCAAGAAGATGATGCTGAGCAGGATGGCGAACTGCGGCGGGGGGGGGGGGGGGGGAAGGAGAAAAACAGGGTGGGGGTCAGGGGGTGTGTGTTGGGGGGGGGGGGGGGGGTGTTGTTCAGGTGGGGGTCAGGGTGCTCACCGTGGTGACCATGCAGTAGCTCTCCTTCCAGGCGCCGCAGCAGCCGAAGAAGGAGATGAAGAAGATGATGACGCCCAGCACCAGGATGGCGACGGGGGAGCTGGAGGCGGAGGCGGCGCTGACCACCAGCGCCTTATCCAGGGCCACTTGGGCGTAGATGCCGATGGCGATGAGGGCCACGCCGCATACCTGGCGGGGGGGGGGCACAGGGAATTGGGGTGCACCCCCAGAGCCGGCGGGGTGTGTGGGGGGATCACCTGCAGCTCACCAGGAACAGGGCAGGGGGGGTGGGGACGGGCGGTGAGGGACGCTGGGGTTTGGCTGCGAATTGGGGATCCCCTTTGTAGGGGTGATTGGGGGGGGGGGGTGGGGGGTGTTCTTGGACCCCCCCACCCCCCACCCCACTCAGCACAGCGATGTCCCGATGGCGGGGGCTCGGTGGTGGGAGGGGGGGGCCCTGGTCTTGTCCCACGGCGGGACACTCCCTGGCTGCGGTGAGGGGGGGGGGGGGCCGGGCTGGCGGCCGCAGGAACGCCGGGAAGTTCGGCCTTCCGGCCACGGCGAGAGGCCTCGGAGGGGGGACCCGGCGCCAGCCCCCCGCCCCGGGGTGGGGGGGGGGCCCACGGGCTGAGTGGGGGGCCCCCACCACACACACACACACACACATTGTCCCGGTGGGCACCAGCAGCCCCACTCCCACGGGAGCCAGGACACCCACGGCTCTTCCCAGTGCTGGGACAATCCCGTCTCCGGCACACACACACCCCCACCCCCCCACGGGTGGCACACCCCCCCACTCCCCCCCCCCCCCCTCCCCGGCCTCAGTTTCCCCGTGGGAGTGGGGGGGACACCCCCCCCCCGCCCCCCGGTGCCGCTGGCCCTGTTTGCTCGCTGGGTGTGGGTAAACAGAGTCCGGCCCGGCCGCCTGCTGCACAAACACTCCTGGGGGGGGCAGAGGGGGGGGCTGGCGCCGGTGTCCCCGTCATGTGTGTGTGTCTCCCCCCCCGGGCCCCCCAGGGGTGACTCAGCCCGGCAGGATCAGGGTGGGGACTGGGACGAGTCACTCCCTGTGTGTGGGGGGGGACAGGATGACGGCCGGAAAGGCGCCTGCCCCCCCCCACCCCCCCGCTGTGTTGTGTGTCCATCCGTTCCGCCCCCCCCCCCCCCCACTCCCCCGCACCCCGCTACGGCCGTTGGGCTCCTCGCGCCTCTTTCCTCACCCCGACTTCCCCAAACCCGTGCCCTGCCCCACACGGGGACCCTGGAGCCGGGGGACACGGGGGGGGGGGCCCCGGCCACCCGTGGGGTCCCCACCCTGACCCCGGGGCTGGCTTTCCCAGGGCCGGGGTGTGCCAGGCTCGCCCAGCCCAGCCTCGTTACCCCTGGAACCTACTGATGGGCGGCGTGTGGTCGCACCGCTGCCCGGTGCCAGGCTTCTCCCAGAGTGGGCAGCCTACCCCCTGCTGCCCCCCCACCACACACACCCCCCACCCCCCCCATTGCAGCCCCCCCCCCCCCGGGCAGCAGGGCCCCCCCCCCCCCCGCACTCCCCACAGCCCCCAACTCAGGGTCTGCAAGGTAGGGGCCGGCGGGTGTCAACGGGGCTGTATTGGGGGGGGATGATGACGTCAGCGGGGGGGGGAAACACGGCGGGGGGGGGTGGGTGACTGCTGCCAGCCACGGGGCTGGGGCGGGCTCGTCCCCAGCGGGGGAAAGGCCGGACTGCCGGTCCCGGTGCCCCCCTCCCCGGTGCCTCCCCCGGTCCCCACTCACCCAGAAGATGAAGTTGAAGACGAAAACCAGGAACTTCACACATTTCATCCCACCCTCGACCGCCATGGCCCGTCCTGCGGGAGCCGCCGCCTCAGCCCCGGTACCGGCACCAGCACCGGTACCGGCCCCGATCCACGCCTGGCCCGGTCCCGGTCCCGGTACCAGTCCCGGTCCCAGCCCCCCCGCCCTCCCCGCTCCCACCGTCCTGGACCCGGCCCCGCTCCCGGTGTGCTCCCCACCCGCTCCCGGTGCTCCCGGTGCTCCCGGTGGCCCCGTGCCCGCTCACCGGCTCCGCCGCTCCGCCGCCCGCTCCGCGATCATGTGATGGGGCCGGGGCGAGTCAACCCCGGGCCCGCCCCGGGCCCGCCCCGGCCCCCGCCACCGCCCCGCGTGGGTCCCGCCCCGCGTCGCCCCGTCCCTCCCCCCCACCCCCCGCGGCAGCACAGACACGCGGGTGCGAGGGACGCTTTAATGGGGGCGGACATGGGGGGTCTCCAGGGCCCAGAGCGCTCACCCCCCCCCCCCCCCCCCGTCCCGCACCCCGGGTGGGGGGGGGTGTCCCAGCCACCCCACAGCCTGGTGACCCTGCGCCCCGGGGTCCCGCCATCCTTGGTCCCACCCGTACCCTGCACCCCGGGATCCCACCCACCCCATACCCTGCACCCCGGGGTCCCAGTCACCCCATACCCTGCACCCCGGGATCCCACCCACCCCGTACCCTGCACCCCGGGGTCCCAGTCACCCCATACCCTGCACCCCAGGATCCCACCCACCCCGTACCCTGCACCCCGGGGTCCCAGTCACCCCATACCCTGCACCCCGGGATCCCACCCACCCCGTACCCTGCACCCCGGGGTCCCAGTCACCCCGTACCCTGCACCCTGGGGTCCCACCCACCCCATACTCTGCACCCCAGCGTCCCGGACACCCTGTGACTCTTGGTCCCTGTCACCCCATACCCTGCACACTGGGGTCCCACCACCCCACACCCTTCACCCAGGGTCCCGGTCACCCCACACCCTGCACCCCAGGATCCCAATCACCCCACACCCTGCACCCCAGGGTCCTGGTCACCCCGTACCTTGCACCCCAGGATCCCAATCACCCCACACCCTGCACCCCAGGGTCCTGGTCACCCCGTACCCTGCACCCCAGGATCCCAATCACCCCACACCCTGCACCCCAGGGTCCTGGTCACCCCGTACCCTGCACCCCAGGATCCCAATCACCCCACACCCTGCACCCCAGGGTCCCACCCGCCCTGTACACTTCACCCCGGGTCCCAGTCACCCTATAACCTGCACCCCAGGATCCCACCCGCCCCATACCCTTCACCCAGGGTCCCAGTCACCCTATAACCTGCACCCCAGGATCCCAATCACCCCACACCCTGCACCCCGGGGTCCCAGCCGCCGTGGGCTCAGAGCCCCGGCACGGTGGCCAGCGCGGCCAGCACGGCCTCCAGGTGCTGGGGGTGCACGTAGGCCACCAGCCCACCCCGGTTTGCCCACCGCTCGGCCCCCGCCGCCCCCTCCACCGGGCAGTTGTACACCAGCTCGGGGGGGGGCCCGGTGTCACCCTCTCGCCGTGCCCTCAGGGCCCCCGCCAGGGCCACCGTGCCCCCCCCCAGGGCACGCAGGATGGCGTGGGGGGCGCAGGCGTCCCAGGCGAAGGTGCTGCCCTCGGAGAGGACGTAGGCATCCGCCAGCCCCAGGATGACGCAGAGCATTTTGTAGCCGGCACCGGCGGCGAAGCGCGGGCCGTTACCGCAGGGGGGGCCCAGGGCCGCCCGCACCGCCTCCCCCTCCGCCCGGCTCAGCACCACGCGGGGGGGTGCGGGGCGCAGCGGCGGGGGGCTCAGCGAGCACAGCCGCGTGTCCCCGTACGCGACGCCCCAGTGGTACCTCCCCTGCCACCTGTGGGGACGGGGACACTGAGTGCGGACCCCCCCCCCCCTCTTCCTCCATCACAGGGTCCCTCCGGCTCTCTGGGGGTCCCGATCTGGCTGTGTGTGTGGGTGTCGTCCCCACCCCCCCCCCCCCGGTGCTCCCCGCCGTGCCGGTACCTGCGGGTCAGGGGGTCCCGGCGGAAGAAGGGCTCGTTGATGACCCCCAGCACCGGGCAGCCCGTGTGCCGGTTGTAGGCCCCGATGAGCACCAGCGCCGAGCGCAGCCCCCCCGGGGCGATGCCGTCGATGGGGGCCACGTCCTCGCGCCCGCTGATGTACTCGTTGGTGGCATCTGGGGGTGCAACCAAAATCACCGGGGCTCAGCCGCGGCTGTGGATGACGAGGAGCAGCGGGGGGGGGGGGTTCCCACCTGTCCCTCTCCAGGCACCCCCTCACCGATGGGGTCTATCCAGACGGCCAGGTCCCCAGGGGGGATGCTGAGCTCCACGCCGGCCAGCGCCGCGTCCCCCGGTGCCACGTCCCCCGGTGCCACGTCCCGGTGCACGGCGGCTGCCAGCAGCTCGGCGGCCGCCCGCTCGGGCTCCAGCACGGAGCGCAGCAGGGCCGCGGTGTCCCCCGGCGTGGCGCACACCCGCACCGCCACCGTCTCCCCTGCCAGCACCCCGGCCTCAGCGTGAAGTTGGGGGGGGGGGGGGGACACAGGCGACACCCCCACCCTCCTTTCCACCACCGCTCCCCCCGGGACTCACCTTGCCCATTCCTGAACTCGTTGGACTCCTCACCGTGGATGTGGCCCTGCAGCTCGGGGAACTGGGGGGGACGGCGCGGCTCAGCCACAGGGCAGGGGGGACACGGGGGCACCGCGGGGACACCCCCCCACCCCCCAGCCTGTCCCCTACCTCCTTGCCCAGGTCATGCTTGACGACCTCCTGGATGAGGACGTCCGCCAGCGTCTTGAAGTCCTGGGGGAACCTCCTGTTCCTGTCGGCCCCCGATTTCTCGGCCACCAGGAGCTGGAAGAGGGGCTCCTCGCGGCGGCACAGCCGGGCGATGTCCGCCGCCTTCTCCGAGGCACCCACCAGCGCCTGCAGCACCCCCATGGCGGGGCTGGGGGGCCGCGGTCCTCAGGGGGGGGCGGCCACCCCCTGGCCCCACGCGCTCTGCCCGTGATTGCGGGGTGCGGGCAGCGGGCAGGGCTGCGTCCTGCCTGGCGCTGGCCCCAGGGTGGGGACCCGGCTAAAATTGTCCCATTCGGCTGCCAGAGACCACAGCCCGGAGGTGGGGACGTGGATGTGGGGACGTGGGGATGTGGGGACAGGGGGACATGGGGACACGGGGACACAGGGACGTGGGGACAGGGGGATGTGGGGACACAGGGACAAGGGGACAGAGGGATGTGGGGACATGGGGACACGCGGACACAGGGATGTGGAGATGTGGGGACATGGGGATGTGGGGATGTGGGGACACGGGGACAAGGGGACATGGGGACACAGGGACACAGGGACACAGGGACATGGGGACTTGGGGACATGGGAAAGTGGAGATGTGGGGACACAGGGACATTGGGACAGGGGGATGTGGGGACATGGGGACAGGGGGACACAGGGACATGGGGATGTGGGGACATGGGGGACAGGGGTATGTGGGGACATGGATGTGGGGACGGGGGGATGTGGGGACACAGGGACATGGGGACAGGGGGACACAGAGACACTGGGACATGGGGATGTGGGGACAGGGAGACGTGGACATGGGGCAGCGCCCAGCCAAGGATGTGGCCCCACTGCGGGGTCCCCGCGTGGGGGGGGGATGTCTGTCCCGCGTGGAGGAGGAAGCAGCCAGGGCTGGGGTGGGGGGGAAGGACCCCGCGGCCCCCCCCAGGCAGCGCGTCCCCCGCCGCCACGTCCCGGGCCGCGTCACGCGGGGGGAACCCCCCACCCCCGGGCCGCCCCACGCGGGGGGATGTTGCCCTCCCCGGTTCCCCCCTCCCCCCGTGGAGGGGTCCCCACCCCCTGGGACATCCCTCGGGGGCCCCGCGGGACCCGCGCCCCCCCCCCCCGCGTTGCCGTTACCGGGGCCGGGGCCGCTGACAGCTCCTGAGGGGCGGGCCAGGGGGCGGGGCCTGGCGGGACACGTCACGCCGCCTTAACCCCCTCGGCGCCGCAGCCCGGCGTGCAGGGAGGGGGACACCCCCCCCCCCCCCCAATCCGGTGTCGGGGTTCCCCCGCTTCTCGCCTCCCGGGGTGACACCGGGGAGCGGTGACGCCATCACGGCGGGGGGAACCGCCGGAGCTGGACCTGGCGGGGGGGTGTATGTGTGTAACGGGGGGGGGGGTGTAACGGGGGGGGGGGTGTCCCGCTCCTCCCCTCCCCACCTCCGCCCCCCCCCCCCCCCCCCCCCACGCCGCGCGGTGGCGCTCTCATCCCGGCGCTGCGTCTCGCTCCGTTTTTTTCGCGGCTCCGGTGTGGACGCGCCCGCTCCGGAGCGGCGACGCGGCGCCCCCTGGCGGGATGCGGTGGCGCCACTTTCCCACCGCGCACCGGAGGGGGGGGGGGGGTGGGCGTGTGTGTGTGTGTAACGGGACCGCTCCCCCCCGCCTCCCCTGCCCCGCTGTACCGGGACATCCCCCCCTCCAGCTCGGGTCTCCCCACGGTGGGAGCGGGCCGGGCCCCCCCCCCCCCGCCGGTGCCGGTGCAGCCCCGGTCGCTCCTGCCCTCTCCATGGTTCTGATGGGGTCGGCACCGGGAGCGTTAAGGGGGGGGACACACACACACGACGAGCGGGGGGGGGGTGTCCGGGGACTCCTCTGGGGGCGGTTGAGGACACGGACCGGGACGGGGACCGGGGAAGCGGAACCGTTGAGGACGCGGCCCGGGAGGGGACGGGGAGCGGAGCGGGGGCTGCTAGGGGGGGCAGGGGATGGAGGCACCGGGACGCGCATCCCCGGTCCACGGCGGCGGCGCGGCGGGACCCAACTCCCGGCAAGTGCGGCGGGGCCGGGCGGAGGCACCGACCGGGCCGGGAGTTGGGTCCCGCCGCGCCGCCCCCGCCACGACCGGAGCGGCGGGGGGGGGCTCGGAGCGAGCCGGGCAGCATGCGGCGGCGGCGGGGCCGTTCCCGGTGCTCGGGGGGCCGGCGACGGCTGGTGCCAAGCCCCTGCCAGAAACCTCTTTTGTGCGCCCGCAGCCAATCAAGGCCGCTGACGACACACTTCTCTTGGGGTATAAAACCCCGGGGCCGCCGCTACCGCCGCTTTTTTTCTTTCCCCCCCCCCCCCTCCACCCCCCCCCCGGTCCCTCACCGCCCCCCGCTTCCCCGCCCCCGCCACCGTTACCGCCTTCCCCCCGTTCCGCGCCCCTTGCGCGTTGCGGTGGAAGCGCGGCGGGGGGGGGCGGCGGCCCCGGCGGGGAAAGGTGTTTTTTGATTTTTTTTGGGGGGTTGTTGTGGTTTGTTTTTTTTTTTTGTTGTTGTTGTTTGTTTGTTTGTTTGTTTTGTTTGTTGTTTTTTTTTTTTTTTATTTATTCCCCGTTTGTTGTTTGGTTTGTTTTTATTTTTATTTTATTTTTATTTTTTTTTAAATCTTTTTTTTTTTTTCCCCCCGGCATGGCCCCGGTGTTGCTGTCCTTGCTGGCGCTGGCGGTGCTGGCGGCTGGGGGGGGGTTAGAAGCGCAGCCCCCCGCCTCCGAGCCCGCCTGCCCCGTGTGTCTCTGGCGGCGGCACAGCAAGGAGCTGCGGCTGGAGAGCATCAAGTCCCAGATCCTGAGCAAGCTGCGGCTGAAGGAAGCGCCCAACATCACCCGGGAGGTGGTGAAGCAGCTGCTGCCCAAGGCCCCGCCGCTCCAGCAGCTCCTCGACCTCCACGACTTCCAGGGGGACTCGCTGCAGCACGACGAGTACCTGGAGGAGGACGAGTACCACGCCACCACCGAGACCGTCATCAGCATGGCCCAGGAAAGTCAGTGCCGCCTTTGTTCCGCCCCGCCGCCGCTGCAAACTTCGCCGGCGGACCCCCCCTCCTCCTCCCCCCCACCCCCCGGCTCCCCTCTTTCCCTCCTTCCTCGCTTCACCCCCATCCCGCGCCCCGTGCGGCGACAGACACCCCTCGGGGTGTCCCCCACCCTCACATCCCCCCCCCCCCCCGCCTTGCTTCCCCTCAGCACCCCTCAGGGGGGTCCCCGAGGCTCCTTGATCCGGCCTGCAGCCCTCCCTGACACCCCCCACCCCACCCCGGTCCTGGGGGGATGCACCGCGCTTCGCGGGGACACGGGGACAGGACAGCCCGGCCGGCAGCCAGTACGGGGCACCGGGAACTGGGAGATGGGACTGGGAGCAGCAGCTGCTGGGTGCTGGGACTTTGTAGTGGGTGCTGGGACCAGGCAGTGGGGACTGGGACTGGGCGCTGGGGACCAGGACCTGGCGCTGGGGACCAGGATTTGGCACTGGCACCAGTGAGTAGTGGCACTGGCAGTAGGCACCAGGACCCAGCGCTGGCACCAGCCTGAGCACCAGCACTGGTGCTGGGTACTGGGACCTGGCACGGGCACTGGGACCCTGTCACTGGGTACTGGGGCAGCACCAGCACCAGCACTGGGATGGGACTGGGGCCACGGGGCAGACGGCACGATGACCTCCCGGTCCCCAGGGCCCCGCCAGGCAGCGGGTGCCAGCGCTCGCCTCCTGCCGCGGCACGTGGCAGGGTGACAGCGGGGTGACAGCGGGACGATGGCAGGGTGACAGCGGGGTGATGGCAGGGTGACAGCAGGGTGACGGCAGGACATGCTGGGGGGCTGCGGGCTGCGAGGGGTCCCCGGTGGGACGGCCGGGAGGGGACGGGGCGCGGGGGCTTCGCTGCGCCGTGAGGGGCTCTGTCCGTCCGTCCGTGGGCAAGGAGGGGGGCGAGCAGATGGGGCTGCGGGGGCGGCTGCACCCTGCACCTCTCCGTGCCTCGGTTTCCCCCCCTCCCCGGTGCCAGCGAGGTGCCGCGTATCCAGCCCGGCTCCACCTGCTCCAGCAGCAGGACGCGGCTGCGGGACCCCCGGGGCGCAGGGGCTGCGGGACCTCCGGGGCGCGGGGCTGAGGGGGGGGCCGGGTGCGAAGGGCGAGCGGAAGGGAGGGAAGTGTGAGGCGCTGCCCCCCCCCCCCCGCAGCCCCCCGACGAATTTCCTTCCCAGGCATTAATAGACTCGGGCGGCTTTGAAATTTTATTACCCATAAAATTGACAACACGCTGGGGTTTTCCTCCCTGCGCCGCGTTAACGCTCGCTGCCCCCGGCCCCCCCTCCTGCCCCTTAACAGCTCGGGGGCCCCCAAAATAAATACCAGAGGGCAGCCCCTCCTCCCGGCCGGCCGGGCCCCGCACGGCCCCGCTCGGGGGGTCCCGCAGCCCCGGCCCCGCAGCCGGATGCGCCGCAGAGTCCGGCCTGCCCCGGTCCTGGCCGCTCCGTTATTATTATGATTTTTCCTCCCTCCTTGCCCCCCCCGTGGCAATTGTGTGGGGTTTTATGGTTCCTGAACAGAAGGAGGGAAAGGGCTTTATAGGCAGCAGGGCCATAAAGCTCTCGGGTTCCCCTCGGCTGCCCCCCCCCCCATTAATCCCAAGCCACCACCCCCAGCACCCCCCACCCCCCCGTTATTTTTAACTGCAGAAGGAACCCGGGAAGGTTAATTGGGTCCTAAACCCATTTAGGGGCTACCCGTGACCCCCCGCGACCCGTCGGGTGGAGGGAGCTTAATGAGGGGCAATGGGGGGCTGGGGGGGCCAGGCATGGGCTGGGGGCCAGGGGGGGTCACCTGTGCCGGGACCGGAGCTGCTCAAGGTCAGCAGGACGTGACACGGGGACGTGGCAGAGCCACCGCTGGCACATGGCACCTCGGGGGGGGGCCCGGGGGTGCCTGGATCTGGGGGGGGGGGGGCGTGTGTGTGGGGTGTGTGTGTGTTCTCTGGTCCCCTGCAGCAGGCGAGGGGTTAACGGGGCAGAGGTGGGAGCCCCAAATCCGGGCCCTGGTGGGAACAAAGAGCGAGGGGGGGGGGGGGTCGGGGCCGCCCCCCTCCCGGCACATACTCAGCTGTGACCGATGTCCCGGTAACCTTTATCCCCCGTTGCCAGAGCGACGGGACGAGCATCCTGGCACCGCTGCAGCCCTGTGCCAGGAGCAGCCAGCGTGGCACAGCCCCCATGCCCGCACCCCCCCGGCCCCCCTGGCCCCTCTGCCTTGCCCCCCGGGGCCGTGGGTGCCCGGTGTCCCCTGGGATTCCAGGCTGAGTCCCGGCCCGGGACAGCGGTGCTGCGGCGAGGGGCTTCGGTGGCAGTTTTCAGGGACCTGCAGCGGCTCCCGCTCCGGCAGCTCGCACCTGGAGACCCTACAAAAACAACCCCCACCGGCGCTGCCCTCGCCGCAGAGCCCGGAGCAAACCGGCACCGCGCCCCCTAAACCCACCGGGCACCTCTGTGCCATCCCACCGGGACCCCACGGGACCCAGAGACCCCTCAAAACGGCCACCAGTCCAGGATGGGATGACATCCCACCGGTGATGGGTGGCACAGCCAAGGGGCTGGGGGGGGGAGCTCAATTTACCCCAAGTTGGGAGCCGGGGCGGGGGGACGGCCCCAGCGTGGCTTCGAGGGGCCGGGCAGTGCAGGGGGAAACGCTCCCCCGGGGGAGCGCGGGTTTAATCGGGGGCTTGTGCGCAGCAAATTGCTGGGAGGGGTTTGGGCGGCCGGCGCGCCCGCGGCCCCCCAGCCCCCGTCACTTTGGTTTATGTGCGGCGCGGCGGGGGGGCTGGATGGCATTCCCGGGGCTGCGGCCGGTGTCGTGACCCCCATGTGTTCGGGGAGGCCTCGCGCGCAGCAAATGGCCCCGTGCTGCAGCTGGGTGCTATTAAACCTGACCGGTGCGTGGCAGGGGGAGGGGGCTGCGGGGTTGGGGGCGGGGGGGGGGGGGGCGAAATTCCCAGCTCAATTTGACACAGATGTTTGCCGAGCAGGGAGGGCTGGCGCGGGGCCGGCTCCACCCGGGGTGCTGCCGCGGGGGTATGGTGGGGGGGGGACCCCCGGATCCAAGGGATGCTGGGGGTTGTCGTCCCGCTGGTGTCCCCGTCCCTGCGGTGGCCGCTTGCCACCGGCATCGCCGAGAGCGTCGCCGCGGGCACGACGCGCCGGTGAAGCGTCTCCGGCTGGCAGAGGTGTGGGGCTGCCCCCCCAAAACAGGCCCAGGGAGGGGGGGAGATGGGGGGGGGGACTGGGATGTCCTCTGGGCTGCAGAGCCAGCCGGGCCGCTGGCGGGGGGTCCGGTGGTACCCGCCTTGGTGCCACGGACCCTCCTCGGGGCTTTTCCATGTCGCTGGGACCCGGCGTGTTCCTGGCTCCGAGACGGGGCTGTGTTGGGAAGCGGCTGCCCCGGAGCAGGTGCTGTGGGGCCAGAGCCCCCCGCCCCGCTCGGCCCAGCCCCATGGAGCGGGGGGCTCGCTCTCCGCAGCCCCCGCGGGGGATCATGAATCCCCGGTGCCACGGGGTCAGGGGGCAGCCGGGGACCTTATTGCGAATGGAGGGGCAATGACCCCCGGGGCGGCCTCTGACCCGACCTTCAACTCCTAACGACCGAGGAGGAGCTCGCCCTGACCCTGCGTCCCGATGGAGGAGGAGGAGGAGGAGGATGGGGGGGGGGGGGGGGAGGGGGAGGCGGGGGGTGTCCCGGGGCCGCCCCTGATGCCTCCTTCCTCCCACAGCGGACCCCGTGGTGCAGATCGAGGGCAACCCCCATTGCTGCTTCTTCAACTTCAGCCCCAAGATCATGTTCACCAAGGTGGTGAAGGCGCAGCTGTGGGTGTACCTGCGGCCCGTGCAGCACACCTCCACCGTCTACCTGCAGATCCTCCGCCTGAAGCCGGTGACGGAGGAAGGCAGCCGCCACATCCGCATCCGCTCCCTCAAGATCGACCTCAACTCCCGCATCGGGCACTGGCAGAGCATCGACTTCAAGCACGTGCTGCAGAACTGGTTCAAGCAGCCGCAGAACAACTGGGGCATCGAGATCAACGCCTTCGACCCCAACGGCAACGATTTGGCCGTCACCTCGCTGGGACCCGGGGCCGAAGGGCTGGTAGGTGACTGGGGGGGGGGGGTGGGGGTGGCGGGTCCCCAGGGTCCCCGGGGGGCCGGTGCTGCGCGGAGGTTGTGGGGCATCACGGTGGCCCCAGTGCTTGGCCGGGCATGGGGGTCCCAGCAATCCCTGGGCAACTGGGGGGTAAAGAGGGGGCAACAGGGATGGGGGTATGGTGGTGGTGGGGGGGTGCAGCTCCATGGGGGTGGTGACAGCTTGTGGGGGTGTTCACAGCTCCATGGGGACAGTGACAGCTCCGTGGGGATGATGACAGCTCCATGGGACCAGCTACAGCTCCACAAGACCAGTCACATCTCTATGGAGCTGGTGATGGCCCCATGGGGCTGGCCACAGCTCTGTGGGGTATGATGACACTTCCATGGGGCTGGTGACACCCCCGTGGGGGCTGGTGACACCTCTGTGGGGCTGGTGACATCCCCCGTGGGGCTGATGACACTTCTGCGGGGCTGGTGGCTGCTCCAAGGGTTTGGTGGCAGTTCCAAGGGGTTGGTGGCCGCTGCAGGGGGTTGGTGGCAGCTCCATGGGGTTGGTGACACCTCCATGGGGCTGATGGCAGCTCCAAGGGTTTGGTGGCAGCTCCAAGGGGTTGGTGACAGCTCCAGGGGGTTGGTGACACCTCCCCATGGTGTTGGTGGCAGCCCTGTGGGGCTGTGCGGGACCAGGGGAGCCGGGATGGTGGGACCAGTGGGGCCGGTGGGGCCGGGAGGGTGGTGGGTCAGTGTGTGTGTGTGTGTGGCTCACCCCCCCACCCCCCTTCCCCGCCCCCCCCCTCTCCCCCCAGCACCCCTTCATGGAGCTGCGGGTGCTGGAGAACAACAAGCGCTCGCGGCGGAACCTGGGGCTGGACTGCGACGAGCACTCGACCGAGTCGCGCTGCTGCCGCTACCCCCTCACCGTCGACTTCGAGGCGTTCGGCTGGGACTGGATTATCGCCCCCAAGAGATACAAAGCCAACTACTGCTCGGGGCAGTGCGAGTACATGTTCATGCAGAAGTACCCCCACACCCACCTGGTGCAGCAGGCCAACCCCCGGGGCTCGGCGGGGCCCTGCTGCACCCCCACCAAGATGTCCCCCATCAACATGCTTTACTTCAACGACAAACAGCAGATCATCTACGGCAAGATCCCGGGCATGGTGGTTGACAGATGCGGATGCTCTTAGAGCCCGGCTGGTGCTGCCCCTCCAACCTGCGCCCCCCCTCCACCAACGAACTCCTCTTTTCTTCCACTGTTTTTCTTTTTTTTTTTTTTATTATTATTTTTTTTTTCTGGTTGATTTTTTTTTTAAATACAAAGAACAAGCGTTAAAATTCCTTTGGGTGTTGGGGGAAGAGAGAGAGAGAGAGAGAGAGAAGCAAATCCCACGGAGAGACGCTGCACCAAACTCGGCGCTTCGACATGCATTGTGCAATAAAGCAACCAGACGGAGAAGGGAAGGGGCGGCCGGGACCCCCCAGCGCCGCCACCCCCCACCCACGGCGGCACGGCACGGCACGGCACGGTGGCACGGCTCTTCATCGGATGGCCCCGGCTCAAGCACGATGGGGAGAGGAGGAGGCCGAGCAGACCCGGCATCTCCCCGCGCTCCTGGAGCGGCCGTGGGGATGGGGACGTCCCGGCCAAGGTGACACCCAAGGGCGGGCGGCCCCGGTCCCTGAGCAGCCGATGGCCCCGTCGTCGCAGCCCCGCTCTGGGCGCTCTGCGGGAGCGAGGACGGCAGGATCCAGCAGCGGGACCCCCGGGACGGGCACGCCGGGGCGGCTGGGCCACGCGAGCGCCGGCAGCAGCTCCAGCCCGGGAGGAAACCGTCTCCCTTCTTTAATTTATTTATTTATTAATCACCCTCCCGGCCGGCGCGTTGCTGCGGGAAGCCCCCGCTTGCCCTGGTCCTTCCCTTCACGCCGCCGGCACCGGCCTGGCACCCACGACCCGACGGTGGGGACGGCTCTAGAGGGGCTGCTTCAGCCCGGAGGCCCCCGGGGACCAGCCGGTGGCAGCCGGCACCGCCAGCATCCCACGGCATCCCTGGGCACGGACAGCTCGAGGGGAACGGAGCTGCCGCCCGACGCTTTCGGATCCGGCGGCTCGGGGGGTCTCCGGCGGGAAGGAGGGCGGCCAGCGGCCTGGGGTTATCCGGAGGCGGCACCGGCCAGAATTGGATGGAGGCTCCGGCTGGGGAGAAATTCCGCTTACGCGGCAGATTCGCCTCCCCCTGCCCTTGGCGTTTGGATTATTTTCGCGTGAGAACCAGCTCCCGCTTTCTCAAGAGTTCAGCCGCCGCGGCGGCTCCGGCGGTTCCCCTCCGCTCATGCCGTGGCTGGAGTGATGCAACCGGGGCCGCGCTGGGTCCCGGCCGGGAGCCATCCCTGGCGCCAGCCGGCTGCCGATGCTGCACCGGGGGGGAAGCACGGGGGAGCCCCCCGAACCCCGGCCCCAGCACTTATCCCAAGGGTGCCGGACGGCTCCAGCTGGTTGTGGCGCCTCCATCCCTCCTCGCCCATGGCACCGCAGGGCAGAAGCACCGGGGCCATGCGGGGAATGTCCAGCCCGGCACGTCTGCACCCCGTGTAGCACTTAGGGACGACGCCGGGCAGCCGGGGTCGGGAAGGAGCCGGGGGCAGAACCGGGGAGCCGGGGGCACTCGGGATGTTTAGCACTTGTCCCCGGCTCCGCCGAGCCCAAAGCGCTTACAAGGACGAGGCTGCCCTGGGGCGAGGATGCCTGGCAGTGCCGAACCCCGACGGTGCCGAACCCCAGCCGTGCCGAGCCCCGGTCATCCCGTCTGGCGCCGAAGCACTTAGGGCCCCTCACGCCGGGGTCCCGACACCGCTGGGGTCTCGGCACCGGCACCGATGCCACTGGCCAGGTGGCTCCGGCAATAGTGGCCCCGCTGTGGTGTCGCGGGGGGTCCTGGCACCCCGGGCGGACCCTGGGGCTCCGGCTCACGGCAGGGGATGGCGATGGGGCGAGTCAGGGTCCCTTGAGGAGCAGAGTCCTCGGGGCCGGGCAGGGGGCACAGCTCAGCCCCGAAACACTGGCCTGCGGTCACGCCGCAGCAAAACGGCCCCGTGCTGGCAGGTCGTTGCCAACTCTCGCAATACATCAGCCGATGCTGATGCCGATCCCCCTCCCTGGCCGGGCGGCAGCCAGCGAGAGCCGCAACCGGGGCCGGGGGCCGAGGCACCCCCTCTCCCTGCCATTCAGTGCCTTTCAGGGGGCTGCGTCCTCCGGCAGCACCGGGTCCCGCTGCGGAGCCGGTGGATCCCCTGCTGGAGGAGACCCCCCCCGCCCCGCTGAGCCGAGGACAAGGCCTGTGTCCCCCTGCGGTGCCCCCCGCCCAGCGGTGCCCATGTGATGCCAAAGGGGCCGGTCCCGCCGAAGCTGCCCGTGGAAATATTTTGCTGGTCCCCATTTCTCTCCCACCCGGCTCTCATGGATCATGAGGGATCATCCCCCCTCCGAAAACCACACCGGCCACGGCCAGGGTCGCACCGGCACGGAGGAGCACTGTCCTGGCACCGCCAGCACCGGGGCGGGTCCCGCTCGGCCGGGAGCGGAGCCACGTGCCGGGAAAAAGCCAGAAGCCACTTGGAAGGAACCAGAAAGGTCCCGGAGCCACCTCGGCCACGGGATCCCGCTCTGGAGTCAGGGGAGCCACAGGCTGGCGGGGATCCAGCGGGGATCCGGCGGGGATCCACCTGCCCCCCACACCCCAACCCTCGCCCCGTGCCGGAGCCCCGTCTGGCGGGGAGCAGGGGGGGGTCTTGCTGACCCCAATTCAGGACGTGGCCACCAACCTTGTGCTTGGGGCACGTGGCCCTTGCCCGGGGCGGGGGGTCCACCGGGCTCTGGGCGGTGGTGGGGGCTTCCCGCCCGGTGACGCGGAGCTGGGATGGGTGGGAGGTGCCCGGGTGGGGCGCTTCCCCCCCTGGTTTTTAAGACCCTCGAACAAGGGGGCAGCTGAGGCAGGTGGGATCCCCCGCCGCGGGCATCGTCCCCCCACCGGCATCGTCCCCCTGTGCCGGGGCAGCGGCCGCCGCGGCGGGGTCCAACCCAGTGCGCAGCCCATAACCGGGGAGGGGGGTGGTCCGGTCACCCCGGGCACCGGGGGAGCCACGGAGCACCCCAAACCCGCAGCCCGTCACCCCGAAAGCCCCCGCAGGGCTCCGGTTACAGGCAGGTGGCGCTGAAGAAGAAAGGATGGGGCTGCCCCGGGCACTGGGACCAGTCAGTCCCCGGGCACTGGGACCAGTCAGCCAGCCCTGGGCACTGGTCCCACAGCCCCCAGCAGCAGGGGGCACTGGGACCCGTGCCCGGGGCTGAGTGGTCCCGCAGGCGGTCCATGGGCGGGCAGGGGGTGGCAGCCCCGTCAGTATATTATTATTATTTACCCGGTGTATCGGTCCTGTGCGTAACGTCTTAGGTTATTTTTCTGTTCGTTTGTTCGTTGTTTTGTTCCTCGTTCTGTCGTTCAGGGGTGTCCGGGGAGGGGCAGGGACGCGTCTGCCAGGGCGGGGGGCTCAGGACGGGCCCTGTGAGGAGGGGGGTGGGGGGGGCACGCGGCGGGTCCAAATCGCACGACCAAAAGGCCATGGATGGTCGGTGGGGTGGGAGGGGGGGCTGGGGGGGGAAAGGGGGTTTAATCGCGTGACCAAACAGAGCACTTGAACATCAAAAAAAAAAATAAAACTAAAAAGAAATTTTAAAAATAATTAAAAAAAAAAATATTTAAAAAAAGGAAATAATCAAAGAGTTCAGAGCTTTCAGCTCCATCCCGCACCGAGGGCTCCCGGCCTGCCCGGGGCTCAGCTGGCACCGCGGCCGGGGCGCCGGGACCCCCGGCCAGCGCAGCCGGTGCCGTGACACCCCCCCCCCCCCCGTGCCGCCGCCGTCCCACGAGGTGCCGGGAGCCGCGGCCTCGGGGATGCCGAATGTCCCCGGTGAAAGGCGAGGGACGGCCTGGGGGGGGGCTGGGGAACCATTTGCACTATGGAAGGTTGAAGAAGAGACGAGGACGGGGTCGCCGCCGAGCCGGGGCCGAGGGCACGAGCGTGGGTCCGGCCGTGCCGGGGTGGGTCTTCCTCGCTGCCGGGGGGAGATGCCAAGGTGCTGCCGGCTCCACCGCGGTGCCGTGGCATCGGGGCGTGAAACCCCCTCCCCGGCGTGGAGGAGGGGGCTTCGGCCCCACCAGCCCGGCAGGATGCGGGTGTTGGGTTTGGGGAGGCTGTGGCAGCCCCAAGGGGGGGATCGGTGGGTCTGGAGAAGGTGTCGTGTCCCCCCCCCCCGGCGTCAACACCAGCCTGGGGGTCCACGTGGCCCAGCCGAGCCCCTGGCCCAGCTCTCCGAGGGGACCGGGCACGACCACCTCGTTACACCGCGGCCTCGTTACAAAGCTCGTTTCGGCGACGCCACCCTCCACCTCCACTATCACGCGGCGACTGCGCTGGCACCCGGCGGTGTAACGGGGGGAGCAGGTGCCCCCGGCGCGGGGGGACGGGACAGGGGGGCTCGCGGCTCCCCGGTCACAAACCGGATTCGGAAGAGCTACAGGAAAGGAAAAGCTTAACGAGCGTCCCAGTTACTTCTGTGTTGTATAAATTACATTTGGTCTGTAACTCGCGTTAGTCTCCTGTGTACGATATCATAACCACCGCTCTGTCCCGGTTCCGTCCTTGGTTGTTTTTTTTTTTTAGACTTTTTGTACAATAAAAAATTTATATAGCCAAAAAGAAAAAAAAAAAAAAAAAAAAGGGAAAACTGCTGACAAATGCCTTTTGCTTGGGTTACTGAGCTCCGCTCACTGCCTCACTGCCCCTCGCCGGCACCAGATCCCAGGGTTGGCACTGGATCCTGGGGTTGGCACAAGATCCAAGGGTTGGCACCGGATCCCGGGATTGACACCAGATCCCAGGGTTGGCACCGGATCCCGGGGTTGGCACCGGATCCCGGGGTTGACACCAGATCCCAGGGTTGGCACCGGATCCCGGGGTTGGCACCAAATCCCAGGGTTGAAACCAGATCCCAGGGTTGGCACCAGATCCTGGGGTTGGCACCAAATCCCAGGGTTGACACCGGATCCCGGGCTCAGCACCGGATCCCGGGGCCGGGTGGGGGCTCAGAGGGTCCGAGCAGCCCAGCCCCGGCTGTTCCTCGGGGTCTTCACCCCACGCCCCGATCCCGGGATGGGCCCTCGGCCTCTCGTGTGCTCGCTCAGCTTCGCACGCCGGGTCCCTGCGTCACAGCAGCCCACCCCCCCCCGCCCTCCCCCCCCCCCCCAGCCTCATCCCCCGGGAGCTCCCGGCCTGATCCGGCCACCCCAGCTCGGGAAATGTTTCCTAATGCTTCTCATTTTTCCCACGCTCCCGGTGCTGGCCGCGCACCACGGACAAGCGGATGAGAGGGGATGAAATCCGCCCCGATGCCCCGTGCCCAGCCCGGAGCAAGGACATTCCCGGGTTTATCTCCCAGCTGGGGACAAACCACAGCCCCCCCCCCCGCCCCCAACCCAGCCCCCCCCCAAACACGCTTGTCCTCGCGCTTGAGCTGCCAACACCGAACCAAGACCTTGAGAACCAGCCCAGCAGCACACAACCATCCCAAAATCGGCTCAAACCCACTGGAAAAGGACCAGCAATGGGCACGGGGGTGGGGGGGGGCTGTGCCCACCGGGGGGGGGGTTGGCACCCCAAGATCTTATTCCAGTCACCCTCAACCTGAGCAAAGCTGGGCGAATTGACCCCAAGGAGGGGACGGAGGACACGGGACAGGGATGGAGACGCCCAACACGGGACCACCAGGTCTGGGTGATGGCGAGAGCTGGACACCCCCCCCCCCCCCGCCCTCCCCCCCCCCACCGGCCCCCGCTTCCTCCCAGCGCAGCTCCCCAGTTGTAAAGCTGAGATTTACAAGTGGCCCCAAGTGCCGGAGGAGCCGGGCTCAGGGGCAGCCTTTATGGAGCCTCATTAGGGGCTGCAGGTATGCCGAGAATGTCGCAGCTAATTATAGCTGTGGCCGGGCGGGAGGGGACAGGGTGGGCAGCGGAGGGTCACCGCGGGAGGGGACAGGGGAGCCAGGGGGGGACGTTCTGGCACAGGCGAGGAGCTGGCCCAAGGCCGTGGCTCCGGCACGGACCCTCGCCCCGCCGGGGTCAGCGGGGGCCTGGGCTCTGCCGGCAGCGGTGGCTCGGTGGACGTTGGCTGTTCTCCCACTCTCCTGCTCCGGCCACCCGCGAGCCGAGGTCCCCCGGGATGTGCCGAGTGGGTGCCGCTCCCCTCCGGCAGCACCCCAGCCCTGCCCCGCACCCCTCGCTCCCGCTGCGGGTCCCATCTGACCCACCCCGAGCCCCCCATGAGCTCGCCGGGGGGGCCCGCGGGCAGCTCCAGGTCTCAGCTGCAGTCGAGGTGCCAAGTCCCCCCAGTCCCAGGGGGGAATTTCCAGTGCTTGCTCTGCCCTCTCCGGACTCGGCTGCCCCACGGATGAAGCTCCTGGGGGTGTTCAGGACCCACAGGGTGGCCCCAGCCCAGCACCCACGGGGCAGCGTGATGCAGTGACACCCCGTATCCCTTGGGGGGGACAACACCCAGCTCTGAGGGGGACAGCCAGACACCCCAGTTGTGACCCAGCCTCCACTCTGCCCACTGTCCCCTGGGGGCCACGGCCTGGGGGTCCAGCCAGGGGCGGGGGGGGGGGGGTGTCCAGGCTGTGCCACCCACCCACCCAGAAGGGCAGCTGGAGAAATTGAGGTCCTGGGGGGGGTGGTGGTGTTGGTTTGTTTGCTTCAGAGGACAATGTCAAGAGTTTAACGAGCTCTTGCTTTTGTTCTGGTCACGTCTCCCCCGTGGCCGTGGGGGCTGCACCCCACATTGCTGCTCCCCCCCTCCACCCCCCCCCCCCCCCCCCCCCCGGCCATCGGGTGACCTAATTCAGAGCCCCAGGGGCAGAGCTGGGGGGGGCGGGGGGTGCACAAATTAGGACAGGGACATCCGGACGACCACCCACAGCTGCACCAGGACACACTGCGGCCCCCCGAACCTTCCCCTCCGCCGCCTCGCAGGACCGGCCGCATGCGACGGCCGCAGTAATTAAACCATCAACAGGAGCTTGGCCGAGCTCCACCGGCCTCGCCGCGGTGGCGAGGGGAGCCGCCAGAACCAGGGCGATTCTCGGGGGGAGCTGGGCACGGGCCAGCCCCCCCCTGCCCGCCCCCGACCCCCCACCGCCGCGATCGCTGGGCCCGGCTCTGGGGACAAAGCTCCCGGGGGACTGGGGGCGGGGGGGCTCAGCATCCCCCCGGCAGCTCCAACCTGCAGCGAGGTCGGGATTTCGACGCGATCCCAAAAATCCCCAAACCAGCTCAGGGTCTAGGTCGGACTCGCAGGTCGGACTCGGGGAGTCCCTGTTGCCCGTCCCCCCAGCAGCGGGCGCAGCCCTTGGGGAGCCACCCCGTCCCTGGGCTGGCCGGAGGGATTCGAGGGGATGGAGGCAGCGACCAGCCCTCGCTCCAGCTTCTCCCCGGCGGAGAAAGGCGCTGCAGGGTGAGGGGAACAGGCTGAGGAGGGTCACGGCTCAGGGTCCTCGGGGAGAAGATGCACGAGGCTGGAGAGAGGAGGAGGAGGAGGTGGCCCATGGCCACTGGCTGTGGTGGAACCCCCCTCCCACAGCAGGACCCAGCCCCATATCCCCCCCCCCAGCAAATCCAGCACATCCCGGATCCTGCCCCAGAACCCGCAGCAGTGCGGGCCCGGCTCCGGAATTGGCGGCACCGAGCCGGGAGAGGCAGCGGCTCCGGCACAAGCACAGGTGGAGGGCAGCGAGGGCTCCGCGCCATCCTTCCTCGGGCTCACCCGCAACTCCGGGCTCCGCTCTTTTGTCTCCCCATTTTTGTGAATTTGGACAAAAGGTGTTTCCCAACCCACCCACGGAGGATGGGGGGGGGGGGGCAAGAGGCCCTTGGGAGACCAGGACGGTGTGGCTGGAAGCAGGGACACGTTGGCACTGGAGCGCGTGTGTGTGTGTCCCCACCCTGCCGCACACCTCTCTCCTCACCCCATTGTGCACCCCCCCCCCCCCCTCCGTTTCTCCCTCTCGCTCCCCCCCGCGGGCCTGACCTATCGTCCCACTCGCATTTACAGCCCAAGCGTCTGCTGTGAAAAGTGACTTCATGCTGAATTTGGGCACCGCTCGGCGTTACCAGCTCTCACGCTGCAAGCCCCAGCCCTCCTTTTCTTTCGCTCGCTTTCCCACACTTTCCCCCGCTCATTGTGTGCCCGCTGCTTTTTTTCTTCCCCTATTCAGCCCAAATTAGTCACGAGCAGCCCCCAGCTTGGAGAGGAAAAATAAATTAGGTGGTGTTTTAAACACAGTGTGATTGGAATGATTCTCCCCTACACCCAAGGAGGGGAAAGCCCGGCGGGTGAAAGATGCAGCGTCCGCTACAAAACAGCCCCTGGCACCTCCCTGGGGAGGGAAGGAGAGTGAGGGCAGCCCTGCCTGCACCCTGCCCGCACCCAGCCATGGCACCCTGCCTGCACCCAGCCTGCACCCAGCCATGGCACCCTGCCTGCACCCTGCCTGCACCCAGCCATGGCACCCTGCCTGCACCCAGCCTGCACCCTGCCTGCACCCTGCCCGCACCCTGCCTGCACCCTGCCTGCACCCTGCCTGCACCCAGCCATGGCACCCAGCCTGCACCCTGCCTGCACCCAGCCATGGCACCCTGCCTGCACCCAGCCTGCACCCAGCCATGGCACCCAGCCTGCACCCTGCCTGCACCCAGCCATGGCACCCTGCCTGCACCCAGCCTGCACCCAGCCATGGCACCCTGCCTGCACCCAGCCTGCACCCAGCCATGGCACCCAGCCTGCACCCTGCCTGCACCCTGCCTGCACCCTGCCTGCACCCAGCCTGCACCCAGCCTGCACCCAGCCATGGCACCCTGCCCGCACCCTGCCTGCACCCAGCCATGGCACCCTGCCCGCACCCAGCCATGGCACCCAGCCATGGCACCCTGCCTGCACCCTGCCTGCACCCAGCCATGGCACCCTGCCTGCACCCTGCCTGCACCCAGCCATGGCACCCAGCCATGGCACCCTGCCCGCACCCTGGCCACCGGCGCAGCCGCCTGGAGAGGGAAGGAGCGGAGCTCATCCCGATTTTGGTACCACGGCCAAGGGAAACTCATCCCCAAGGAGGGAAGGGGACGGCACGAGGGAGGGAGGGAGGGGGAGAAGAGGCACCGGTGGCTTCACCGGCCCCAGGAGATTCGCTGGGGCAGAACCAGCCCTGGGACCCCGCGAGCGGAGGGGAGCGACCCGGGGAGGAGGACGGGTGGAGGGGCTGAAGGGGGCTGGGACCCCCCCCCCCCCAGCACTCTGGTCCTCGGGCCGGAGAGCGGAGCCGGTGGTGAACTGGGGGGTGCTGGGTTCTGCTGGGGCCCGTCCCACGGGCCAAGGCTGCGGGAAGGCGGGAGAGCGGCAGCGCAGCCCCCGGCCTCCCCTCGCCCGCCCGGCTCGGGATCCAGCCGCCGCCGACCCGCAGAGCTCCCCAGACCACCCCCCACCTCACGCCCTGAGCCCCCGGCTCGTCCCGCCGGGGCCGCATCCCCACGCTACGAGCCGGAGGGACGCGAGTCAGGAGCCAGGGCCAAGCCCGGAGGCATCTCCGCGCTTCCCCTCGAGTTCTACAGCACCGAACCCTCGGCCGTGAGCGGCACCCACCACCCCGTGCCCCACACCCAGCCCCGAAGGGCTCCCCGGGGAGATCTGCATCGGGGCCAAGCGGTGAGGATGCGGCTGGGCCGCGCCAAGGGAAGGTGAGGAGGGTCCCCGAGCGCTGGTGGGGGCTCTGCCCCCCAGCCCCCCCGCCGGCGGCAGCCGGGGGCTCCAGCTCCCTCGCAGCGGCACGCTCCGGCCCCGAGCCTCAGCCGCACCATGCATCAAAGTGACAGGTACCAGAATTGCCTTGGAGAAGCAGTTTTTATTATGAAACCGAGAATGAAATGCAGTGGTTTGCCCTGGCACACTACAAAACGTTTCAAGCCAATAACCAGCAAAGAGATCGTGAGCCAAATAGAAAATACATCTTACAAAATCTGACATACAAAAAAAAAAAAAAAAAAAAAATTTTAAATCAGAATAACGTTATTACATTAAACCAGGACGGAGCAAGGGAGCTTCGATTCACTCAGCCACCGACAACCCAAGACACACAACGTAACCCGGACCCCGTGGCTTTTAGCTGCCCTTTGGGAAAGTCAACAAACGTCCCAGGTATTGCTTAGAGTCACCGGGGGGCACGCAGACGCAGTCAGACTTCAAGCATGAATGGAACAGAAGCAGTTTGAAGACTTCTACGTTAAAAAATATATATATATATATATTGCTTATTAAGAACCAGGTATAAGCCTCTGAAAAGCTCCACTTGCACACGCCCCCGCTGTTCTCCAGCGCCTCAGGGCCCCAAGCACGGAGAAGGCGGCAGCTCTGGGCAGAGGTTACGCTCAGAAATCAGAAGCCCGGGACGCCGGTCTGCAGAGGGGAGGATTTCAGGCGGAGCGCGCGCCCAAAAAAGCCGACGGGACACATTTCTGCTCAGGCCTGGGGCCGAGGTGTCCCCGGGAGGGAAAGTTCTGCACAGGGCGGGAGATGCAGTGGGAATGAACTTGTGAAGGGAACTTAATTCTCCGGGCGGGCGATGGGGGAAAGGGCAGGGGCGGCCCCCGCCAGCCGGCCCAGCCCCGCCGCACCTCTCCCCCCTCGCCAGCCGCCCCCCAGAAATGCTCCTCACAGCTCGCCAGGAACAAAGGTGCCACCTGAAACACTAAAGCGGCAAGAAGAGCCCCCCCACAAGCTGCGGCAGCGCTGCCCTCGGCGTGACACGGCCCCGTTTTCTTCAGGAATTTTACCGAAAGGGTTATGGATCATGCAGCAGGAGGAACCGCGTCCCTGTGCGGCTGCCGAGAATTTCCACACTCAAAGAGGGTGCCGGGATACGCCGGTGCTCTCCCGCGCCGCCCGGCAGCTCCGAGAGGAGCGAGGCTCCTTCAGCGAGTCGGTGAGTTAAACCAACTCGGCAGCTGCTCTGGGGCAGAGAGGAGATAAACCCCAGCCTAAGAGACGGGACAAAGCGCTGCTGCTTACGGGCAGAAACGTGGCGCTGGCCTTGGAGGAACCTGGAAGACGCACGCGGAACGCCACGGGCCGCAGAGGCCAGAGCAAGGCGGGGTAAACGTAGCGGCGAGAACAGGCTCCACTTGCAAATGCATCGCTGGGTTTACCTCCTCTTTTCAGAGCACCAGCCTCGATCGGGGCGGGGGGGTTAATCGGCAATTCTTGCTCTGACAATTCCCATTAACCTCACCTGGGGAGGGCAGGCGGTCCTGAAACTGCCCCGCGCGCCGGCTAGCGCATGCGCCACCTCCGTTTTTGAAACCATGAGACAATATAATTGAGAAAAATCCTTCCCTGGCGTTCCACCTGCCAGCTCCCGGGCGAGGGCAGGGTAAGAGATGCAGAGCAGGACTTGCGGAGCGCCCCGGGGCTCTCGAGAGGAGGCGCGTTCTCGTCCCGGCTGCAGGGAAGAAACCGGGACAGGGCTGAGCCCCGGGGCCCGTTTTCACAGGGAGGAGCCGCGGAGCGAGGCGGCCCGAGAGGTGGAAACGGAATGGGACGGCAAAAGAGAGGACGCACATCAACCAGCCCTGCCTTCAGCGGCACCCCGGGAGTCCTGGAACCGGGGAAGCTGCTGCCGGGGGCCCGGCACACCCTGCTCTACCTCCCGTCCTCACCACACCGCGCGGCAGACGCTGCGCCCGTCGGTGCCCCGGGCAGAGCTCGGGGAGGGGGGGGGGGGGGAACCGGGACACTCGTCGCCTCTGCCCGCTGGACGGTACCTCCGGGCACCGAGAACAGTTTCTTCTTTTTGCTCAACTTTTCTTCATTTTTAAACTCCGTAATTTGGGGAAAAGAAAGAGAAAAAAAAAAAAAAAAAAAAAAAAAGTAGCACAATCATACAACTACGGGGGATTCCCTGTCTACTCGTCACTAAAAACTAGAGAAACAGTGTGGGAGTGAGAGAAAGTGGGGGAAAGAGAGAGAAAGAGTATGCACGCACTCGAGAGGCACACTGCAACGGGCTGAAGCTCGAAAGGACCGGCATCAGACGATCCCAAAGCGTTCTGCTCTTTTCCTCTTCTTTGCCTGCAAGGAGGAATTACAAGAGAAAAAATCAAAACCAAAAAGAAACAAGCTCTTTGAAATCCCACACACAACCCGATGGGGAATTTATTACGGATTTGTTATAGGTAACAATGCCAGAGCTCGGTGGCTCCAGCCTCTCCCTCCGTGCACCGATGCTGAGTCAGTTCAAGGGAGCGACGAAGTTTTTCTAACACGGGGGCAAAGAACGCCCCAAAATCGAGCAGAAATATACAGTGCCTGAGATTCAGTGCTGCTGAAGGCACCGCGTCTCGCTGGCAATGCGCTACAAAGGGGCTGAGCTGGGAACAATGCCTACTTCAGAGGCCTGGAAACCCTTCCAGGCAGTGGGGAGGTGGGAAATGTAAAAGGGCAAAGGGTTAACACTCTCCTATTCATGGAAAAGGTGAGAGGGACACACTAAAACGCATTAAATATACTATTGCGTCTCTCAGATATGCCTTTAAGCCGATACACGAGGGGCGTATAAATCTTAATTTTTAGCAGGATAAATAGCCCGGGGGCAACAGAAGCCCTAATCAAGAATCTCCAGGGGAAAGGTGCATTTGAGTGCACACAATACCAGTAAAAAGACCTTTTTGTTCCAGGCACAATCTCCAAGTGACCTAACGGAAAAGCATGGAATCCCTCGCCCAGCCACCCCCTCCGCGCGGGCCGAGGGGCTCATTCTCCCATGCTCGGCAGAAGGCTGGGAACGCCGCTCCCCGCTTCACGCGGGGCAGCGTTTCTGCAGTAAACCCAAAACAAAACACACGCACACACACACACACAAAAAAAAAAAAAAGCCCCCAAACAACCCCACCTGAATTGTTGAGATTGCTCTTAGGAACCAAACAAAACCCACTTCTTGTCTGTCAAGCCCAGGAGCCATCTGGTTAAGCAGTTTCCAAGACCCAACACTCGCCCTGCCGCAACCTTTGCCACTCGATTGTTAACGCAGGAGCCCCCCACCCCGGAGGGGTCCCTTTGTCCCCAGGAAGGGGGTCCCCAACTCTGGCTGGAGCCCTAGTTACGTGGCACCATAGGTGTGCACGGACACTCCCCACCCAACTAACGCAGGAGCCACCGTGCCAGAGCACAGCCCACACGGTCACTGGGAACAATTTGAAGAAAACGTGAAAGTACATTAAAAAAAAAAAAAAAAAAAAAAGCACAAAATTGCCCTGAGGAGCTTACAAATTGAAAAGATGGGCCAAAAGCAGAGAGGACAGAACAAAGCATGGAGGAGAAAAGCTGGAAATAGGGTCAGCATCTCAATCCTCGTTATATTGTAGAGTCTCTGGGGATTTATTGATGAAGACCTACAATAGCGTCCGAGGGGAAGCAGAGGGTCCAGAAGCATCCAGGGGATCAGAGCACGAGGAGCGGAGGGAGTCAGCTCAAACCGAGGGGAGGGGGAACCAGGGTGGAACTGGAGTAGAGCAGATGTGGGCCCCCCTCCCCGCCTCTTCCAGAAGGATCCGGGCTGTCCCATGAGAGGAGCTGGGTGCTGGCAGGCTCCAGCACAGCAAAGCCCCCACAGCTCGGGGTGGGGGGGGGGGCAGACGCTCAACGCTTGCCGCCGAGGCCATGGGAGCGAAACCACCCCCACACCCCCACCCCAGCACGGGGGACCCGGCCCCGAGCGAGGTCCCGGGTGTGGGGAGCCACAGCGACACCCCCAGCACCGGCACCGCTCCCCGTCCGCTCAGGAAAAGGTTTTACCTCTGTGTCCTCTGTAGCTCCAGCCCCGGCTGAACTCGTTACAATGCCAAACCGCTCCTTTCTCTTCTTCAGTTTCTCGTCTTCTTCGCTCTGGCACAAAGAAGGACGAAGATTTATTTTGTTGGCGATGCCCCAGGGTGCTCGTTTAACGGTAAATCATGTTCCTCCTACCCCCGTCCTCCTGCAGCCGGCTCCCACAGCACCTGCTAAAAGTTGGAGCGAGGCAGCGGAGGCACCGGGAGCGGAGCGGGTTTCCTCTCTGCCCTGGCAAAGCGAGCTCCTACGGAGCACGTCGGGTAAGGAGGGCAGCGTCCCCGCCGGCCCGCGCCACGACCACCTCAAACAGAGCCAGAGCCCCCCTCGAGCCTGCCTGTCGTTACCGCACCGGCACCATCTCCGCTCCGAAGCTCCTCGCGCTCAGACCCGAGCGTGATGGAGGGTGGAAGGGAAGGACGGACGCTTGTCACGGCTACCGCGAGGGTGAGGTGGGCGCGTGGGGAGGAAACTCCGGCCCCGGCAGCCAGAACCTCACCTTTGTCTGGACGTGGTCGAGGAGGGATCTGGGGGAAGCGCTGACAGCGGTCGCAGGGACCTTCGTAAAGCCCTTGGTAAAGCGAGGAGTCACCCCGCGGGACGGACGCTGGGCTGCTTCTCCCAGGAACGTTCTCATTTGGAGATGGGGGCTCCGCGCTCACCCCCTCTCTCTTCCCAAGTTCATTTATTTCCAGCCCGAGTGAGCAAATTTCTACTGACATTCCCCGGAGCCTTCCTACCCCTGCTTCTCGAGGCTGTCCAGAAAACCTGGAGGGTTTTTACCTCTGCAGCCATTGCCCACGCCGATGTCCTGATCGCCAGTAACAGCCAAACCCATCATTACCCACAAAAGCCTCAACACATCCATTTTCCGCGGATTTATTCCTACTTCTGGCTGTTTCATGCCGTTCCGACAGCTAAGGCTGCCTGGTGAGTTTGCTGGGCTCCTGTCACTTCCCCCCTCCCCTGTCACCACGCACATCTCGGAGCTCCCAGCCCCACATCTCCGGATCCCGGGGAGTGCGGCTCACAAGCAGGCTGTCGCTCGCCGACGGGTCCCCTGGGGAACCAGAGGTGCCAATGCCTGCGGTTTAGAGCCAGGGGCACCGGGCAGGAGGAGAACAAGAGCACCGTGCCCAAGAAAATACACTTCAAGTCCCAGTGCTCCACCTGGATCACCTGGAATTAGCCGGCCAAGCAGAGCAATCGAGCTGGACATTTATCCAGTTAAGCTCGAGGTCGCAAACCGCAACATCAGCAGCTCCCGGCGTGGCCGCGTGTTGTGGCAAAGGGCCCGGCCGAGGAGTTGGAGCTGAAAGCTCCGCCAGTTCTTGAGCTCTGGCTCCGTAGGAAGCAGCTGTGGCCCAAACACGTTTGATTCCCCCCCCCCGCGTTACAGCCCCTCACTGCAGGCTCCGCTGCCCAGTGCCGTGCCGGCAGCCCCGCGGCATCGCCTCCCTCCCCACAAATCTGCGGCGCAAGGACCCTTCTGAAGATGATTCCGTCATTAGGACGTTGCCACCCTCACCCACCTGCTCCATCCTGCTGGTCCCTCCTTGGTGCGGTTTGATAGGGAAGCTACAAGCAAAGGGTAACCCCCCCCGGCACCCCCGGCCCCGTCTGGTGGAGGGGGGTGACAGGGACGCAGCTGAGAGCCCTCTCCCAACCCAGGTCGGGATTACTGCGGCTTTCAGGCAGCAGCAATGTCCCAGAAAAGCAGCAAAAACTTGAGGGCTGTGAACAAAGGACACCGGGAGGGATTATCATCACGGGGACAGGGAAGGAAAAGTTGCTCGCTGGAGCAGCGCGACGTACGCGCAAAACCATGGCCACACAAAGAAAACCCAACCTGAGCCTCAGCGACGTTAAACAGGCTCTTAAAAACCACTGCTGCTGCCCTCGTGGTTTAAATCCCCCGAGCAAGAGGATGGCCCCAAAGCCACTTTCGAGAAGAAAAGCGCTGTGTCTTTAATAAAAGGACCGGGGAGGCTCGCAGGGACCGCAGCGAGCTGTAGGTTTTTATTTATTTTTTCGGTAAGCCACCCCCATGCCTCCCGCCCCCACCACTGCCCTGCAGGGAAAGCACAGAACCGTCCTACTAAATCAACACGGTCCTAATGATCTCGCTCACTTGACCCCCTAGCACGACAGTGTCAGATGCAAACACGCGTACAATAAACTTCACTCCATCTTTAGCTTCTCGCTGACAGGTTTTGATTCATGGGGTGCTGAAACCCATCTGAGGAAAATTACCTCTATCAAAACGCTGCTATCTCTGCATCTATCAAGCCCTGGTAGTGCCCCGGGGCCGTGCGCCGGCGTGCAAATGGGTGCACCAGCATCTGCAGGGAAAGCTGACCTTTCTGGCAGCATGTCAGATTTATTTTCTAACCTTACTATTTCTAGGCTTGTTCCCTTTGCACTCGCGCCACGATAGTTATTTTGTCGTTGTCTAAAAGAGGGGGGTGGAGGGAAGAGGAGGGAAAAAAAAAAAAAAAAAAAAAATCCTTTCTGCAGGACTCCAAGCCCTGAAGCTATAGTGTTTCCTGCAAGCTGGTAACAAGGGAGCCTTACGCCAGCGCATCGATATACTGGCACCGCATGCGATCCCAAAGCTTTCATCTTCATCCCTAAACTTCATCAGGGCGCTGGCGCAGCGCTGCTGTCGCTAACCGCATCCCACTCCCCCCCCCCCACCCGGGACCCTGCCTCAGGCTCCCTCCCTGCCCAGCTTGAGCCCCCGGGGCTGCAGGCACTGGGGTGGGGGGCAGGCACCACACCACCCGGGCAGGATCGGGCCCTCCTGTCCCCACGCCGCTGCCTGCCCTCTTCCACGCAGGGATGAAGGAAGCGAGGAACTCGCCCCTCCACACCACGGTGTTCCAGTCTTTTTTTCCCCTTGAAGTGAGAGGAAGGGGGGGGGGAGCTCCCGAAGGGCAGCAGGGGCTGGAGCGGGACAGCGCCTGCCAGCGCCCCTAAATCCAGGCTTAACCGCTTGTCCTGCGGCTCATGTCGCTTAATTCCCGAAAGAGACACTGATCCATTTAAAAACCAGCTCATTCCCTCTCTCCCAGGAGAAGGCTGCTGCTGGCGCTGGAGGAGCCGATGCCAAAAGGTGTGAATTTGTGGTTTCCACGGTGCGCAGAGCTCTGGCGCTCACCGGGCCCCTTTGACCAGCGCCGCTCTGCTCTGCTCTCCCACCCGAGCTGCGAGTGCCGCAGCGCCGGAGGACGGAGCCGCCGCGGCGGCAGCAGCGCACGGTGCGACGTTCCGGGTCGCCCAGCGGCTTTTAGAGAGGGGAAAACCCCCGCGCCGGCCTCGCTCCGAAGGGCGGACGAGAGCTTAATCCCAGATCACCTGAAGGCATCTCCCTGCCTCCGGTGCTCAGGGCAAGAAGCAGGAGACCTGCCCACAGCCCCCAGTGCCTACGAGCTCCTAATAAATGATTCATCACGAGCGTCTCTGATCTCGGCACGGAGCGAGCTGCTGTGAAGGACGAAGCCAGCAAGGCCCCACCAGCCATTAATGCCTCCCAGTCGCCTCTTGGATATGGAGATTAAACGCCAATCGCTCCGTGGGATGAAATGAGACTTCAGGATCGCTGTGGGGCTTGCCCTGGGCAGGGAGAAGGACGAGGCACCAGCCTGGCTTTCGGAAGACCCCAGGGGTGAGGGAACAAGGCAGGGGAGCTGCTCTGCACGTTGTCAGACCACGGCTCGCTCAGGTAGAGCGGCCGCCTCCCTTCTCCAAAGGGGCAGCTCCCCACAGGCAGGGAAAGGACTTGCTCGGTTGCGCCCGCTCTGTATTTTTTAAAAGCCCACGCCACTGCGAAACCTCTGCCCCCGAGGCCAAGTTTCATGCTGCACGGGCGGAGCGCTTCTTCCTCCGCAGATTAAAGCATCCCCAGGAGGAAACTGCTCTGGATTTGCAGATGAAGCCCGGAGTATCCTCATCACAAATGCAGAGACACAGACACGAGCCTCCGTAATCGCATCCTCGGTGTTTTCCTCCTCGGAGAATGGAAGGGTGGGTGCCCACATGTGTGTACAAAACCGGGCCCTTCTGGTCACTCTCCTGTATCTCGCTGCAGCATGACGGATGGCAGGATGAAAAGCAGAGCCCCGAGGCTTTCAGGCGATGGTAGATTAATGATGACATGGCCTTGACCTCCAAAAGGTAAAGGTTATGAAACACTCAAGGGTAACTGGGCTTCCAATTTCATACCCGGAGGGTGAATGACAGCAACCGATGGTTTTATTCTCAGAAACACTCCAATCCTGGGACGCACAGCTGTCACCCACCACCTTTTTGAAATTCATCTCAACATACTTATTCCTCCTGTTTCTCTCCCCTCACAGGCTCCAAGTGCTGCCAAGGCCTTCTGGAGGCGAAGCTCCTGTACACCAGCAAGCATTCAGCGGGGGACGGGAAGCAAGAGGGAAGCCCAGGGTTTATACAGAAATATTCCACGTGTGCCTTACACCCCTTCCCACTGACAACTGCAAAACTGCCTTGCACGCAGGAGATCGTCGCCCCGCCGCGCAGAGAGCAGCGTGCGGGAGCGGTGCTGGCTTTCACGCTCCGCTCCTCCGAAGGCCCAATAAAACGCAGGAGGGGGGGAAAATCTCTCAAACTGCCCCTTTCAACCCAAGCCAGCACAGCTCTTCCCTCTCCAACAGCACTTCGTGTTTCCAGCCCAGACTTGGAGCTGGTGGCAAAGGGACGCACGCCGAGACCGAGCCAGCAGAGACAGCCATAGCCTTTCCCCAAAATAACCCCAACACGAGGGCTCCACTTAGATTAGACACACGCGGCAGGGATACGTGGTAAAGTCCCTATCACAGCCCTTATACAAACAGCGCGTTAGAAGGACCCTCTCTTCTGCTGCCACAGAGGAACGACTTCTAAACAGCACAGCTTACACAAAATTACACCACGTAAGCGGGCGCAAGGGCCTCGGCGCATTTCGGAAATATCAAGCACAGCTTTATCTGCACAGAAAAAAGAGACACCGAACCCCCAGCACCAGGAGCTCAACCTGGGGATTCAGAGAGATG